CTTAGGACAGTCTGTATCCGACGAGCCAGCACCCACACCACTGTCTTCATCGTGCTCTTTGTTCTTCTTGTCCCTCGAATGACCACCACCACCAGCGTCCTGATCTCGGTCTGCCAACATGAAGTATTTCTTCCGGTTCTTCATCAAGTCGACTTCTTCATTTCCATAGTCCCTAGCTGCTTGCATCATGGTCTTGGACCAAGCATCCTCAAACTTGAAATCGATCGACATATATTTCCCACCGCCAGTCTCGAGGATGGAACCGGTAAGGGGGTCGAGAAGTGATGAAAAGTGATGAAAAGGAATTCCGACATCGAAAAGGTGATTTCGATTGAACGCGAACCTCGGTACTAGAAAAGCAGTGCCTAGAAAAAAGACGAGCAGACTTTGTCTTTGACTTCCTCTCCCTAATAATAATATGTCTACCAACATATAATTCACACAATGATAGCATGCTCGAGGACTTGAGGTAACAGTAGAGGATCACTAGAGTCTGCATATTCACGCAAGAAACCTTGACTCATAACTCTTGTCCTTGTTCCTCCATCCCTTGCTCCTCGTTGTTGTCCTGGGGACGGCCTAGGATGGCGCCTTCTCCGGTCAGCGAGATCGTGGCTTTCAGCATGTCCGCGATGGCGATGGAGCCTGCATCTACAGCCAAGTGCGCACGCGTCTCCCGCAACACATAGGGCGCAAACACCGAACAATACTCTCCTTTTTGGAACTTAGACGGTAGCTGGTCCAATTCTGTCAACTCTACACCCAGGAAGTTGACGCTGGAGCCTGGCTCTTTGACAGCTTCTACTGGGTCGAGATCAACAATGCTGTTTCGCAGCTCTACTTCTCGAAAAGAGCGCATGAAATTCCCCTGCTGGTTAGTCTCCGCGTGTTGTTGGTAAGACCCTCCAGGAGCTGCACCTTGACCTCCATTCGAAGTAAACGTGCCTCTGGAAGTCGCATAAGTGTAGCTAGGAACAACGGCGGATGTCGAGTAGTAGTTTGCATTCGACGTACTATGTGCTCCAGCAGCACCAGCGAATTGTTGGTCGTGCTGTTCTTGCATAGATGCTGAGGTAGACATCTGCTGCATTCGAGCCTGCAGTTCGGAAGCAGAAGGGTCCTCTAGTACCTGTTGCTGATAGAAGTACTGTTGAGACTGGTGGTCTTGAGTCTGCTGCTGCATCTGTTGCTGGGGGTGTTGGTAATGCTGCTGGTTGTACTGCGGCTGCCGCCCTTCCGGGTGCTGGTAATCAGTGGCGCCCTGCGGGTACTGCGGTTGCTGCACCTGCTGCTGTTGGTACTGTGGGGCATTCTGCTGCTGTTGGTACTGTGAGGCATCGTGCTGTTGCTGTTGATATTGCGCCTGCTGCTGCTGCTGTTGATATTGCGCCTGCTGCTGCTGCTGTTGATACTCCGTCTGGTGCTGCTGCGCATACAGTGCCTGAGCTTGTGCGCCATACTGCGGCTGTGCCTGTGCGCCATACTGGGCCTGGGCTTGCGCGTCATACTGCGGCTGTGCCTGTGCGTCACACTGCGGCTGAGCTTGTGCGCCATACTGCGGCTGTGCCTGTGCGCCATACTGGGCCTGGGCTTGCGCGTCATACTGCGGCTGTGCCTGTGCGTCACACTGCGGCTGAGCTTGTGCGCCATACTGCGGCTGTGCCTGTGCGCCATACTGGGCCTGGGCTTGCGCGCCATACTGCGGCGGTGCCTGTGCGCCATACTGCGGCGGTGCCTGTGCGCCATACTGCGGCGGTGCCTGTGCGCCATACTGCGGCCGTGCCTGTGCGCCATACTGTGCCTGTGCCTGTGCGTCATACTGTGCCAGCTGCTGGCGTTGCGCATGTGGCACCGGAGCCGCCTGTTGCTCTTGATGCTGCGACTGCTGCTGTTGATACTGCTGTCCTTGCTGCGCCTCCTCTTGCAGCTGTGTCTGTTGCGCAGTTTGTTGCGACGGTTGTGTCGAGAACTTCTCCAATCTCGGTACGACAGGATGGGGTCCCTCTAAGCCTGGCGTCACCGGATGAGCAGGGACTCCTGTTTGCGGTTGTTGTTGATGCTGATGTTGTCCTTTCTGGTAACTCATTTGGTTGTAGCCATGCCAAAAATTAGAAGAGGGCGTCGATGTTGCCACATGTTGACGTTGTTCCTGCTCCGGCTCCTGTTGTGCTTGTGCTGCTGGTTGTGCTAGTACAACATTATGACTATGCTGTTGAGCTTGCGCTTGTTGTTGAGCTGCTAGTTCTTGATGGCTAGAAGTAGGTAGTTGCGCGATTCCTGCGTGATGTTCTTGTTGATGAGGTTGCTGCTGATAGAAGCCGGCAGAATAGACATAATGGTGTCGTACGACCTCCCGTGACGTTGGTTGTTGAGTGTATCCATACAACTGGTGTGGTGTTTGCTGCTGAACAACATCATGCTGATGTTGTTGATTATACGCTACAACTCCTGGCGCAGTTGGGTAAGCCGCGGCTTGCTGTGGTTGTGCAACTACAGAACCATGCTGATACTGCTGGACCGGCGTCGCACCAACAACAGAAACGCGTTGTCCTTGTTGATCATACTGCTGGAAGGCTCCTGCTGGAGTTTGTCCGGGATGATGCTCCTGAGCCTGACCTCCTCCACCAGGTGCTATTGCCCACTGATACTGTCCGTGAGCTCCGGCAATGTGCTGCACGTGCGCATCAGTGGTCACTGGCGTTTGCGGCACATGTTGAGTAGCAGCATGATAGGCTGAAGGGCCCTGGACGTGAACAAGCTGTTGCTGTTGCCCGTTACTATCGTAGCTTAACCGACGCCCAGCAGCTGCCGCAACTTGAGCATGGTATCCGGCTGGAGTGGGCATCTGATTTTCCACTACTACTTGACCTTGAACGCTTTGAGGAGTGGGCATCTGATTTTGCAGTACTACTTGACTTTGAACTCGCTGAAAAGGTTGACCGGCAGCAACGACCTGGTGTTGGTATGGAGCCGCAGCTGCCGCATGAGCAGGAGCCGCAGCTGCCGCAGCAGGAAAAAAGCCCGGTCCTACCGGAGTCTGAGCAATGTTGTAGTGATAAGGTGTTCCTCCAACATGCTGCGGCTGAGCTGTATAATGATGTTCGACTGCTTCACCAGTACCTGTTTGAGCGACTGCAACACCTTGAGTTCCTGCAGGAGTCATCACGGCGTGATTGTTTTGCTGTGTCGCGTGTGCTGCTCGTGCCATACCTGCTTTTCCTCTCGATACATCAGCTCCTGCTGCACCGAAACCGAATTTTTGTCCCTGCGGATCGCCGTGGTAGCCCGCACCCTTATTACCCTCTTTACCGCCATTACCAGATAGACTTTGTTCTCCATCTGCAACAGGAGGCCTCGTCTCATCTGCATCAAGTGCGCGGGAACGACCTGAGTCTAGATTTAGATCATCTTGATCCTCCTCTAATTCTCCTCCTCCTCCTCCCACAGCACCCATACGATCACGCTCTCCTATGCTGTTGAAATAGTCATGGCCATCGGACTCCTCGGATTCCGAAATGACGCAGTCTGCTGATGAAGCCGACAACATCTTGCTTGGACCTCTTCTTGTGAAGAAGAAGATGTACTTCCACTTGGTTTATTGTTCTCACGATATTAGGATCTTCTTTGCGCTGTTAGTACAACGAGTTGAACTGGTGATTGTTGTACTTCAACTTCACAAAAATTATGCTCTCATTCTACTTGTTGTTGTAGCTTTAGCTGGTAAGTCACTTCAACTTGTTGACAATTTAAAAGTAGGGTTGTTCTCATTCTACTTGTTGTAGGACTAGGATTCAGTCCGCCGTCCACAGTTTTACCTGCATACTCGAGCGGATTAACGCTAGTAGTGCTGACTACTGGTAGTGACACTGCTGACTCGCTTCTTCTGTTCTTGTAAATGTAAATCGAAAATCCAAAAAACGTAAATCGAAAATTCTACTCTTTTTTGTCCTCAAATGCCTATGCCTTGAAGTACTGAAATAAAACAAATCGTACTACCTAGTACATCTTCAATTGTACAAACCAACTTCTTGTTCTTCTCTTTTAGGCTAAAACATTCATCATGGAATTGCTAGACTATGGGACGACTGATATGGGAGATAAATGGAAATCATGATAGATAATGTTATATGGGACGACTGAGTATGGAAATCATGATAGATAATGATGCTTTGCCTCTTTCAATTTCAGAATATTAGATCTTGGAATTACACAAAAGTACGGGGACGACCAATAAGGAGATCTTTGTAAAAGTAGGAAGGGGAAAATATATTGTCATTCTTACTTGTCTACTTCTTCTAACATGGAGAATTCTCTATCAACACTGTTGTTGGTCTACTTCTCTTCTAACGCGGCTACTTTTCTTTTGATGTGTTCAGACGAGAGATTGCTGCACTAGTTCTTCTTTCGGCCGTCTCGCAGTGCTGCCTGTTACCCAAAGTACGTAAGATATGTAGGGGGGACGGTGTGCTGCCTAGGAGGGCTCCCAGGCTGCTGCCGTCAGATCAATCATCCTTTTGTTTGCAATCATCGAATTTTGACAACTACAGTGAAATAAAGTGGATATGTGGATGCTGTTTCGAGATCGAGAAATATAAAATCATCTACTTATCAGTTATAGTTGACAACCTTACTAGGTTTTCTTTGTACTATCTCGAAAATAGAGAAGCCTACAGTCTGTACTAGTATGTACCTAGACCGAAGTAGACCGAAGTTTCTTTTTGCGTTTAAGCTTTTTTAAAGCTATTCCTGTGGTCTGTCATGATCAGTGAGCGATGAATTTGTCCAACATGGAACAGGAGGATTTCCGGTGAACAAAATGAGGATCGTCAATCTCAACAATGAGTGTCACAGTCACATGTAAACGTAGTTTTATGAAGATTGAATCCGTGAGGATCGTCACAACAATTTCATTGAATTCCACACAGGAATGAGAGAACATAAACGTGTCACTTCTCGGTTAGAGTCTCTTGCTTCACGGCAAAGGAGGCATTCTTTCACGGCCACCGATCGCCAACAGGAGAGAATCACGCATGGGGCGCGTAGTCATTGCCTTTGTTGAAAACCAAAACGACTTTCTCAACATTTGTTTTTGTTATCGGTCCAATAGTACCTCATGATTTTTAGCAGTCATGATTTAGCCCTCTTTTCATGTTTTCTCCTCTTGCAAGCACATTCTGGATAAGAAATGTACAACAAAAGATAGAAGTCACGCCATAGAAACCTTCCATCAAGAAGAACAAGTTGTAGAGGACAAGTTAGTACTTGAAATAGAATGCACGACTCGGTCGAGTATACATTAAGTGGAACTATGTGATGAAAAACTTGAAATCTCTACGAGGCAGTTGTATCCCATAACGAAACTACTTTTTCTACTCCTTGGTAAATCGAAAAGGCCATACACGAGAAACCAAAAACTAGTTGTCCTATGAGAAAGGCCGTATTTCCTAGTATAGGTCCAAACAAGGTCGCAAATCGTTCCTGTTGTCTCCGAATGTGATGGCTATGCTTACAACTCGTCGAGGGTCGTTCTAGCAAAGGAGTTGATAAGAGATCAGGTAGAAGATGAGTGCTTTTAGGATTAGCTGTAGTAATGTGGGCTGTACTAGTAGAAGTAGTTTCTCCCCAGCCTCTCTTGTATCCTAAGACCATCAAGGGGGCATACACCAGACCCATGGGTGTGCAGAAGACGGCTCCCAGCATGGAAACAAAAATGTCTAACTTCGCAGCACCGAAAAAGGCGATAGTGCAAAGGCAAAGGACCACGAAAGCTCGTGAGAAATTCTTCTGCCATCTAAATTGACCTTTGTACACGACCTCAACCTTGTCCACTTCCGAAGATGTATTTTCAGGATGAAGATGATTTTGTTGTAAATCTAATGGCCCAGCATTGGTTTTATTCCCTGGTTGGACGATCCTTCTTCCTTGTGCTTGTGGTCGCCCCTGCTCTGCTAGTTCTATACTTGTTCCTGCAGTCCTCCCTGAAGTATTTCTTGAGTCGTCAGGTCCACGCCCAGCTCTGGTGCCTAGAGTAATCGTTGCTACAGGTGGTGTCGTCTTTAACTGATCTAGTTCGCGTTTGAGCTCCCTTACTTGGCCTTTCGACGCTTCTAATTCCCTTTGTAATTTCTCATCAGTGGGTTCGTGCTCGTCTACAGTTGGTTTGGGGAAGATGTAGTTCTCCAGCACCCTGACAGCTGGGAAGAGCACTAAGGGGTACGAGGCGAGGACTCCTAGGCCATACATGATGCAGAAGAAGCGGCCAACGGAGAGATTGGTGAGGAAATGAAAGAGGGAGAAGATGGGGACAAGAAAAGTGCTGTCGGTCGCACTTCCTGTCGTGCTACCACTATTAGGCGATGCTTCTCCTCCAGGTCCTGCCGCATTATTGCCACTATTGTTCAACGGTAATGTCAGAATCGCGTTTGTAGGTACATTTCCACCGCTTGAAGCGTATATCGCTGTGCCGAAAATAGAAAAGGCCAGGCCGATGCCAGTAATGCACTTCAGATACACCTTCAGAAAGCTATCTGGTTGCTTCATGGATGCTTGGACTGGCAAGAGGCCGCCGATTCCTTCGAAGGTGAGGGAGTTAGAGAACGAGAAGTATTGGTTAGACTATAGTGGCTCAGAATATAACTCTCTGTTAGCCATTGCCATAAAAATACACGTCCCCAAGGCTAACCCCCATGAGCTAGCATTGAAAATCCAGATCACCGCGGCGCCAGGCAAACTACTCAACGGTTGCTGTGGTGGTGGTCGGGGTGGAGGAAATTCAGGGTTGACAGCTTGTCCTGGTGGAGACTGCGCTAGTAGCGAAGACGCAGTGGACACGACAGTGCTGGCCGTGCTGGGTAAGCAGGAAACTTCACTAGGAGGAGTCGTGGTACTGTTTGTTGTGTGGTCAGCCGCTGAAATAGATGAGGAAGGTTCTCCTACCGAAACTACAGGACCCGGAGCTGCAGTACCAGAACTAGAAGCAGCTCCTCCGAAAACCAAATTCCAAATCCCGTATGAAAACAGGCACAATAGAATGCCCATGATCGTGACGTCTCCGAATATCATGGCTGGATCTAGTTTCGCCAATCTTCGCACCCACACCAGTGGAATCAAGATCAAGGGCTCTAGAAGTATGACATTGTCAACGGCAGACTGATATGAGGAACTCGGAGCTGTGCTCGCGCTGCTTGTTCCGCTCACCGTCGTCGTCGGCGTAGTAGATGTAATCGACGTGTGTCCTGTTCGCGTGTCTGTTGTGACGACTACTACCTCGTCTACTTTCGTATGGCCGTTGTTGAGACCTGCATGTTCTTGTTGTGTGGCGCCAGCAGCAGCGTCTTCAGCACTTTGCTTGAATTAGAAGGTGCTTCTAGTTGATGTACACAATTGCAGTTCCGTGTTCCGCGGAATGCATTTGCAATCACTATCACAATTACGTGAAAATAACTCTTAACCTAAGACACCACTGACGATGCATTGGGCTATGACCACGTGATACGACAGGCAAAAGCTGCATTGGGAACTGAACAAGCTCAGATCCATCAACTTCTTGCCCCACTCACCGAGTGTTATTCCAGCAATATCGCCGAATGTCGTGTCTTTTATCGCGTCCATACGGGCCAAAGGTTTGTGCAACAAGGATCGAAGTTTGATCAGCTGAAACACGCACAACGTCGTTGTCAACACGAACAACTGCAAGAGGCAAACTGTGGTCAAAATTCCTGCGTTCGCAAAGGCTTTGGGCAAAAAAAGGATCCCACTACAGAAGAACAGCTTCAGCAAACAAACTATCGCGGCCCTCGTGCCCATCTCGCCAGGTGGAATACCGCAAGAAGTGGAAGTAGCAATTGTTGAAGATCGTGTTTTATCTGATGTTGAAGAAGATGCGTGTTCTCTAGAACTAGAATGACCTCTCACGATAACAGGTTGTTGGTCCGCGCTACCGGAACCTTCATTAGAGCTCAAAGCAATACATTTCTTGCCCTCGTCAACAACAACATTCCTCCCAATCCTAAGAAGGAAACAAATAGGACAAAACTCCTTGTAGAACTGAATTGTAAATTGAGCCTTAACTTCACGCTCTACTAGTCGTCGTTTAGCCTTTCGGAAAGCAGGATTCCTGTCTTCAGGATGTGGGACACAAGCTAGTTGCCCAGAAGATCTACTACCAGATTCCAAATCCACCACCTCCTGTCTGCCATCCACAGCCACCACAAGTTCTTCTTCCTCCTCTTGTTCTTCTACTTCTTCCTCCTCATCTTCATCAGAATCGTCATCGTCTACTACTTTAGCACTAGGTGCCTTCCTTGGTCTATCTTCTCCTCCAAATGCAATGGTGTTCCTAGTGTTCCAGAAGGCTCTCAAGTCGGCTAGGAGAGACGGGAAAGAGAGATCCTCAACCTGCTGGGAATCTTCAGAAGGTCCTTGTAGTTGTTGTGGACCTCCGATAGACACTGTTTTTTCACCGCGTGCGATTAAACGAGAAGAGGCGCTGCTACCAGTTGCAAGCTGTGCACTTCCTTCTTCTATCAGAACACCTCTCTTTGCTGAGGTAGGTGACGAAGCTCCTTTCGAGGAAGGGCTCGGAGCCACTACTGTGCCAGGAGTCTGCTCTCCGAAAATATCCTCCAGATCTCTCTGACTCTGTTCGGCGGGACCTACAACGCGCACTAGTAAAGTGTTCTGTTCCGGTGGCGGCCCTGAACCCTCAAATACAGCTTCGAATACTGCGTCGACTGTTGTAGTTGCGTTGTCTTCTACTACGTGTCCTTGCTGTGGTTCGAAAGGGTAAGCCGTAAGTGCAGCAGCCTTTGCAGAGGGAGTCGCCGATGCTGCCGGCTCATTTGCAAAGGGAGTCGCCGACTTGTTTTGCTCCACAGTATATATTAGAGGTGAAATTTCTCCTCCAATAGCTTCCGCCGCCAGCTGCCTTTGTGCCCCGCGACGAAAACCGCCTGGCAGCGCAAGAGTTTGGTAAGTGAAGTAGCCCAATGGTTCAGGTTGACCACCATCACGGACTTGGATGTCGTCTGGAATTAGAAAAACACGATGTTCTGCACGATCGCCTTGCTCTAGTACTGAAACTAGAAGCAGCGCACTTGTAGCTTCTGAAGGACTTGTAAAAGGATGATGAAACTCTTTAGATTGTAGGCGCTTTCTCTTTCATTAGATATCAATCAATCACGTGGCGATGCGCGGTGGTCCTTTCATTAGATAGAAGTTACCAATTCGTTCCTTGAGTAGAAAAAAGATGTCACCATACACTAGCTGAACTCCCACCTGCACTTCGATTCAACTGTTCTAAGGCCTTTCGATGTAGGTCGCGGACAGCTTCATTGGTGCCCTGCCAGGCGGGGTCGGTAGAGGTAAGGCTAGAAGTGGCATTGTTTGCGTTCGAAGGCGGCGTACTATTTGGTGCCATGTTCGTTCCGGCTGGCGGCAGCGGGTTGCCGGGTGGAGGGGATGACATCTTGCTTTTTGATAACCGCGAATTTTATTCATACAGCTTGCTGCAATTGACGAAACAGTTTTTGATTTCTGTACAGCACGAGCGGGTTTCTAGTACTACGACCTCATGTTGAAACAGTACTATGTGCTTTAGGTTCTCAGATGTAAAAATGTCACCAAACAAAAACTACTTCTCTCATCATCTCTCCCTCTCAAGTGATGGAAGAAGGTAGCAGGCGGAAGAATGACTTTCGGAAAGTCAACAGAGCTACCACATCATGCCCCAGAATCGAACTCTATGAGAGCAGTTCATTCGCTTTGTCGATCGCCATCCTGATAAAGAAAATTGTCATCGTTTGGAATCATGATAAAAGGATTCGATCATATAATGTCACACAATTACAAGAAAGGTAAAAGAAACATTTTTTCATAGCCGTTCGTGTTTCTGTCATTTTCAAACTGCGTCGGCGGGAATGATTTTTTCCATGACCTTGACGCAAAGCACAACCTTACTGAAAATACTTAGATCAAAATTTCTTGATATATTTTCTGAAGATACTTAGAGAGTAGAGGACCCCACCTCTACATGCAAATGTACCACATTGATTCTTTCGAGTGATTTTTCGACAATCGTGTGGCAAAAAAAAACATGAAAGACTACTATATTATGCGTTGCAAGAAATTCAGGCATAGTTTCTTTACGCGCTTCAGAAAATGGGAATGAATTTTCTTGATTAAATCTGTTGTATTAAAAATCCCTTCGCCTATCCGGTCTGTTTTTCAGTATTCCCCACTTGATCTAGCGGAAGATGAAAAAAAAACAATTTTCTAGCTCAATTTGCGTTGATGTTTCCCAAAAGTACATCACTTTTATCTTGTTCTTGATGACATCATATTAGTACTTATTTTCCTACACTTTCAATTCGAGTAGATCGCCTTCGAAGACCACTTGGGTATCGTTCTTTGACAACTTCGCGATCAGCGGCTGAAAGACAGCACGTCCAGTTTCTATCTGACTGAAACTCGAAAATTTTAGACCCATTTCGTCACAGAGAAGGCCATTTTTAAGCCGCAAAGCATTCGCAACGTCCATGATATGAGCACGCTGAATCTCCGACATATGGGAGAGGAATAAGGACCTGTGGAAGTGTTGAAAATGACATAGATGGGACAGAAGTTGTAGTTGAGAATGCAGCACGAAACTAGACAAAACTCAGAAGAACTAGCCAGCAAAGAATTTGCAATCAGATGAAGACAGCAAAGTTTCATGTACTTATGAATGTAAGTACTTGAATTCCTTTTGTCTTTTCTCGGTCACAGCACCCACTTGAGGATTGTAAGCGACGATGAAGATGATCGTATGCGGTTGATGGATCGAGATTTCATCGCCGTCGGCAAGAGTGGTCAGCTCAAGTATCGCCAGTGGTTCCCCATTGATAAACAGTCCAGGCTTCAAGGAGAGGAGGGTGTTAGATGAGGTTTCATTTACAAGTATAAGTACATTCATCAAGTGCAATGAGAATGATGCAGATGATGTGGCTATGGTTCTGGTTCGACTTCTTAAAACTAAAAGATGTGATCCATCTACTTTCTGTTACTTGTTTTTCAATCATTTTCACGCACTTAGGAGCATCTCAGAAGCCATAACCTTGAGTTCCTTGCTTTGCGAGCTGTACAAGAACTGTACGCCTTCCGGCAATATTGGTAGTGCAAATCGCTGTAGGTGCTCTGGCTTCAGCTCAAACCTTTCCCTGGTAGACCCAAAGAGAATGGGCGTCTGGCTCATTTGGTCTGCCACAGGACGTAGTAGAGCGACCGCAGGTTTCTCAGCATTTGCACTAGAGGACGATGAACTAGAAGACGACGATGCAGCCAACAGAAGCGGCAAGGTACACCATGGAGGAATGATCTCGTTGTGGGCCGTAGTCGCGTCAACTGTGATGTGGTGCGAAGGTCAGCAGTGGCTTTAGAGGAAGCGGAAATTCGAAGAAGGAATAATGTGGTGCTTGTTGATGAGGAGCAGAGTCTAACAAGTCAATATATAATTCTAAACTCTAAGTCTATATATAATTCAAGTTTAGATACAACTAGAACTAGATACCTTCCTCCTCCAACTTTTGCTGATCAGCGTCGTACTCTTTACTTAGCTCTCGCTTTGTTCCTGCTGCGATTCTTCTGCGACGCTTCGCCACGTGCTCGCCTGGTTCTTGTTGCGTTGCTTGCAGTGTACTGTTAATGACGCCCTGGTGTGGAGTGGAGGGGACGTTTTTCCAGCACCAGCTGAATATTCTGAAGTATGAATCATGCTGGAGATGGATATGGAAGAGGATGTATGGAAGACAGAGGATCAGGATGTAGTAAAGCAAGAATCGTCCAAAAGGGGAATACTATTACGTAGAAGATATTCATACCCCGCCCACTCCGCTTCCTTTGCCTCTTGGACCCTTTGGTGGTGCTGCAGGTGCTTTCTTCCCGTTCTTTGGCGCGGCACTCCTGTCCTCTAGAGCATCTTCATTAACATGAACATCATCCTTGATGATTATCTGCTGACCAGCCTCCAGAGATGTTACAGCTTCAGCACCTCCTACGACTGCTGCGGGTGTAGAAGATGAACTACTCAAGCCCCCAACAGGAGCTCCTGTAGTTGCAGTTCCTTTTACTTGCTTAGATCCGGACGCTACTTTCATTTTCATTGACTTCGTCACAGTAGTGGGAACAGCTGCGCCGGAAGACGTTGTAGCAGCAACAGCAGCTTGTTCGGCTCCTTGTGCTGCTTGTTCACCCGCATCCTGCTGCTCTTCTTGCGTTTCAGGAATCTGTGCAAGATTCTTCGTGTTCATGAAGTCGCTTCCATCTCCACCTGGACTTAGAAGGGTTGTAGCTCCTGCTCCAGCTGCGTCTACTTGCTCTACCTCCATCATACAACTAGAGCCCTTGTTGATCTCTTCAACTTCTACATCTACAACTGGAGTCGAAGATGAAGATTTTCGTTTCTTCGAACTACTCTTCTTCACATCGGAAAATGCTTGCTTTGGTTCATCTTCGTCTGCGGGGCTGCCGAAGGTCACCTGTTTCTTCAGCTTTCTGGGGCCTTTCTTCGCTGCTGGGGGAGCACCTGCAAATGAGTTCAGTCGCTATCTGTGCTTCGAATTTGAGTGGAGGTTTTCTTTCTATGTATTACACAATACTAGTACAACTTACTAACTGTAGTGCACTAAGTAATACAGCAACAAACTTACTAGAAGGACGAGGGGAATTGTGCGAGGCGAAAACAAGAGGGCCTCTACATGTGCACTAGCTTTTCAAGAGCCCACTAACCCTGAGAGACTACAGACCAAGCGCAGAACGAGTGAATCCATGCGCCGCGAGTGAACGAGGCGCGGCTACGCACCAGAATACGCGAAGGCCCACAAGCTCGCTGTAGGTGGTGGTAAGGCTGCGGGGGCTTGATAAAGCAGTCAAAGACCGCACCCGCCGACTGCAATCTTGACCAAGAAAACAACCAACCCGACAAACCAGCACGCACCAGCCCAGCCCCAGCAACTCCCGCAGCGGGTCAGTCTACTTAGACGACACAATAGCCAGCTGGCGGCTGTAACCTCCAAGGCTGACAGCCCTCGCCACGTTCTCCGCGCATCATGTAGCCCGTGCGCTTTGGATTCATGGTATTCCAGGCACCCAATCGCGTGCGGCGCATACAATCAAAGAGAGAAGCCAGCCGCAATCTTCAAAGCAATCACGAAGCGCATGGGCGTCGGCCCATTTGCTTGCTTGCGTTGCCTGCGTTCTTTGGTTTACGTTCTCAGAACGGGCACCCCTCGCCAGCCTCCCTAGCCTAGCCCTAGGTAGCTGGTAGCCACACCCAAAACAATCGCCAAAGCTACCACCCAGGACGCTGGTCGCTGTCTTGGTAGGTTGGTTGTTCCTCAGTTGGTTCCTGATGAGGTGATGGCGACCGCTGTCACCGCCTTGATGCCCCCCGAGTTCTAACGCCTGCACCCAGCGCCACTTCTTCAGCCTCTTACATGCTACCGGCTGAGCCAGTCTAAGCGGCGCAGTTTTGTGCTTGTACATTTGGCGAATGAATGCCGCGCAGTATGGCAAATGCCTCGCGCTCGTGTTCGTTGTTCGGTGCTGGTTCTTGCTGGTTCGTGCGATGCTGTTGCTGTTGCTTCTCAGCAGTCCTACCCACGGCGAGCGCGTTACTTAGGTCCTGGCTGTGGTAGTCCTTCTCCAGGCTGTCCCCCTTTTCTCTTGTCCTTGTTGGCCTTACGCTTAGTACCCTTGCTGCCGCTGCTCGAAGAGGCGCGCTCAGAGGCCTTCGCTAGTATGTGCGTGAGACCCTCACCGAGGCGGGCCTTATCTGTAGAGAGTTCAAAGCGTTATCGATCACGCCCATGGAGCCCGAAGCGTCAGAGTTGGAGACGTTCTCGCGGGCAAAGATCAGCCGCAGGGCCGTACTGTTCCAAAATCCCGGGCCTTCCCCTCCGAGGATGCGTCAAGGCAAAGCCCAGCACTCGCCCCATTTGGTGGCAGCACTCGCGTCGCGTCGCCCAGCGGTCTCCGATGGTGCGAAGTCGTCCCGTTCTCATGTTGTGCTCTGCGACCCAAGTCCTCGGCTTCCATACGTCTTCGCTACCGCTTAGGCCCCTGCTACAGCTGCAGCATCGCCAGCGTGCAGCGATTGAAGAGACTAAGCCCACGCGGCAACACCTGAAGGGAGAGACACCCAAGAACACCCCGGCCGCCAAGTGCGCCCGCAAGCAATCCGGTCCGGCACGAAGTCGCCGGCCGAAGTGTCTCAGGCAAGTCGCTCGAATGTTTCACGCGCTTCCTGCCCTGGTCTAGCTGTTTCCCCATCCAGCGACAGCTCGCTGTTGATGGACGGCTTCAGCGGGCCGCCGCCTCCGCTGTGAAAAAAACAGAGCAAGCCCAAGAGCCTGGCCAAGGCTGCTGACCCTCGCCGCCCCCGCCTCCCCGCCGTCCCGTGGTGCTTACGGGGTCCGGGCTACATCGCCGCCGCCCTTGAAATCAAAACAAGCACAGCCCCCGCGGCGGCAGGGTCGTAGGGGCTGCCACCAGAGTACGAGCAGAAGCCCGGAAGGGTCCGGCGCTGGTGGGCTCCCTACGAACTTTTCCGCCTGCAGTCGAGTCCCCCGCGCCAGAAGCACCGCCACCGGCCACTAGCTCCAACGCACGGACCGCAGGCTTCATCGGGCGACAGTCCATGTTGGTTCGTAGAATATCCATATACAAAGCAATATCGAATACCTCCTCCCCGCACTTTATGCACCGAACCCGCTGCCATATCCGCAAATGCGGAAGGGAGGCAAGCGCCAGGTGTGCCAGGCGCTTTTGCGCTCTCTCCTGCCTCTGCTCCACCAAGCCCTTCTGCACCTTGATGTTGCGTGGATGGTACGTCGACTGCATGATCCTGAGCCACTGTATTGACTACAGCAAACCCGCCTGCAGCTCCGAGAGCCGCACTCACGTCCATACCAGCACCCAGGGAAGAAAAATCCATCTGCGGCACTGATGAGCAACATTTGAGAACGAAATGTGTTAAACAAATCAGATTTGATATACTGGAATATAATTCATCGAATGACCATACAAAGACGAAAATGCGAATCAGTGATAGAAATCATTACTCCTGTTTTCCTTTTTCACATTTTGATTTCAAGTCCAGTACGTCGAATCGTTAAAAACAGCGAAGTAAGTACCTCCTTCCCCAGCTCCGGCTCCGGCACCTTCCTCGCCTCCATTCAAGCCTCCACCAAGCATGCCAGCACCTCCAACATCATTCGACGATGATGAAGTAGCAGCACTACCTTTGACACCCAAAAATTTCAACAGTTTCTCGAACTTCTGGTATTTCTCTCCGGCTTCCTCATGAGACCACTCTTCTCTAGGAACGTCGTCGACCTTCTCCATCGTATAGTTCTGCTGCGCCTCTCCTTTCTGCATGGAAGCCTTCACTTTCGGAGGAAGCTCGTCCATGTAGAGTTAGAAGGAATCAAGAACGTCCTCTGATGCATGTTTCTCAAAGCAACGTGAAGTTTCACCAACAATTCGATTTCAACATCTGTATTTAAGTAGATGAAAGAAGTACTTTGACTTGTTCGAAATAAACGAATCAGTAATATTCACGAGGTCCTTCTCATGTTCTTAATTCGAGTATCGTCTCTTGCTCTTCGTGTGAACGTAGTAGTTGACATTTTCGGTAAAGGTTCGATACGTCCACCCGTATTTCGTCAATGTATCCGCGTCTCGAAACAACTCTGGTGGAACCTCTGCCAGCTGTTTTGCTTTTCTCTTCGCTGTCGCTAGTCTTTTTCGTTCAGCTGCCATTTCAGGGTTTTCCTCCTCCTCCTTTCTTCTCTTGGCCTGAGCAGCTTTGAGTGCTTCTCGATGTGGTGTTGTGATCTTTTTCATACTTGTACTATGAGTCTTATTCGCAGATGTAGGTACTACCGCACCAGGAGCTGCGGCACCATCTTGACCTTCTTCTCCTCCAGCAGCACCACTGACTCCAGCATCTTCCGTGACACCTGGAACCGCTCCTTCAGTGTCTTTCGATTCATCTTGAGGATGAGCATCTTGGTCTTTGGTATTTGTTCGCGCAGGCGTGGCGCTTCCGCGCCTTAGCGTTTCTCCCATCGCAGGAGTCAGAGATGGCATCTTTTTGTTCTTGAGATTTTTTTGGGGTTGACTAGATGAAAGTGCTTTTGTTATTGCTACAGGACTCGAAATGTTGATTGTTTGCTTTTCTTGTTTGATCGACGTGAGTCGTTTGTTCAGTATGTTCTTGGAGATGACTATCCGAAGAAAAGTTGTTCTTCTGGCAGCCTCCAACTAGTCGGCTTTGAGTTATTTTTGTGTCACGATACTGTGGCTTCGGGCCAGCAGCGACAAAAAAGTAGAGCCACTTTGTGTTTACGGTTGACTTCAACCTCTGCTTCCGACTTTTGAAAAATCGGGAGAACACTGTGTAACGCTTCGTAGTAGAATAGAACCGCCAGGCCCTCCACCTTGCTTTTCGTTTCCACCTTCTAGAGGAATTATGCTGAGGCATCTATAATATAGGTTGAAACGCCGCAGACGCACCCGCTACTGCCATTCTTCTCTAGATGAAGACCTCGAGATCTAAACTTCAATTCAGCTGAGGCATAATGCAAAATCAACCCGATGGACCTTATTGTAGCTAAAGGACAAGTTCCCCCTTCGTCGCCGCACATCAAGTCCCAGTCATCTAATCATACGCCAACATATATTCCGCTACAAACCTCTCTGGGTGCAGGTTCAAACTGACTAGACTCTGTCGGAAAGAGTTGTCTGTGACGTGACTCATAATCAAGACTGAAGAGCCTAGCTGTGCCTCTGGACCAGAGCTAGATGTTGACCCTGCTCCGGCACCAAGATTTTTCCGTGGCTCCCCGCTGTTCCCACAAAACGTCCACCATGCTAACTCATCGATCATTGTCCCGACTACACTCTGCCAAGAGTGCGAGCCTAGGGGAAACATATCACTGACCTCGTTGGAGCGGCAGAAGAGTCCTTCACGTAGCGCTTCGAAGATAGCACGAATGCGCTCCAGAGGTGCTGGGCGTTTTTGCCTCTCATCTCTGCGAACGCTGTCCTTCGTTCTGCCGACTATGAGGCCAGAATCACAGATCGCCTTGTTCTGCAGCTTTCTGGGGTTGAATTGCGAAGCGCTGCCACCGTCGCCAGCGGAAGAATTAGAGAAACTACAAGCCTGGGGTTGTACAACTATGTTGTACTAGTTTCTCTTAATAGACGAAGTATGGTGTAGTTGTAGCTTGTTTTCTTTCTAATCTTGCATGCTACTTATCTACGACAACGAAGACTACAAGAACTAGAAACTTCAAGTTGTAACAACTGATTTGCAGCCATAAAACCAGCTCCAGCTAGCAATGTCGGTTTGTCCACTTCTCTGGGATTGTAGCTCGCCAGAAAACTCGCTACTGCTGCGAGGCATACCGATGGTGACAAATGAAGTCGACTTTTGCGCATCTCATCCTGTGACATCATGGGACCTTTGGTTCTTCGTCCTGTCAGCACCTGGAAAACCTCTGGTCCGTCGCGACGATTCCTCGGTAAGGACAGGTACAATCGAAAGGCAGCTGCAGTTTTTGTCAGAATCTCAGAGAGCAAAAAGGATTTTGGCTTTGCGCCCGCCTCTGCGCAATACCATTTGGTAGAAGTCGACGATGAAGAACAAAAGAGTTCTGACACCTTTAACCGCAAAAAAGTGTCCAGATCTTTCTCTAGCTGCTGTTGATCTCCACTTAGCGGGTTTGTAGCAATCGTAGAAGACGCGGTCGTAGAAGCATCTTGGTCTCTTCTTCCAGGCTGACCCCTACTAGTTGTAGAACTACAACTACCACACCTAGTAGTAGAGCTAGAACTAGTTATTTCCAACACGTATTTGCGCAAATGACGTCGAATCAAGTGCCAATATGTGTCTCCAGTCCATGAGGGCAATGACACGACGTCCGCCGCTGTGCCCATCTTCGTAGTTCGAAAGACACTCGGACTCGGATTGATCAAGATCAACCGCACTATAGACCCAAATTGCTGATACACAAGTGTGTCTAGAATTCGCAAAAGTTCTCGGATTTCTTCTTGTCTGGCTTCTAGCGATCCTTGTCGTCGAGACCCTGAAGAATTGTAAGTGTCGAAAGCGTCGATGACCAGAATCAATGGGTTGTCGAGAAGCCCGCCAAGAATCGTCTTACTTGCTTTTTTAGAGGCAGCTCGCAAGACCTGGGAAAGACGGCTTAGAAGAGCGGTGAAAGTAGTAGCAGCTGCTTCTGGTGCCTCTACGTCTACTGCGGGGGTCTGGTCTGCCTTATCTTTAGAGGTTGTACTCGTCGTAGAAGATGTTGGCGCTAGTGAAAGTGATGTAGTTGTCTTTGTCAAAGTTCTGGTACTGTCCGGAACAGCAAATTCTAATCTGGTTCCCTTCACAGCATCTCTTCCTAGTTCAGCACCATGACCATTGGCCTCTAAATCCTGAGGTGGGTCCTCCAATGCTGCAGTCAGAGCTTGCACAACAGAGCCGAGCAATGTCCATTCATGTCTGTTGCGCGTTGCAGTTTTCTGGAGTGTGTCGAAGCTTAGGGCTGCTCGAGCTGTTTTGATGGATTTCGTCACGGAGTCTGGCAAGGTAAGAAAGACTACTTTTGTTGTACTATTGGCTTCATCTGCAGCGGCTGTTGCATTTTTTCCAGTCATTGACATTGTCGTGGTCGTACTAGAACTCGAACTAGAACTCTCCTTCAGTTCCCGCTTCTCCTCCTTACGCAGTTGGTCGAAGAAGTCACGTAGAAGCGTCGTTTTTCCCTGCTGCCGTTCACCGGTGACGATAAGGGGAACGCTGGTATTAGAGAAGAGCAGGACGCAGACAACAAGTACTAAGCCTGAGCGTGAGCAGAACCACAACTACAAGTAATAAACCTTCGATGAGTAGAATCTCCATATTCATGACCTCCAAATCCAACGAAACTAGAAACTCAAACTATTGCTATTCAAATTGATAATGAAGATCTACTTCTCCCAAGTACACTTCTGCAAATTGATGATGAAGATCTACTTCTCCCAAGTACACTTCTGCCATAATACAGGGTCCGCATTCATCTTGCAATAGAAACCAGTCCACAATTCCACGTAAGGCTTCATCGCGACGTAAAACCTTCAACGACCGATTCCGCACGACCTGTAGGAACGCAGTTTCAGCCGCTAGATTCCTTTTCTCGCGTAATGCCAGCTTGTTTTGGCGACTAGGAGTCTGCAATATCATGTCGTCTTGAAGATGTCCTTCGCCTTTCTCATCTTAAAGGTTGATGAAACATTTCATTTTTTGATAGGAGCAATCACTACAAGGGAGAAAGCAGGAATGTAAAATTTATGAGATAGAAATGATATTAATGAGAAATGAAGATGTTCCCAGAGCCCTTAATTATCAGGTGTCCTTTTGCTGCTCTGTGGTGTTATGTAGGAGTCTGCAGGCTTCGTCCTGGCTCCACCTCCCGTTGAGTCGTGCCTTACTAATGCCTTAGAAGGTTTGCGACTGCTGGAGGCTGGAGAGGGACGCTGACTTGGACGTCCGCGTTGTGGAGTGCCACCTGCTGCAGCAAACCCAGAAGTCTTGCTACTGTTATTCTTCTCATGTAGGTGTTCCTCCCCAAAGGGGACTGCCGCAGGTTGACTCTTACTACGTGGCAGTAGTTGTGCAAAATCTTCCAAGTCCTCTTGTGAGCCCTGTGAATAGAAAACTCCGTCAGGTGGAGGCAGCGCATCCTCGTTAAGGGCTTCTTCAAACGCGACACGTCGTTGCTTCTTCGTCGACTTGGGGGGTGCGGATCCGGGTGCACCACGTTTGGATGCCATTTTTTTGATCTACAATTGAATAGAAGTTCTTGGTCGTAGTGTCAAAATTGGTCAAAATTCTAAAACCTCGCTCACGAATCAAAATCAACCCGTTAATAACATTCATTAATCTACTGAATACTTATCCAGTCGCTGAAGATCAGAAGATGTAATCTTAGATTGATCTGTACTTCTACAACTACAAAACATCAGCAGCGGCGCATCAACTTTATCAATAAAGGGCGAGTATTGAATGTCAATAGATTAAAGAAACCGATCAACATCCTCTTCCGTAACAGTTTGGGTTTCTTCGGCAATCGTCTGAGCGAACACGTCGAACACGAAAGCAGTACTATCTCACATCGGCTCTGTCTGAAAGTGGGAGACATTGGAGCCCGCAGAAGCTTGGTGATTGCATACTATAGAAGGTCAAGGTGAACTCTTCTAGATCAAGAAGGATGTTCGTCTAGTTGTTCTCTTCTCTAAGCCCAGGAAGAAGATTAGGTTCTTTCACTTCGTGCAGTCTGTGCTGCGATTGCGAATAAATTTATGGCGGAGTTAAATAATTATTTTAGCATCTAGTGGTAAAAGTGAAGATTTGGAAAAATAATTATTTGCTATAAAATAATTATTTAAGTCCGCCATAAAATTAAGTCTAGAAGTATTAACAATATTTCGCTTTCGGAATCCGTCATATGACATCATTAAGAACAGGTATGATCATGACATTCTCCTTGGTAAGAAGTGCAAAATAACTCAAACTACTAGTTCAAAGGGACGATCAACATTTTTAGCGTTCTCAGATCATGATATACTTCAGCTTCTATTTGACCGCACAGTCTCCACCTCAGTTATAACACAGGTACATCTAATCCAGGCTAGCCAACCCCTATCTTCAGAGCCACGACTCGCGTCTCCCACACCTAGAGAGGTAAATCTAATAAAACGAAAGCCTTGACATCATCGCGAGTATCAGTTTTCCTCTATCAGTCTCCTCCTCTACTCTCTTCCTCTGGAAATCCGTAGAAAGCCACTTCTGCAAGGTAGAACAGTTTGAACTTTTCCGGCAATAATAGATGAAACGAACACGACTGTGCTCTTGCGAAAAAAAGCTGGTTACAATCTTGTTGCAGAATTTGAATCTTCGGAAAAATATGACATTATCTTCAGCATCAAGCAGTAATCCTAATCCAAAACTCAAACGATAAAATTCATCAATGTTGAGGGTCTTAGAGCCTCACGCTAATTGACTTTGACAGCACAACGACCTCCACCTCGATGACAATACACGCACCACGACACCTAGAAGTATCCCCATGATCCCGACCTCCACTACTATCTTCTCCCACTCGGGATCACATTACTTCTTTCTTTCTCCAGCATCCGACTAAAAAGATCCTCTCGCTTGGCGTTGTCCTGCTGTTCTGCAATGCGATTTTGCCGCTCTTCATCCTCTAGTCTTTCTCTCTTCTGAATGATTTTTAGAACTCACTCCAATCCATCTTTTCCCTCACCTGCTTCCACCTTTCTCCTTGAAAACAGCGCACAGATCATGGACTAATACTAGTACAGATGGACGACTTCTAAAACATGGATTATATATAATAGAACAGTTTATAAGGGTTCCCAACATGGCTGGGCTGGGCACGCTGGGCACACTGGGTCGCTGGGCGACCCAAATGCGCCAGATCTGCCGAATTTTGCGCCCAGCGTGACGCAAGAGCGGCGCAGCATCGCACGCATCGGGCAGCGCAGTGCAGCGCGACGCAGTGCAAGCCTGAACAGAGCAGGCGCCGCGCACCCCGCTACTGCGCAAACTGGCGCAGCACTGCGCCAGCGCTGCCCTGAACCTTGAGGGCGGCGCGCCGCCTTTGTTTGTCCTCACGGGACGCGCTGCACCGCGTCCCCGCGGCGCAAGTAAATCCATCGGCCGCGCAGGCTCGGCATGCCCAATGTGTGGCCCTCAAGTCCGCGAAGCGCTATCCAAGCGCCCGCCCAGCGTGCCCAGCGTTGCCGCCCAGTGTGCCTCGTGTTGCCGCCCAGCGTGCCCAGCGAGGCCGCCCAGCCACCCAGCGTAGCCCAGCGTGCCCAGCGTCTATAAACTACTCTAATATAATAAGTCTAAGGCCTTAACATTTCTGGCGATTCTACTGCGGCGACCGACTGAGCCGATGGACGCTTGGGGGCGGCGGATGCTGCTTTTTCCTCTTCTGGTCCCTCACCAACAGTAGACGCGGCGGCCTTTGATTTCGGCGAGAACATGCCTATCGCTCTGTTTCCTATTCTTAGAGGTTGCGGCATTGCATTCTTCAGACCATCCCTGGTGACCCTTTTCCTACTGGAAAAAAAGTCAAGGATGGTACTGAAGAATGCAATGTGGTTGTAACCCTTAATTTTACCGCTTTCAGAATTCCTCCACCTCCACCAGGTGAGCCTGCTTTATTCTTGCGATTTGGGCTAAAGAAACTCGCTAGAGTTTTTCCGGCAAAAGTCATATTCGCAGGGGGTGCTTCGGCATCGTGTCGTGAAACGCCGGTAAGTTTCTCTTCGAGGCTTAGAAGAAGTACTTATACGTCAAAAATGACCACACACTCCTGTATTATAGTACTCTCATCTAAGGATAATCAGTGGTTAGCAGTGGTGGACCTAGCCACATTGAAGATACATCAAACGATAAAGTATTCGAAAAACTGAAATAAGCGAGTAGTAACTACTGAAAATAAGCGAGATACTGAACAAGGAAGAGTAGCCCTGTCAAAGCTACCTCCCTTATCTCAGTCAGTAACTCGGCTATTTTCAGATTCAGTTTTCGAGTACTTAGTACGTAGTCGTCCTGAAAAAGAAAATACCGCTTTAACAGCATCATAACTCAATCTTCGCAGCCATCCTCTCCTCCTCCGCTTTCCGCTTTTTCTCCGCTTCTACCCTCGCTTTTTCTTCCTGCTCGAACTCACGCACCACTCTGTCCCGGTCCTCCTTAGCCATGGCTGCAAAGGCTGCTTTTACGGCCTCCGCGTTCTTCTTGAACTCCATTTCTTTGTCTTTCACCCTGCGCTTTCGCCTTCGAAAAGCAATCTTCAAATCCCTTTCCATCTCCAAGCGCTTTTCCTCATATCTCTGTTTTTTCCTCTCCTCCCGTCGTTTTGCCCTAGCAGCGTTGCGTTCTAGGTGTTCTATTTGTCTGCGTTGAAGGTGTCCTGGTTCATCGTCGTCATGCTCGACTGGAGAGGCGGAGTCGTCTTCTTCGACCTCTACTTGTCCTTGTGCATCATGATCCTGCCCAATAATAGACGAAGCAGTACTGGACACTCGACGCGGCTGCGCTGGTTGTAAGGTGGACGAAAAATAAGGATTCCTTGAAGATGCAACTGGAGTATCCATAGTACCCTCTTCGACGCCAGTACCAGTGAGATCTTGTTCGTTTAACATCTCACGTCCGACACGTTCTCGCTCCTCAGATGAGCTTGTCCCCTCTGCTAGCAAATCGGCATCACTCATGCGCCTCATCTTTTGCTTGTACACATTGTCCTCCATATCGGGAATCATGGGGATGCCACCTTCACCAGTTGTACCATCTTCTCCACCTCCAGGACTTGTTTCCTTGTCCTTCTTGAACGTTTCCAACAATGAGACGCTGTTCTTGATCCCTCGCACACGTGACAACAGCATTTTTTTCGCTCGTTCTCGTTTCTCTGTCTCATTGTCTTCGGCAGCCTGGAGGTCTTCTTTTCTTTCTCTAATCGCCATTAGCTTCTTCACCAAGAATGAGGCTTTGTTTGCCGACGCCACTTGATTCATGGTACCCAGACGCTCATCGCGCGCTGCAGACAAAGATGCGCGACTGTTCGTACCTTGACTCTGCTTCACTTTCATCAAAGACAGCATCGCGGTCAATTTCGCCGCACGAGGTGAGCCAGGGACTGCTACCGGTGATTCTACTACAACACGAGCTGCTGCTTTACTACTAGCTGTAGGGCTTTCTCCCGCTCCACCTAGAGGTGACGAACTAGTACCTCCAGCTTGATCCTTAGAGGTAGTTCTAGTAACTACGTCTGCTTTGATGTATTGTTTCGCATTAGGGTCTCCAGCATGTTTAGCGCCTTCGCCTCCGCCTCCTTCCGCAGCAGCCGTTTCACCGTCCTTTCCACCTTCTTCGCCTTCTTTTGCCTCAGCATCTTCTTCGGCATTTATTTCTCCTGTCCTCTTCCCACTAGTTGTAGTATCAGTAGTAGAGCAAGGGTTCCGCTGCGCACCTCCTTCATTAGAGGTTGCGGAGTTGCATTCTTCAGAACGTCCTTGGCCTATTTTCCCCTTGAAAAGGAGCCAAGGATGGTAGTGAGGGATGTAATTCGGAAACCCTTAACTTCAAAAGTCAACAAATCCAATGCGCCCGTTTCTACATTCAAAATTTGAAAATCCACACGAACTTGATCCTTCGTACTGTGCTGGACTTTGGTCACCACCTGCAATTGATGCAAAGGCACACAACAGCTTGCAAGACTAGCGTCACCTTCGATGTCGGACGCTTGCGCAATAAAGGAAACCAGCCGATTGTCCACACTTCCTCGAATGCCAGACTGAGAGAGTGTGATCCCGTGTGGTCCTCGCACCACATTAGGAATCCAACCCTGTTCACGAAGAGTTGCTTCTTGCAGTACAACATCAGGGTCGACTACAACATCTGCATCTGTTGTCGTCGCATTGCCTTCAGCATTGTTGGGGTCTTGATGCTCTCCTCCATCTGGTAGTTCCACCTCTCCATCTGGTAGTGACTCAGCTATGAAGTTAGAGAAGGGAAACCAGAAGTGTCACCACGATCTTGAAGAACTTCTACTACATCCTCAACTACTTCTTGATAGCTATGCGATTCTAGCACAAACTCCATGCATAAGAAGGCCACTTTCTCTAGACGTTGCTCTCGACAATATGCTGCCAGCGTCGTTCCCTTTCCCATCCTGCCAAAGCAAGTGCCTAGCTATCGCGTTTGCTAGGGTTAGAAGAAAATGGGGAGCAGCTATGGTCCAAGAAGCAAAAGAAGGGCAGCTATCTTCCAGGTAAGTGCAGATCATGGGCTATTCATGTGCTCCACCCTGACTTAGTCTCGAAGTCAAAAGACGGCAGTATTCAACCACCTAACGGGTTATAAGTTTTCAACCTCAAAGGGTTCGGATATACACGGCACGCTATCCAGGTATAATCTAATCTACAGAACATTATACCATAATTCTTCTTCCGTCTCCGGTCCACTCCTTTTCCGCAATTCTTGAACGTTTCCCCCATACAAAGGTGTCGGGTAATGTCCCGTGTCAAACATTGGTGATGGAATCAGCTTGATCGCAGCTTTATCCTTATCCTCAGCATCCTTGTTCTTGGAGTCGTTAGCTCCTGATGTTGCATCGTCTCCGGTAGAAGTGGGTTGTCCACCAGAAGCTCCATCCGTCTTATCCTTATCCTTTTAGCGTGTGCCACAATGCATCTCGGTCCCCCCATCTTGGCCCCTTATGCCTTGTATTTCAAGCGAATAGAAGACGGCTGCAAAAGGGTAGTACCAAGATGATGCCGAGAGAGATGGACACTATGTATAAATATTGACCATAATCCTTAGGATTGCTCGCAGATCCCGAGGCTCCAGGAGACTGTTGTGCGGGATTTGGTTGAGGAGATGCTGGTCCTGCTGATGAAAAACCATTTCCAACGGGTAAGGATGCATGCGACGGCGATCGTGCTAAAGGCGATCCAGTCATGGGTGATGAAACAGAAAGAACACTAGTATTTCCATCTCCTTCTTTACTACCGTTCTCCAGAGACTCTACACCGCGGCCTTCCTGTGGATTATTACTGTTCTGTGCTAGAGCTTGTTGAGCAGCTTTGAGCTTTTCCCCAGCTTCATCGATTCGTTGCTGTTCGGCACGTGATACTTCAGGGAAAAACAACAATGGCCAAAAGATGATGCTTGAGAGTGGAAAAGGATCCACCACCGCCTGGTCAGCGGTACCTGCAGCTTGGTCTCCACTACCATTTTCTCCTTTTCTCGGTGAACCACGACTAGAACCATTTCCTCCGTTGCCGTTTGCACCATTTTTACTTCCATTACCATTACCGTTGCCATCATCACCTGTCGTATCCGCTTGCGAAGCTCTCACACGCCAGGGCTCAGTCTCCCTCGGACGGCATTGCAACGCCCACCCAAAATCCGTCAGAACCAATCGACAAAGAGCCGTTTGTGTGTGCAACATCCCACTTAACACCGAACCAAGCGTACAGCCAATCTTCTGCTGCTCTTCTAAAATTTGCGACGCTCGTCCGTAAGGTGCTAATGCGAGTTTGCCTTCGTAAAACACATGCCCAAAAGGACAGAGATGTGGCGAATAACGGCCCATGAAGTAGATGGTGGCTTCGAAAAAGAAGTCCACTAAGTGAAATTCAAACGACAAACAAGCGGAATCGTATTCCGTGAGATTAGAGGCTACGCGGCTATTGCATTCCTCAGATCATCCAGCATCCTCAACCACCCTTTTCCTACTAGAGCAGTGGAAAATGCGTGAAGGATGGTAGTTGTGAAGAATGCAATGTGGCGACCCTTAATGAGAGGCAGCTTCGCGGCAATCCCCTCATCTTCTTCGTCCCGAGCTAGACCATCGGAACCAGAAGACCCCTTTTTCTTCCGAGTCGTTCTGGTGTCTCCATTGTTGCTGCCGCCCTCGATCAGCTCGCACAAGATGTCCGTTACTTCTGATGCTTCGGCTTTGTGCTCCACAAAAGTGACTACTACTTCCTGTTCGTCGCCTAAAAACTTCTCGTAGTCTTTGTTCTTCTTGGAAGTGCGCTTGAAGTAGATCAGGCCACGCAAGACGAGAGGTCTCGTTTCTAGCAAAACCTGCTGAATGGTCTCATGGTTCACGAAAGGCAACGGCCCAATCGCCCAAGTAACTCGGCACCGTTCTCTGATCTCATCCTCAGTGAGGTCGAGTGCAAGAGCATCTAGCAGTTCGTGTAGCCGGTCTTGCTCTTTGGATGTGAGCTGGAATCTGAAAGGGGAAGAAGGTTGGGTATACAGTAAGAGTAGTTTCTGTGCTGCAGATGGAAATAGTAAGTACGTGAAGGGGGCTAGTACTGCTATCTTTTTTGGATCAAAATCCATGAATCAATCTACAACAAGAACAACAACAAGTTGTACAAATAACTAGCAGAAAGAATTCCGTATCGTCCATGGTTTCATAACATGAGTCTCCCCATCACCAGCTACGCTGTCGAATCCACTTGCCGGCAACGCAAAGCCTTTTGCTTTGGATCCCCTCAACTTCGCGGCACTTTTTCTCTTCGCACTTCTAGCATCATTTAATTAGAGGTAGGTTTTTGGTGCTCGCTTACCCCGCTTGTTATGCCTTTCTCCCTTAGAAGAGGCATAAAAAGCGGTAAGAAAAGCACCTTTAACCTACCCTTAATTTAATGCTCGCATTGCGATGAGGTCGAGTTCCCGCTTCTTCACCGCCTCCTTTTCCTCTGTCATCTTGTGGATGAAGTTCTCCTCGATGTGGTGTTGTAATTCGTGGAGAAGAGTCTCGGTGAGCAGTCCTGTCAGCTCTTCGTCCTCAGCCGCCGCCGCGTTCATTTTAGCCTCGTCCATGTGTTCCGGACTTGCTACTCCTTCCACTGTTAGAAAATCGCATCTGAGCATCCAAGCGCCAGCATCCTTCACTTTCCAATCTCCGGCAATAGGAACGTAGTTCAGATTCACCAGATACTGCTTGCTTTGGTCGTCTCCTAGACTCGTCTTACTGTCGTGAAATGGATCATTCCCATTTTTACCTCCATTAGTGTTTCTCCCTGATGACGGAGCAGTGAGGGCTCCAAAAAACCTCCTTAACAGTGGTGGACATTGCTTCGGTTTCAGATAAACCCTAGCTCTGGCGGCTGAGCTGTGGAGACATAGAGCTGGGTCAGATCCGTACAGGACTTCATTCCAAAGGGGTCCAGAACCGTCGCCTCCAAAAAAGCCACCTACCGTCTCTCCAGGACAACAGGCACCCATGTTGTAGTCTCTTGAAGTTCTGATGGTGAAGGGTTATTTCAAGTGGTTCTGAAGATGAGGTGGTTCAACATCGTGAAGAACTTATTTCACTGGCAGTGGTACGCCCGTAAAAATATCAAAGATCATGGCCTAGGATTCAATGCTGGTGGTGCTTGATTGTGTCGTCCACAACATGGTATTATCAGTAGCTCAGTGTGCAAGGCAACGTATCGACGTCGATGGCTGCATAATGAGGCGAGGAGACACATTTTCTTTACACGACGGCTCGGGACGACGATGTACGATTCCTTCTCCGCCACCTCCTCAAGGAAACAGACCACGAAAAATATTCGAAAACCACAACGTCCAAGAATACGAATTCTCGCCTTCAGGAGGTGGATTCCAGACCGTTTCTGTTTCTCGAGGAAAAAACTCTGCGAAACGAGCTGACCATGTGTGAATTCGGGTTGTTTCGAGATTGGTTTTGGGGTCGATCAAACGAAGTCTTTTGGAGTTTTCGATGTTGGGCAAGCTTATGAAAATGTTTTGACTGCTCTTGTCCTGCGAAGATGATGCAGAAGAACCACGTCTAGGCCAACACAGCTTTGATGATTTCTTTCGCGGCCCACGATCGTCACTTTCTACTTTGGCAACCTCATCATGTCCACGACTGCTTCTTTCCACATCCTCTCCTTCTTTCTCTTCATCTTCCTCATCCTGGTTCATCATAGTGTGGTGCGCAAAATCGATCAACGATAAATCGTAATTGTAAATTTCACGGATTACAGATATGCTTCTGCTTCCCCTAGCACTACCTGTACCTCTCGAGGTTGACGAAGCTACCCTAGCACCGCGCAATCGGTCTTGATGATTCTTTACGTAATCTCCACTTCGACCTCCTATAGTACAGAAGACAACGACGTCTACCACCTCCGCAGTGTTTGCTTTTTCGGCTTCCGCTAATTCAGAGCGGTCCTTCACCAAAGCCTCCTCAAACGCCACTACGCTCATGCTTCCCTCTAGTGTCGAGACGCCACGCTCTGCGGCTGATCGACAGTCGACTAGCAGCGTTTTAGCAGGGGTGCCAGGAGTCGAGGATTCGTCTAATTTTTCCAGCAACCCCCTCGTATCCACAGAAGGCACATCGTCGCTTCTGCAAAACCGGTCGAAAAATGTGCGTGCTTGGCGGTGTCGGTTGCGACTCTCCGAGGAGGGGTTACGTGGCGCGGTCGGAAGAGCCTTTGAAGATCCTGCTTGCGACATTGTGATCCTCAAGTGATGCTTCCGTCAAAGCAAATTCAAATTTTAAGCTTTGAGTAAGCGTTGTTGTTTGTATTGTTCCTCTCCAAGAATTTTGATGAGAAAAGCTTTTCTACTCGCGTGAATGCACGCTGCTTCAGATAGGACGTTTACAGATTTTCACTGTACTTTCGTGTAGGTGTCGGTAGAGCACTATCACTATGAATGTTTGGCTAGTAGCGAGAGACTCCGTCGTTCTCAAGAACACGAGAATGAAGTAGTCTACTACAGCTTCAAGATAAGATTCTTTCTTTCAGAACCTCCAGAAGTGATTGTTCTCTCCTAGCAATCATGTCGTCGCATGACGTCTTTTTTTCTTCGAAAAATTTTGTCGTCAGACAAGGTGGATAGAATTAGAACAACAGTAAAAGTAATCATCATCATGTTCTTGGCACACTTGAAGACTCTTTCTCTTAGAAGTTCTCGTTTTTATACACAAGAACGCCTCCCCAATCGCATTCACTTCCAAACTTTATCCAGTTCGTCCCTCCACGCATGCAAGCCTTCCGCACTTATTTCGCCATGCTTGCCTTCAAAAAGGTTCATCACCGCATTTTTGTGCATCATCTGCTTGGCACGTGCTGGGATTAGAAAGCAGAACAAGGAACAAGATCTTCGTTTCAAAAGGGTTTTCTTCATCTAAAGAACTACTACGTCAACATCAACTACAGTTTAACTTTAAATGTTGAAAGAAGCCATAACATTCCCGATGCACTATCTCCAACCACGACGAATCCGCGGATCGCATTGGCTGATGCGACTCTCACCGCGCCAAATGTTATCCTATCCGCCTCCACTGCAGCGAGCAGGTCACTCTTGCCTTTGCCTGTTTTATCCAGTGTAGGCGTTTTGTTATTCGCCAAATGCAGAGTGAGCCAATCTAGACTGCCGTCACGTACTCTACCGTACGCACCAGCAATTCCAGCATCGCCTTGCATGCCACTACTGGCATGCGCCATGGGACCGCCATCTTGGCGACCAGAGGTTGCAGACATGCTCCTGTTGGTGATGTTCTGCTGAAGAAACTGATGTTTGCTATAAGTAGTCAATAGGCATCAATGGAGGAAATGGTGGCTATGAAGACCTATGTATGTGGTCACATTACAAATAATTGTTTGAGGTAATTCAGGTCGTGCTTGCACCTACTACTTTTCTTTCTCCAGAACGGACTTGGATAAAAATCTTCACGTAATTTAATGAATTGGATAGTTGCCTATTTATTTTCACTTCGCACAACCATTTTTCAAATGCAGCAGCAGCCCTGCACAGCTCTCTCTTCATCTCCATTGAATCATGTGCAAAAGCATGGCATGATCATCAAAAAAAAAAGTGAAGAAACGCTAATCGACTGATTTTGAAGAGAACTACTTGATATCACAGAGCAATTTATAAGGTTTCACGGCTCGCATGGCATGGAGTGCATGGATCGCATGGAGTAGCATGGAGCTAAAGGGGGAGCTTCTTGCGCCCCTTAAAGCTCTGCGCTCCATGCACTCCATGCACCATGCGTGCTATAAACTACTCTGATTTATCATCAGTTATTTTCCTGTGTCCACATTCATTCGCCACTCTACAACTACCACCACACGACTTCACTTCACAACCAATCTTCAGCTTCTCCCCTTAATCCTCGGCATGTCTTTCCACCCTATCTCCCTACTCAAAACCAAGTCGTCTTTCACCCTATTAAAGGTCAGCAGTCAGGGGTCACTGATGCTGAACGGAAGGGACCACCTGCGAAGCTCTCCCCTTTTCCCTTCATTTTCCCCTATTCTAAATCCAGGGGTCTCCTCTTCGATCTCAGTGACCCCAATCTGAATGGTGACCCCAATCTGAAACTAAATGGTGTTGAGCCTTAACCTTAGCTGCCAAAAACAACGGACAATGTCTATCGTCAACTTCCATGTACTTCCTCCACATACGCCCACAGAATTTCCGCATGGGTGCAACTTCGTCTTTGTAGCAATACTTTCCGCACTCTCCGCAATACCACGATATTTTCCACTGAACCTGCACTGGCAAGTCGTCGAGAGGGACACTGGGGACAGCTGCTGCAACTACTTGTTCTGCGGAAGTAGTGGTCTCCACCTTTCCTTGTTGTATTTCGTTCTTCGATAGATGATCATCACTGCTGGAATCATTTTTAGACCTACGCAAAACTCATCTTTCAGCTTCATCCCTGAAAAGTTAGTATGAGGGAGATATTCCCTCTCTCATACTAACTTTTCAGGGCTGCGCCGAAAGATGAATTAGTTACAGCCTTAACATTTGCATGTACAGCGATATCTACCTCTACGTCTTGTTCTACGTTTGATCTGCCTTTGGTAACAACTGATGAAGTTCCCTCACTTAGCGCTGACGAAGAACAACTTATCGACCGCGTCTGAGCAGGTTGTTCACGACTTTGATCATGTTGGTCTTGGTCATTATCTTGTATAGGTCGTGTTCTTGCTGCAGTGGCCGTAGCCTCTGAAAACGTCGTGGACCTAGATGAGGAACTAGATGAAGGTGAAAGGTGAACAGCTTCTGCTTTAGCAGCTGACGACGAAGAGGATAACGTTTCGGGTGTCGCGTCTTTATCCTTTGAACTGAAGGCTCTTTTCTGTGTCCTCCAGTCAGACTCAACTCCAGTTAGGAGTGGTCCTCGTCCTCGTCTTGTTTCACTCATGGTACCTTGACCCGCGCCCGCTACCACATTCGATGAATACTCTCCTCCTGCTCTCCGCCAGGACGAGTCATGATATGCTCGCAGCACACCCCTCCTACTTGAAAGGAAGCGGGGCAAGGCGGTCGAAGAACTTCCAAGAACGAATGGACGCGAACATGACGAGGGCCATGACATTTTCATTATTTCTGATCTGTAGTAAGGTAACACTGTTCTTCTTGTTGCGCAATATTTCGCTCTTCTTTCAAATTCAATCACTCACAATAAGGTGAACCTAGGACTTTCTAAGACCAGTATTTCAACAAAGGGACACTAATTAATGACTGCCCTGTCAGACGGGAAGGTGCATTCCCATCTTAGAAACTTCACCTCTTCACTCGTGATGGTTGCTTCCACTGGACGAGCCCACTGGAGCCGAGTGGCTGAAGACATCAACCACGACTACCTAAGTAGCTTTTGTTCTTCTCATCTCGTTTGAAGAAATTCATCCTCGTTATTTGGTGCAAGATGCAAAGCGGCGAAGATCATTGAATCTGCTTTTTGTTCTCCCAAAAAACAATGCCTTAAAATGCAAATGTGAAGAATGTATGTAACCGGCGGCGAGCAGCTTAGTTGTAGTACGGCTACCCCTCTATTTAGAACAACAGACACACTTCGAAATCTGTAGAACTAGAATAGGCAACGAACTAGATCTAGAATGAATATTGCTGAATGATCTCAAGAATCTTGAACAGAGATGTAAATCAATGCTGATAGTTTCTTCAGACGGAAAATTGATCGCTCTTATTGTTCTGTACGACCTCCACGTGGGCTAAGCTTTGTACTGAGCTTTCTCCTCTCCTCGTCGTTAATACAAACTAGTAGAATATTGTAGAATGATCTCAAGAATCATCAACAGAGATGTAAATCAATGCCGAAAGTTTCTTCAGACGGAAAATTGATCGCTTTTATTGTTCTGTACGACCTCCACGTGGGCTAAGCTTTGTACAACTGAGCTTTTTCCTCTCCTCGTCGTTAAAAACTAGTAGAAGTATTACATCTCCAAACTACTTCTATGAACAGCACAAGCACTTCTTTGAGGAGCTTGCCTTTACCAAAATTATATGTAGAAGTACGTAGTTCGACGGCGCTATGTAGTACTGGTAGGTCCAGCTTCTTCCGTGTCTTTTTTTAGGTGGAACTTAGATGTCAAGCTACAATTTTGTTCCCTCGCAAGCATAATCGCAGGAATCTTCTTGTTAATTCATTCTCGGTTTTTTTATCTAAGCACTCGAGAAGTAGACTACCCTAGTATCCTTAACACCTGTTAACATCTTGTTCAGAAGCTGCTATACCACAAACCAGCATGTTCTACTGGTTTTATTGGCAGGACTTGTATATCGGTCACCAGTACCATTTGTTCCACGCCTTCGATAGAGACAGTCCAATATTAGACCTGGACCGATTTGTTCATCTCTGACCTGCATCCTTGAACAATACCTCCATGGGGAGATAGATACTCTGACTCCTGGGGAGATAGATCCTGAAGAAAGAGAATAAATAGCATATCGAATATTTTTCTGACGGATTCTTTCAAGGATGCTCTCGGAGATGAATTTTCAATCCCTTGAGGAGCCTTAACAAAAACGGTTCACCCCCGACTGAAACTTTACTCCAACTAAGACACCAGTTGCAACTACTCGTTGGAAACTGCCTTCACTGGCAGTGCCTGCTGGTGTAGTACTTCTACTGCTTGGTCGAGGCTGTTGTTGTCCATCTACAGACCCGCGGGAGGAATCCATACTTGTGCTGCAGGTTCCAAATTGTGCTGCATTTGCTGGCGTACTTTGCTTTTGCCCAGCAGACTCTGTGTTATAACAGAAACCCCCTAGAACCGGAATAGGCTGTTGCTGTTGGTCGTCTCCTGAAGAACCTGATGATGCTCTCGTCGCACTCTCGTCAGGCGCCTTCAGTGCGGATGCAGGCATTTCGAGCCTGCGTCCCGGGGATTAGAGGACCGAAAGTGTTGGCTCTTGCTTTGTCATGTATGGGCCTCTGATGACACTGTCCGTAGTGCCCGTAGAGATGACTAATACTGATAACAATTCAGGGCCAGATTTGGATGTCAACAACTCGTCACCCATTGTATCTGAGATACATTTTATTATAGGATAGGATAGGAAGTGATCCGCCAAACCTTAATGATCCTTGTCTGGAAAGAAAGACGGGTCTACGCTGATTGCCGGCACGTAGTCACCCAGGTCCAAGTCTCGAATTAGCTGAACGATTACAGGCATACCGGGTTCCAGCATATATTAGATGAAGAAATTATCGAAGCGGGAACGGGACCGGGAGTACTTCTGAGTATATGTATTTAGTTTATTAAGTATCTTAAATTCAGTAGATTACAGAGGATTTGTGCCTCACCTCACAAACCTCGTGGCAGTTGCCTTCCAGATCATGATCCCCTATAAGATTCTTAAACTGAGTGGGAGGGGGAGTCTCGTTTTTCTATGTATAAAAAGAGAACGCTCACGCTTCCTAAAACCAATTCCTCCACAGAAATTCAAAGCCTCAAAAACATAAGTAGCAAGCTACTTGAGGCAGCGCTTTGCTTTGTACATGACTGTAGTTCTAGTTCTCGATGTTAATTTCCTGCTAGCGAAATTATCCCCTCGTCCGTAACTTGGGTTCATGATTCCTGCACTCATCTCCTCTGTCACTTTCTCCGCTTCTGACAGACTGTTGTAAATCATGGGCGTTTTTAGAGCTAGTACCCCTAATCCACCCGTATCTACAGAAATTGTATGCATGTGGTTTTACCCTGCTATATACTATTTGAGGGACAATCCGAATAGAATACATGGATTTGTTGGGGCCTTAACGTTTCTGTTCGATAAGTCTCCAGTTGATGAAGAAGGTCAAACCGGTTCCTCTTATGCGCCAACGGCACTTCCTTGATAGCGGTGGCGGCCAAATCGCTTGCCCATCCCATAGGCTTCTCGTTGAACCTGTAGAAGAATCAGGAGTAAGTAGAACGTATGCTGTACTAGGGTTTAGTCCTTCGAGTAGGTTATCAAGATTTCGATTTCTTATTTTGAACACCTCCTTAGCGGTTCAGGAAAGAGACTTCTACTTATATATAAAGTACAATTTCGCAAACGTCGTGCTATCGTTCGCTGCACTTGCAATGGCGGTGGCGGCCAAATCCCTTGCCCATCTCATCGGCTTCTCGTTATACCTGTAGAAGAACATTAAAGAGCTAAAAACAAAAATCAACAACGACCCCGCCAAACTCTCAACCTCACACTCCCGAACCCCCAACCCCCGAGCTTTTTATGAACTTACGAACTTCTAAACTTATGGCCTTACGAACTGAAGAACATATAAGAAATTAGGGTGGAACTTAGGAACTTCTGAACTTACGAGGTTCAGCCTACGCATAGCCAAACACGGCCGTAGGCGGTGTGTTTGGTGTAAATTCTGAGCAACATAATCAAAAATTTTGCTAATTTGAGCCAAAATAGCAAAAGTTTTGACTTTATCAGCTAGCAATAAAGCTACAACTTTTAAAATTCAAAAAGCCAGCCCCAAAACCTCAGGCCCAAGACCGCAAGCCCAAGGCCCCAGGCGTGGCATTTCATTGGACTACGATCACGACACCGGCCAACACGCTGCGAGTGATGTGTAGCCAATCATAGCGAAAGGCGCTCTCATTTAAATGCTAAGCGATAAAGTCAAAAACTTTGCCATTTCGGGCTACGGTAGCTAAGTTTTTGACCTTATCAGCCGAGACTGAGCGCTAAACTTTTCAAATTCGAGCACTCAACTCCAAAGCCACAAGCGTGGAATGCGATTCGCCTACGCTCACGACTTCGGCCAACGCGCTGCCCATGGGATGATGTGTAGAAGCCAATCACGACCACGGGCGACATAAATAAAATCCTAAGTGATAAAGCTGAAAAATCTGCTATTTTGGGCTAGCGTGCCTAGCTTTTTACTTTAACAACCGCGGCCAAGTTTCAAACTTTTCAAACTCGAAGACCCGACCCCAAAACCACAAGCCCAAAGCCTCAGGCCGGGCGCAAGGCTTCAAGCCTAACACTTCGAGTCCAAGGCCTCATGTCCAAACCTTCAAAGCCAAGTCCTCAAGCCCAACACCTCAGGCCTAACGCTTCAGCCCCAAGCCTTCAAGCCGACGGCTTTAAGTCCAAAGCAAAACGTCCAAGATGTGAAGCCCCAAGCCTTCAAGCCTAAGACCTCAAGCCCAAAACCCCAGACAAAACCCGCCAAATCCAGCTACGCCCTGAGCCCAAAGCTTCAGCTTGCAAATCCAAAGCCTCAAAACCCAAGCGCCAAGCCCGAGGCTTTACGCAGGCATAGAGCTTCGCTGAAGCTCGATTCAGCTTCAAACTGAAAGCCACAGGCCTCGTTTCAAGCTGCAAGCTCAAAGCTTCAAAATCACCCCAGGAAACGAAGCCCCCAGCCCACCCCAGAAAAGCTTAAGCGTAGAGCTTTGCACTCGGGTCATGCAAGACTTCCAGCCCAAGAGCTTGCACTATATTCAAAAGCAGGCAAACTCTGAAACATCTCAAAAACCTCAGAGGAGCGACCCCCTCTGTCAAATTCCGCGGCGCCTCTGCCCCGACTCCTCTTCCGCGGATCAACTCCGCCAAGAAAGCGCCGCGATCTGGCGGCAGAGGAGCGGGGGGGCGGGGCGCGTCTTGGCGGAGGAAATACCCGAGGGAGGTGGAGGATTCTAGTGGAGGGAGAGCTATCGGGCGCTGAAGTCTAGAAGTAAGGAGTAAGTAGAACGTATGCTATGTTGTATGGTTCAGTACTTCGAGTAGGTTATCAAGATTCTAATTTCTTTTGAGCACTTCCTTAGTGGTTCAGGACGGAAACTTCTACAAAAGCAGATAAACTTTATCTGATATTATATTAAAGTACAATTTCGCAAACGTCGTGATATCTATCGCTGCACTTGCAATGGTGTCATCGATCAACTCCCGCGACCCCGATAAAAAAGACATTGCTCGCAAAGAGTCTTTGGTTTGGACACCTTTTCTCTTTCCTTGTTTTAGAGTTGATGGTAGTAACATACCCAGAGAATCCATGCATCAAGTAAGAAACAAATGCGCCTGAAGAATTTGAAAAAAACCGATTGTAAACATTATTGCAGTAAGTATGATCTTACGATCCATGTGAAGAAATTACAGAAGAAATATTCCTCTCGAGTTGTCCTCGTCCATAACTCCTGTTGATATAATTTTTCTTCTTGCTCTTGAATTTCGACTTCCTTTTGTGCAAACAACGCGTCCACATCGAGAGTAACAAATTTGGCGGCTTCCCGCATACCATCCAAAAACTTCTGCGCATCGCTCCGAAAGACACTGATGATCTTAAACTGCTCCTTCAGGTATGCGAAAGCGTGAGTTCGTTTAAGCATCTCGACTTGCGCATGCTCTTCGGCGCTACTTGAACGAGGATGGACATTAGAAAGAATGCGTTTTCGAGTTTTCTAAGAAAACTCGAGAATTTACACTGGAAAAATTATGGAGCAGCAGCATGAAACGCAACAAGTCCATACTAGAATGCTGCAGAAGCTGTAGGTACATCACTCCATGATGTAGTAGATCATTACTTCTGACTAATCCGAGTAGGCTCTAGTCATTTAATAGTCGCGCTGTGACTGGTATCTTCCCTACTACATTACTTAGTGGTGCTGGTGCTTCGGTGGAAATACTTGAATACATACTACATTCCAACAACGTCGAAAAGAAACACAACATATAACATCAAGCAGTCTCCTCCAACACACGACCATAACGACTTTGAACTCCCCGAGCAAGTATTTCACGATTACCGGCACATACTTGTTCAATTCGTGGACCTGACTCGCCAGATGAGGAATCCAGTAGGTCCACAAGTAGCGCAAATTCTGAGCGTCCCACTCTGGACCGTGAGTCTGGCAGGAAGCAGTAGGGACTGAGGAAACTGGTCCTGACGGATTTTTGCCAGTAGTTCTAGAATTAGAGGTTGCGATATTGCATCCTTGTTCAACCCTGCTTTTCTGTTGAACTAAGGCTCAAACCAAGTACGTAGGATGGCAAAGGGTCATCCTCTCCTTGGTGGAATATTGCAACGGTACTTAACAGAAGAATCCGCTGACGAAGCTGCCGTTGGACCTGAAGCTTGAGCTGCAAAAGCTTCAGCAGCCTCTCTGGCTCTTCTTTTATCTGCTTTAGTTTTGGCAGTCGCTTTTTTCGCTGTTTTAGCTATCGGCGACACTTGAGCAACACCACTAGGAGACGCAGCACTGGGAGACGCACCGCCTTCAGCAATCGGACTTCTCTCAGCACCGGAAGAAGTAGGAAAAATTGTAGAAGCGGCTACGCGGTTCAGATTCATTCTGGCTTGAAAGCGGTGAAAATATTCTTGCTGCTTTTTTAACGCAGCTTCTTCTCATTAGAAGAAAGGGCGCCACCTGCTCAGTGTTCTGGGGAGGTGATGTACTTCTGGTTAGAGTGGCCATAGTGGTGCTACATCAACTATTTTTAGCTGCAAGTTCATATCTTCTTCACGGAGGAAAGTGCCTCAGAAGAACTACGTTTACGTACTAGCAAGTAGTTCACATCATGTGATACCATAACTCGATTCTGCATCCAAGCTTTCCATGCTCGCTGCTATTTCATATTCCCTGAAATTTTGAGCATCTGGACTCGGGTTACTGGAGTATTCCTCCAAGCTTAGCGAAGATTGCCTTTATTCATCTCGGTCCCCTCGTCTCGACCCCCTTGCGGCCCTTGTACTTATGTGAGAAGAACAAGGCGAAAAGTAGGGAGGTGGCATCGAGATCATGCTGAGAGAGATGAATAAAAAAAACGAACAAGCATAACAAGAACAGCCTCAGATAGTGCTGCTGTTTCATCCTAACGAGCTCTCTCTCAGCACGTAGACTTTCAAGAGGACTCAGCGTTTTTTTGTCCTTCTTCTCTTTCAGGTCATCAATCTCCTGCAACTCTCTATCGAGATCTAGATCCTGTTCGCTGGGTGACGGAAGATCAGAAGCCTCTAGTTGCCTGTGCAACAATCGTTTCTTGAGTCGATCCTTCGCTGATGCGAGACCTCCACTTGATTAGAATTTTAGTAGTGGAAATAGTTCTCTACGACTTCTAGCAGCCTTCTCTTGGACGATGGCTCCTGCTCTCGCTATTCTTGTTATACTGGTGGTCTTGGCTGCAATAATCTCAGAGTTGGCATGATGTTGCCCTGCTTAGAATTACAAGACGCTTTTCCTCAAAGAAATATTATCGTAATCTTTAAATCACAAGATAATCATTCATGTCCCTTAACTCGATGTCGATGGGGATTGACTTGCTTTTTGAAGCGCTAGCCGTGCTCTGTGTCGGTTGAGGGTGTTAAAAACGCGCTCCATGTACTGCTCATTCCGCAGAGGGTCTTCTACCGACACTTCCTCCACTTGTAGTCCAGCAGGTTCTTGTTGTTGAAGATCTTGTTGTTCCTCGTCTTTGCCACCTCTGGTGTCCTCCTGCAGGAAATCTACTGGAAAGAGTCGCTCTAGGCGTCTGCTGTTTTCTTCCGACGCGGCCGATAAAAAATCTCCCTTTGTTTTATCCGTCTTCTGATCTACTTCAGCGTGTGCGATATCTTGTTGACCTACTTGCGCATTCCATTCTGCACTCAGAGCTGCAAAGTTTTTCTCTCTATGTTTTTGAGCATCACGAATGATGCCCTGTTGTTTTTGTGAAGAACCCGTATCCCTCACGTGCATCATCGCGGAGACGTAAGCTCTTAAACGTCGTTCAGCTACTGGCATCAGTCCGAGGCTCGTGAAACGCAGAAGTTCTTAGACCTCTCCCGAGTTCATCCCTGTGGAAATCCCTCAAGCGTATGCGTCAGTATTGTTCCCCTTGTTGTATTAGGGCGCATGCCATGTCCTTGAGGGATCGTCCCCAAAGTAGAAAGAAGAGATGGATTAGCGGAAGCCTTAAAGGTCAGCCTGGGCAGTAATGCACATTTTTCTCCTCCACTCAACAGACTGCTCTAACCCGTCAGTATCGCCAGGAGACCCTTGATACTGATCGTGATCACCGACCTTAGTCCGGTCAAAGGAGTTGTCTCCGCCTTGATCCGCCATGGAATTAAGATACGCTTCGCAGACACTCCTTGTCTTGACTAAGGCACCTAGCCAACTCTTGTATGTCCTCATCAACTCCTCGACATGGAGAAGCAGATCAGGACTGTTTCTGTTTATTTTATATAAGTAAATAAGGGACGCGTTTCTGTTTGATTGGTAGGTGCTGTAGCTGTTCAGGATCTTTTGCTATACCTTGTTAATGAAGTTGAAGATGAAGACAAGTGAAAATTATTTTATAAAAGTGCTTCTGCTTGTACTGATCACTCCTCTTAAGAAGTTGGTCTTAAATTGCGAACTTCATTATCTAAAGGAACTATAAATGTAAATTCTTTTCCCTGAATAGGAATTGCGAAGACAACCAGTATAGTACTTCTCAAATTCGTCTCTCGTAGCGTGTAAAAGGCACGTCGCGTCTGTGCCTAGGTCTACCCCGTGTGGCGACTTCGTCTTTATCCAATTTACCAGGTTCTTGATGCCCCGCCTATCATGTGAACTTAGAGCAGTCTGCAAAGACAGATGGATCTGCCTGAAGAAAAGCGAGACTTATTCATTGATCATTTAGATGTTCTGTTTTTGCTTGAATGTGAGTCGTTCATCGTTGAAACTCCAGTGAAGCAAAAGAAAACTCGAAGATTGTGATAGTAGACTTTTAAGAACAAGAAACAAGTTATTAAAATAAGTCTAGATGAACTTAATATTAACAGAAGATTTAGGTTGCTCCTGAAGATCATATTTATAGTCCGGAGGTATTGCCGTAACACCACTTTTTGCGGATAAAATTCTGGATCGTTGACTTTCAGAGCTACTTCTTCCTCAACTTCATCTGCTTCGCCGCGTCTCTTCGTCTCCTCGGCAACTACACCAGCAACAGCAACACTTGTTGTAGAAGTTGCGGCCTCTATATTTACACCTACCTGATGCTGCTCTACTAGACCTTGAGCTTGATGTGCGTGTGCTTCCTCCACAAGAGTTGTAAGATCCATCTTCATGGCAACATCAGCGCCTTCTTTCTGCTGCGCAGAAGACTCTTTACAAGTTTTGCGGCGTTTATTCCTCTTGTTTTTGCCTTTGGGCGTCTTCGCTGTTGGAGAGGACGTCCCGTTTATTGCTGCCGGAGGCGTCATCTCGACATCCTTCACGCTACTAATGGCGCCAGATGTAGATGGTTCTTCGACTTCTTCACCTTCCAAAGGAGGTGCCTGAACAACTTGAACAAGAACGACTTCTGCATCAGATCCTTCGGGAAGAGCCTGAGAAACAGCGAAAGGAAGAGCGACTTCTGCATGAGATCCTTCTTCGTCTTCGAGAAGACCCCCTCCAAGACCACTTCCAAGCTCCTCCTCTTCTTCCTCTTCCTCCACAGCTCCAGCTAATAGTGCGAAACTGTTCTTCTGCGACACTCCAGGGACGTTCTTCTTCGACAGTAAACCAGCTTGAAGTTGTGCTGGATCTTTCTGCTGATTCGTGCCTTTGCCCCCTTTCTTCTTTTTGCCCTTCGTAGGCGATGATTGAGTTCTTGTACTCTGTTGAGGATCATGTTGATCCTTCTGCTCATCTTCTAGTACTTTTTGTTCTCCTTGGTTGATGTCCACGACAACGTCCGCAGTGAAACTACAACTGGAGCTGTTGAAGAAGCTGTTCTTCATGGTGCCACTCAGAGGCGGCGTACTACCGACTCCCGACGACGGACGAGGTGTAGTACCTGCGAAACTGCTCATAGGACGAAGCGGTGGTGTAATATTACTACCACTCAGAGGCGGCGTACCGACTCCCGGCGAGGGAGATGTACCACTCAAAGGCGGAGCCCCAATCAAAAGTGGTTCATCCCCCAAAGGCGGGGTACTGCTACCCTGCGAACTTGTTTGAGACCATGGAGCGAGGGTTGAGTTTGTGGCACGTGCCGCAACGCCCGAACTACGCGTTACGCTTTAGAGGTAGGCTTTTGATGTTCGTTTATCCCGCTTGTTATGGCTGTCCCCCTTAGCAGAAGAGCCGTAACAAACGGTAACTACAAATGCACCTTTAGCCTACCCTTAAACGTTGTATGTGTTGTTGTTATCAAAAGAAGAAGCATCCATTGCCTGCTCCTCAAGCGTTGCATGGTATGTCTCTGTCCCCTTTTGGAACTGGCAGAATTAGACGAGATAGAGCAAGAGGCGGCCTAGGACCGAGGTGCTATAATTTATTATATATATAGATATTACCAACTCCTGTAGAACAAAAACTTTAAGTATTTCAATAAAAATTCGAAAAGAAATCCAAATCTCAACGCAATAATAATGGTTGAGTCCTATGCTTGTTGTAGAACAACTTTCCATTGGATTTCTCCTTAGTTACAAACTTTCTGTTTGTTGTAGAACAACTTTCCATTGCTGTAGTTACAAATCCCCGAACATAACGAATCCACATGTCTACCACCGGCAAAGCGCCGCTCCAGTACATGTCTTGTCTCTGAAAATGTCTCTGCAATCGTTGATCGATCATCTTGTAGGCTTCAAAGTTGTTAATCCGCAGCCCGTCGAGAAACTGCCGAACCACTCGAAGGTCGTCGACCATGTTCTTCGGCAATTGTCGTTGAGGTTTTGATCTCATCAGATCGTTGCCCAGCATAGCCGCGAAAGCTGAGTAGGTAGCATCAATCAGCAGCTCTCGTAACTTCCCAGGCTCCGTTCCTTCTAATTAGCGCTCAAAATATTTGTTCATCTTTTGACTTCCTCGTATTTTCAATTCCAGAAGAGGAAACATCAGAAAGCAGACAAAAATGACGTGCGAACAAGATAAGTCAACGTGTGTTCAACAGCCTTAATCGACGAAGCATTCCTGAGTAAAAAACCTCTGCTGAGTCGCGGCCGCAGCTCCTCTCGGAGTCACATCTTGACTGGACGTCGACGCGTCTTTGCTGCTCTTCCTTCTGCCGACGCTCTCCTCTAAGTCCGGATCGGCTTCGCGTATGGTGCGGTAATTTTGCAGAGAGGCCAATCCTAATTTAGATGAACTTTTAATTTAGTGGTGGTATTCTAGATCATGAGTCTACTTACTTCTCCCCGTGCTGGTGCTGGTTAGCAGAAAAATACGAGTGTTGGTGGTGATGTTCAGTTATACATTTGTTTGTCATGCTTCTACTACTATGTGGGATAAATTGTGGTGGAGCCGCCTTAACTAGAAAAAAGAAAAACCAGAGGAAGATAGAAAAGGGAAAAGGGTAACTGTCATCAAGTGTCCTCCTATCTGCTAAAACTAATTAAGCGCCGGCGCTATCGTCGTCCTGTCAGCCCCATAGTGCCTTCGGATTACTGGGATAAAGATAATAGAGTCCTCCTCAGAACAATAAGCTATATCTTAACTGGTGTGTACCCTTCGGATGGCGTGGCAACGGCCCGTCTAAGTATCATCTTGTCGCTCTCATTAGACCTTTCGGGAATCCATCTTGAAAGTCATCTTGGAGCCCTTTTTACACAAGAGAGATCCAGTTTGCTTTTCAAAATGGGAGACTTGCGGTGGTCTTAATCTCATTTCGCGTACTTGGAGTTGGCAAAATCTGTTCTATCGATTCGAGATGGTGGACAACTTTGGGCGAAGATTCTAGGCTCAACCCTTCTACCAGACGTGACAACGGTTCAACAGCAGGATCAGCGTACGGTAAAAGCTTTTGCGGTGAAAAGGAAAAGTAGGCATCATCTTTTGAAGATGTAGTTGCTGCGCCTCCTCCTTGTACCATAAACAACTGGAGTAGTTGTTTATTTGCAGCTCCTGAAAAATCCTCTCCAATCCCATAGTGCTCATTGCCACCAAGACCAACCCCATAATTTTCATCAACATGGTCCCCATGTAATTGAGTACCAGAACCAGTTGTACTTCCATGATAACCAACATAATTTGAATGACACAAGATTGGTGGGGGTATAGTAATAGTCCTCCCTGGTCCTGCCTGCAGTGCACTTGCAGAGTGATGCATTGGTGTTCTCGCAGAGTCCCCTGATCCCGAAGCGACGGACACAGAACTCAATGACCACCCAATGTAGGAGCTTGGTTCTCTAGTTGTGGGCGTGCTAGCAACAACATGATCTTTTCGTGGAGGTTCTTGATCCGGGTCCCGTATGACACGCAAACAACTGAAAAGATTCACTGCACACGCCGAAAGGAAAACAAACGCCCTCTTGTTGTTGCTCAACATCTTAGAAGATGTTGTGGTCGTGGTCGTGCTGGGGAGATGAGTGCGACGATTTCTAGTATCCTCTTTCTTCTTGTTCTTCTTTCGTCCGCAACTATTAAAGAAGTCCTTCACTGTCGTGGTTGACGTGTTCTTGTAGTTCAGCATCTTTGAACAAGCGAGTCTTGATGTTGTCGTCCTCCTCGTTGGCTTTGCTAGGTTCTCGAGAGCGCCGTCTTAAGTAGATGGTTCGTACAGTACAAATATGCAATATGAATCAAAAGATGTTGTTGACCGTGAGAAACAAGATGTCTTATTTAAGCTCAAGATTGAAGTTGAAATCAATAATCTTACGAATTCTCAACCTAGCAGCCAGCGTGATTCAATCATACTACAGACAATTACCACGATAGATAGTTTTATTATCATTATGTTCGCGCGCGGCCCTGCCGCCTCGCACGTGTCACGCCTCGCACGTGTCACGCTTCGCACGTGTCACGTGTTGATAGTCTACCAAATCTATTGAAAATCGCAGTCTTCTAAAAATTCCTATGTAAGTATATCATGGATGTTGTCAGTGTCTCGACCTAAAGACTACACAAGGTGCAGCTACAAATGGAACGAAACGTTGTTGATCAAAAACAGAAGAATATATGCAAATGATTTTTTCCCGACGAGTACGAAAAATGAATCAAGTTTTACTTGTAGTTGTAGTTGTATGTTGGTCAAAGTGTTAATAGAGTACTCATTCATGCGCTCGAAGCCGACGTGCAGTATTCAACCAGCTACCGGGTTATGAGTACATAAATCGCGAAAAAAATTGAAAGGCAAGGTCGTAGTAGAGCTAGTCTATGTCTAACCTGAAATTTGAAAATGGGAGATTGCGTACAAAATCAAGGTGGGACAAGAAATCTTCTTCGTTTTCTTGTAAGACTCTTTTCAACACAGAAGATAAAAAGGTAACAGTCGTTCATCTGGAGCAGCAGATCTTCGTTGTGCATATTAGATAGAAAGGTCACATTGATAATTATGCACGTCACAGTGTATTGCATGAAGGGCGGATAAGCCTAGGTTAGAAGAAGAAGAAAAACGAGCCGGTTGTTGTACTTAGTGCTTTGAGCGTCGCCGGACCTAAACCTTTGCCTTTTTACAGGCAAATGCCAACCAAGATTTGCAGCACACCTCCTCTTTCTTAACTTATGGGGAAACTTCTTCTTCTGCAACACAGGAAATGTTGACACCCACGAGAATGAGAGTTTTTGGTGTTCATATTCGACCACAACTGGCGATAGAGATACTAGAGTAGATTAAGATACTTACTATTCGAAAAACTGAAATAAGCAAGTAACTGATCAGATCATCGTCCTCACACTTTGTGCTGTCACTGGAGCTGGACACGAAGATCCGAAGATCACGAAGATCGTGCTGGTTGAACAACAAAACGTGCAACACGTCTTCGAAAGTCAAAAGAAGAACACTTTTTTGCAGACCACTTGTGCTTGTCTACTTAGCAAGGAAAATTTTTTTGCTTTCTTCATTAACTTGTAATTGCTCCATCTTGTAATAAGACATTCATCTTCTGATCTCACACAACGACGACATTCATTACTTCTAAGACAGATTCTTTCTTTTGCAGGTCGACAGTTTTCTTTTGCAGGTCTCATGATGATCACCAACATAGGTATAGTTTTTTTTTGCAGGCAATTATTTAAGCTAGTAGTTGTACACATCATTCACGACATCGTCCTTGCAACAGGCATATTGGTCAACATTCATCATATTGATCATGTACTTGATCTGCATGATCTGGTTATGCATTTGCACCATTGTCTTCGATAATATATAAATAAGTGGCTTTTCTTCTTGCCTGATAGTATCTATAACATTGCGGCAGATCAAGATGCGCCATTCTCTTTCTTCATTTGCGCCATTAATACCGTATCAACCCCTCAACAAGTACAGTACTAATAATAATAGCGGGGGCGAGGCGAACCCGGGGTGGTGCGGGCTGTTCACTACAATACTCCGCGCGCCATCAGGCGCGAGATAATAGAACCAGCCCAAGGACTACCTCAATGTCCGGAGCGCCTCCAAGGCGCAGAGTTGGTACTTGGCAAAACCTCAGTATTAGCATTAATATTATACTACAGTTGAGACAGTATCTATTAATAATACTTGTCTAACGATCATTCTGCATGCCCTTAAAGGTCACTTCTTTCATGGTTGGCAAGTGATCTGAGCGCAAAAATTGGTGGGGACCTCTGTCCGAGCCGGGAATAATCTTCCCCTCGTGCCCATCATCCTCCGTATCGGCAATGTAGTCCCCAGACCCGCCACCCAGGGTCTGGCCCGATTCGTAACAACACGTCTTCGCGTGCTCAGGAAAGCGGATCTGCATCTTCAACTGCTTCCTCTGTCCCGTGTGGTGCGAGAATTTCTGTAGATGCGTTGTTGATAGAATGAATGTAAAAAGAGCTTCAAGTCCACATCTAAAAACCCCAGATTTTGATCTTGTAGAATAGACAGAGAAGATAGAAAATAACTCCAAAAAAAAGTAGAGCCCTAACTTCTACAAACAGAAGCGAATGAAAAACTTCTTTTCACAACTATCGAAGCGACCAAGAGCAACATTCATCTTCTACAAACAGTCGTGTGATCTAAAACAAGGAAGTAGTCGTGTGAAACTATGTTGTACCTTCCCAATCTGTGAAGCATTGTGATCGTTGCTATCCATAGCGATCATGACACGGTTGTAAGAGAATCCATTGGCTTTGGCAACAGTCTGGATCCAATCATTAGAGCTGCTCTGAACGAACTTGACCTGTGAAGCAATCCCGTCAATACACTAGTAGGGACGTGGCGTGAGCCTCACAGAGTCACACATGGACTTCTATAACGGAGACTAAAGGACAATATCCTCCAGCAGGATTAATCCAATGTATATTATTCTTATTTGATATCCAATAGAAAATATCCATGATGTACTATAAGAACAGACCTCAAAATACTAGAGACAGTATACGTGTACAGCAGTGCACAGCCCTTGTACAACTAGAGCCCGAGAGGGACTCGCGCAGGCAGCAGTAAAAGAGCAGGCACGAGGGATAATTCGGGTGAGGAGGTAACTATATTTCTTAAAAAAATTTTTGAACCGTAAGATCAGACGCAGCTTGGATGCACTGCTTAGTGTTGGCATCCATATGTGCACACCACAAACTCCCAAACATCAGCTGCTGCTGCGGGAAATATCTGGCGCATGATGAATGTTGAATTCTGCGAGTCGACCTTAGAAGTCATTCACATGTGATCCAAGTGGTCTCTGGTGAGAATATTAACCGAGAGGAGACGGAGAGTAGCCAAACTTCCAAACATCAGCTGCTGCTCTCGGATATTTTTCCTACACACTTTTCGATTAAAAAAAAGTCAGTTGTACCCAGCGACCAAGCCGCGTAGTCCATCCGGGTCCTCACCCTGCTGCCCGCGCGGCTGCCTGTGTGGCATCAAGAGATGCCGCGTACCAGCTGCAACCGGTTGACCTTGTACCATTTGGGCATCATACCAAATCGCACAAGGTCCCAAGTGATCCAACATACGCCAATTGCTCCCTAGATTAGAGGCACCGAGAACGTCCTATCTTTATTTAGCTTGAACGTCTTACATAAGTACCTTTTATTAGAAGCTGCGTAATATCTTTCTAATTTTGAACGTCTCATCTAAGTACTACTACTAATTTTGAACGTCTCATCTAAGTACTGCGTTATTAGAATTTTTCATATAGTATTGTTGAAAGGGCTAGATCTCTAGAGGTAAAAACTAACCGGTTGTTTTATAGAAGAAAAACGGCAGCTAAAAGATGATGCTGTGAAAGATCCGTGTTGACGGTATGGCCGTAACTAGACCAGCTTGGAACGCTGGAACAGCAGCCATCGACCACTCCTGGACCCCTAGGATAACGATCGGAGCACTTCCACCAGTGCGGGCAATGTATTAGACTCTAACAACCCCCATCTCACAACCCTTCTCTTCACCTTAATAAGTTATCTTGAGATACTCTTGATCTTGATGCTTCTTCCAACTCCAACTTATATTAAATATAAGTGAAAAATATGAGACCGCAGCTCTTCCAAGACGATGTTGTAGTTTCTCTCCCTTTTGGAGGACTACAGTGAAGATGCATCCTGATGCTTCTTTCTCTCCCTTGTTTTGAAGGACAGGAGCTATATTTCCAAGATTGAAGATAGGTATGTACTTCTATCTGAACAAGATGGACCAACATTATGCATAGGTGTACTATCTGTGAAGATGTACAACTATATGTTGAAGCCGTAATTGTAGTCTTGGATCAATGTGCCGCTGTTGGTGACACACTTCTGCTGATCCGCCATGCCGTATTGGTTGAAGCAGTTTTGATGAATGTAGTGTGGCTTAGAACTTTTTACATAAAAAATGCATCTACTTGTTGAGCATTCTGGTGGTTCCTGCTTGTTCCCTGCTGAAAAACGGGAGGACCAAGAAGCTGTGAGGGAAGTAGATGCATTTTAAATAGTAGCCCTAATTGGCCTAGCTTCATTCGCAGGATTCAAGCCCCGTTGAGTCAAGTGAATGAGCAAGTTGTAATTGCCAACGGCGGCATTGGCAACGGTAGCAGGAGTGCGACGGCCTCCACCACCTTGCTGCTGTTGTTGCTGGCCTCCACCAGCACAGCATCCCTCTTCGCCTCCATCGTCACAATTGCAACGTTGTTTTTCTAAAAACGAAGGCTGAGTATGATGCATCTCTTCAGGCTCCTGCTGTTCACCCTTATCCTCGAAATGATGATAATCATCAAACGTGCCATCGTAGTTTACCTGGGTCCACGAAGTGTCATGCTGCACAGGAGCCGAAGTCACAGAAGCCACAAAAGTGGAGGTGAACACCGCCAAATGGACCTTCGTCAACATTTTGTGGGACATGACAAACAAAAGATCATACTTTCTACTAGACGAAGCTAGAATACAACCAAGCTGGAAGGAAAGTAGAGTTCTTTCAGTTACTAACTTACTTATCATATGATAATCAGATAATGATGAGTAGATGATTTAAGAAAAGAAAGACCAACAAAATTCAGTGAATATCGACATTTAATAGAAGATGATGCCAGACTTGTCAAGTCAATTATATTGAAGAAGCGTAGGAGAAGAGAAAACTGAAACTCCCAATGCGCTGCCTGAAACAAGACATCATAAGCAGGTGGCGGAGGAGGATTCTCTCACATAAAGATGTTGGAGCATGTCATGTGTGTGCCCCTGATAATGCTGTTCCTAGCATCCGTAGATTTTTTTTTTTTTGCGTTAGGACTATATGCCACCGCCCTTTCAAACAACTAATTAACACGTTCAACTAATGACATTACGTCATCCAAATTACATACTGGGGGCGCATAAGACCGTACAATCGGCCACAAATCTACGAATATCGGAGGAGCCGTATTTTTTTAGGATAAGCTCTGATAGTGAAGTACATTTTCACTTTTCGCAATCAACAGATCATGTAGTGGTGATCACAACTCTCAAACACCAGATATTTTTACAATGCACAACCTTTAGCCACAGAAATTTTCAACATCGTGAACTTGTATCTCTCGCTTTTCAGGAAGGGCCAATGCTGAAATTTCAACTCACGACAGACCGGCAACTCACAACAGAGCGTCGCACACAGGACTGCTCTCAGCTCTATCAGATAGATACAGATCTTTCTATCTAATACAATAAAACAGATTAAGATTTTTCAACAGCTCGAGCGCTTCTTGTTCCTTTATCATATTCTTGCGACAACATGAGTCGTAGACCTGCCTTTCCTGTATCGGTAAGTGAATCTTCGGAGTCCTGAAGATGCGCTTGCTCTTTCGTTATTTGTCCACTTTAGTTGCTTCTTATTCTTTTCTACACCGTAAGAAAATCATCATATCATCGTTTCGATTCTTTCGAGTTGTTGAGAAATGTTGAAGTATGATTCTGCCACAAGCACCCACCAGCTCAGCAAAAAAAAATTTCCTGGTAAACCTACAATCAACTACAGCCATAATATGCACGCTGTTGCCCCTGTTGCCATCGTTCATGATGACCGTAGAGCCGTGGCCTGACAGTATTTCTGTGATACTGGCAGCACTAGACAAACCTTGAGGTAAGCAATAGTGCAGGGAGCTACTTTTACTCGAGCAGAACTCACGTAGGTGCCCACTGCCTCCACTAAAAACATCCAGCCATAATATTACCATGAAAAAAAGAAAGAAAAAGAAGCTACTTCCTGACCTAAATTTGAAAATCTCAAACACAAGAACCAAACACAACCCCATCCTAAGCCCCAACCACCTCCTCGGCGACCTAACCCGAAAGTCCTCAACCTCCAAAATCACTTCCTAAAATCCTCAACTGACGCAAAAGGATCGCGTAGCCAAGCAAATTTGTCTTCTCGCTGTTCAAACATGATTTCCCGCAAAATCTGTAGGATCTTGGCCATCACAGGTCCGCCAAATTTGCCTGTAGACATCTTATAATTCAGCAAGTCGGCCTCCGTTCGTCCCTCGTCTACATTGTCGATGTCGTCGCTGGCCGTTAGAGGAGAAGAGGAGGAGGAGGAGGAGGAGGAAGAATGGAGGAGAAGGAAGAGGAGGATGTGGCGGTGGTCGTGGAGATGCTGGGAGAAGGCAAAAAGACAGTTTTGTTCGTAATCGTATGTGCGAAAAACAAGCTAGTTGAGTTGACTGCTAGAGCTTCGATCATTACATCAGGTGAGTAGTTTTCTTCGTATTTCCGAAGAAGCTTGAGTATATAGCACAGTACTTTGATTGGAGGGTCTAACCTAGGAGGATGAAAAAGAAAATGAGGGACACAGTGCTAGAATATTCTTATCACTCATGCTACGGATCAAGCCATAAATCTCCAGTCACTAAATATTCGCCAAATTCCTGTATAGCGACTAGTTCTGCCGCTGTCCCGGTAGCAAAACATTCACTGGCATCTGCGAGATCTTCGATCAGGACGTCGGTTTCTTCTAGGGTGATTTTCGGCAGCGGCGATGGAGGAGTAGGGGAGTCGGAGCAGGTTAGAGAATGAGAATGCTGCATTGCTACCCTGACTGCAGTGAAGACCATCATTCTGCACTCCAAACGACCATACTAGGCCATCGGCGGGATGATACATTTCCTGCGGTTGTATAAACGCCCGAGGAAACGAGTCGTTTTCTCTAATATGCTTTGTATGGTTCTGGTATTTGGTAGCCTAAATTTGATCACAAGGATTCCCTTCGTGTTTTCCGTATGATCCAAATCAGGTTACCAAATACCAGAACCATTCATGCTTTCACACATACAGACACATTGCTCAACATAAAAACATAGCCCCTGCAATTTCTTCGTTGTATGCTTCGACAATTTTGATCACCGTGTCTCGCGTCACACCAGGTAGGATCGTTTTTCGTCTCAGAGAGGGTGTCAGGATTCGTGCTTTCTCTTTCTGCACAACAAATATATTTGCCGCAGACATCTCCTGGATTACACTTTTCTTCATCGCCTCAGCGGTGCTCATCTTCAGGTGCTCCTTATCTGTGGAAGGAGTGACGGTGCTGTGGCAGTCCAGTTGTGCTACAAAAACCTGAATCTGAGCATAAGGAACTATGCTTTCTACTGTTCTCAGTCATGATGCCTCTCTCGTCAGACTCGAAAGAACAACAACAATCGGTGAAAGAATGAATGCATTTTTAAGAAAAAGAAAAAGAATCTCCATGATACAGTAGAAAAGGTAAGAGTACTAACATGAAAGCTCTCCAACTCCAAATAGATGTTGTCCGAGAAGCCTTTATTTTTCGACTTTGTTAGCGGTAGTAGACAAACCGCATAGTTTCCGGCACACTTTACCGATCCAAACCCACCTCGCATTGCTCTGCCATGCACTTTCTCAATGTTCAATTTGAGGCCCTCAGTAGCAGATTTGAAGTAGTTACCTGGTATTTTTTTGAAGAGGTGCGTGGTTGTGGATAAAAACGTATTGAATGGATGTCGTGGAAGTACTGCACGTTTGATCATGTGAAGATTATGTAGTGAAGCTTATAAATACTACCAGTCGGCGCCACATATGCACAGAACGAAAACTGCGGACTCGGATACAACCCTAACTGCTGCCCAGACCCGAACAGAATGGGCCTGATGTACAGCTTCATCCCCTCCCCGTAGGGTGGTATCAAACTGCTATTCGTACGGACAGAGGTCTGCACAGCTCGAAACCACATCTCCCGAGAGGGCATCGGTAATAGCATGTGACCCGCACCGTGGGACATGCGTTTGGGTTAGACGACAGGATTGGTCATATCGAAGTAGATTGAACGCATGTCGTATAGAAGAATGGACGCAGGATGAGGTAGTTACGTGGAAAACGTTGTTGAAGTGAGGGCATAATTGGTACTCATGACAATGTTGTCAAGCATTAATTGTGGAATATTCATGTTGATGCCAAGAGCATACGCAATCTCAACCATAATCAAAGTTCTTATCTGGTCGAAACACGACACATCGTCCTTTGCTGGTTCGAAAGGCCTTCAGACCTTCCCACACAGTCGTGCTATAGTTCAAACTGGTACAGGATGGAAAAATCCCACCAATCTGCGTGTATTTCTGCGCTTGCGTTGCTTGACCACTTTAGAACCTCCCAGAGAAATCCATATTCAGCTTCAGCAGCATCTTGTTGGGTCTCCTTTTCATCGTCCCTTCAATATCTTCTTAATGTAGACTTATAGAAGTAGTCCCTTGTACTAGTCCTTGATCTAGCAAACAGCATTAAGCATGATAGAGGACCAAGATCGATGCTGGGGAACGAAGATGGATTTCTTGCTGCAGCCTTAACCACTGTCATTTTTGCTGTCGTAGTTGGAGCTCACCCTAATCCATCTGGACGATCACCCTGAGACCTTCTCCCCTTTTCAAACGGTCTCGGGATGTTTCAAAAAATGGGAGAGTAGGAGATGGAGCCTTAACGTAGTGTTCGGCGCCCCATCCTCCCGCTTTGCCGTCTACTTGACACAGCACATAGTTGCTGTGATCGGTACAATTCACGAACCAAGGTAGGGCTTCAAAATCGATCCCGCCTTTCGGCTCCAACAAAGCGGGGTCTTCAGACACGTATTCAGGCATGGTCGTGTTTGGTGTTTTTGTTTTTGTTGATTCTGAATAAAGTAAAAGTTCTTGTACTTAATAAGTTGGTTCTAGCCTAGTAGGTGGCGATCTCTATTTGTAGTTTCATAAATATTTATAACTATGGATGTTTGAGTAGTTACTCTTACTTTTTGAATCCCACAGATGAAGATCGTAACTATTACTTCAGATACTTACTAGGGAGTATAGAAGGATTTTTTTTCTGAATCTCGTTCTATTTCTGCTGCAATCGAAGACGCCTTTTAAAACGTAGAAGAATTTCTGCCCACTCGTCTTGTGCCCACTCATCCAACTTGGTCCCAAGTTCAAGCTCATCCTCAAGTTCAAGTCCAAGGGCCTCAATCAAGCCTGGACGCTACGTGCGTCGGAGTCATGAGATCTGAAGTGTAGGTCCACTCGGCAGCGTAGCCTATTGCGAACGGCGAGGCCTTAAGATTCAACCTGCAGCGCGAAACGAGCTTCCTGAAGTGGATCCTCATTTGGCACATCGATGATATCAGAAAACATACATTGGTTTCTTTCTCAAAAAGTGTAGAAGTTTCATAGACAAGTGAGACGGTGGAAATTTGACCCCACTTATCGACAACATTTTAAACGAAATGCTGGCAATAGTTTCTTTCTCAAATGAAGTGATTCTTTCTCTTCCAAATAGATACAAGTCCGACTACACTACTGACTTAAAAACTGTTCTACACTAAACATTAAGATTACCATTTTGACAAACAACATTTATGAACGAATTATAGGGAGTCTGTCTATACAACGTTCGCAGTTCTAGATTGATACAACTAACCTAGACCTCGAGAGAGTAGAGGATGAAAAATAAGTGTGTAGGGTTGATGATTCTACTTCTACATAACTGTATGTTATGATGGGTAAGTGAGATGAAAGATCCATATAAATACGAATGGCTCATATGAAAGGACGATATTTTGTGCTTGCTCCTCATCAGTCTTGCACCTTCTAGTTGTTCTAGTTTTTGTCGTAGTTCAAGAGCGTTGCAGTAGACACGATTCATCAGATTGGTTATCCTTATCTTCAAAAATAGATTGTAACATATACTCGAAAAACTAAAATAACCGAGTCGAGCAAATAATAACTGCGCGAGAAGTCACTCGCGCCTGCGCACCTCTTCCGCGGAGCGTCACCAGCTTGAAGCATTTTGCGCGCCTGCCTCCTGTGCTCTATCGATCGCGCACAAAGCCCCGCAGGAGGGGCGAAGAACCGTCCCCCAGCCCGCGCGCAGAGCTCGACTCGCGAGTCGCAAGCGCATAGCGCAGCCCGCAGCGGATCCATAGTGCTGACCCCGTTGAAGCATGGGGCACAAGATTGTAGAAATAACCGACCACAAGATGCCGCACTTCTACGACTGGAAATTTCGAGGATCAAGAGGCCGTTGCGCCTCCCCCCTCGATCCCCGGTTCGCGGCGCCGCGAACCGAGGATCGAAAGGTCGTTTGGCACCCAAACGCACCGTTTACCCTCCAACCGACCACTCGATTCCCGGTTCGCGGCGCCGCGAACCGGGGATCGAGGGGGAGGCGCAACGGCCTTTCGATTCCCGGACTTTCTACAAATGACTTGCTGCCTTGTCTGGAGCGGTTGCCACTGCAGACGCGGCGCTAGTGCCCCGAGACCAACACGGCTAGCCGCGCAGGGGCCGGGCCATGGCGCTACCGTGAACGACGGGCAGGGCACTGCAGGCGGGCAGCGAGAAGCCCTGCCTTTGTGCCCCATTTCGCAACAAAGGCGCCCAGAAGTCAATCACAAAGGGCAGGCCTGTAGAGCGCCCGAAATCCGTGAAAAGCGGGCCGAGTGTAACCACAGCAAGCGCTTTCTTACAGTTATTCTCAGGCTAACTCGGTTATTTCAAGTTTACGAGTAGGAAAGTAGTAAACTGAAAATGTTACCAACAAGTTGTTCTGTATTGTTCTTTCTGTGGTCAAAGTATCAATAGTTGCTCTGTATTGTTCCTTCTGTGGTCACTGTAACAAGTAAATAGATGATAGTACTGAAAGTCAATGTCAAGAATGGGAATGTTGATAGATACACGACGACACCAACATGTTGTAGTGATGTGTTCTCTTTTCTACTTGAGTATCAATAATCGCGACGAGTCATCTGAATCACAAGTCATCTGAATTGACCGAAGATAATGCTGTACTTCTATGGCGGGACTTCATCACTACCTACGTATATTGGTGCATGAATCTCAATACTTGTCCGAAAAAATTCCATAGGAAGTGCAATGAACAAGAAGCTTGTCGTCTTCATGAAATGTTGATTTCGATTTCTTATAAATTCATCAGCAAATTATAAATTCATCAGGACTTTTTACCTAGTACCTTCATTGTGGTCTTGATGTTGAATCGATTTTACTTAGCTACATTTGCAAACTGAAATTTCTTGGTCGTTTCAACAACTGTACTGTAATTTATCGACACTAGAATCATATCTACCTCCTCCAGAGTAACTGAGTTGAACGTGCCCCCACGCCCCTCAGTTGGAGTTTGCTCTAGCAAGTTTACTTCCACGTCCACCACAGAAAGAACCTGAAAAGGAAGATCAAAGGCAAGTTGTGGACAGTTGTTCATATTCGGATGCATACAAAGTCAAAGCAGAGAAAATATTTATATATAAACTTTGAAGAAAGAGTAGACTCAATACCTCACTCCTCACGGCGTCTGATGAGGGCTATGGCAGTCCTCAGGTGGTGACGTTGGATGCGCTGTTGTGGCCGGGGAGTGTTCATCGGAGTGCATATCCTCTCGGCACTGTGGAATCCTCGAGTCACCAACTGGAAACACCAGTTGTCCAGTTTTCTGCTGAACGGGCTTGGTGAACATAGAAGTGGCGTTCACTGTAGTGGAGGTCTTCGGCGGTTGTTGTACCTGTCGTCAGTCCTTTTTGGGGTTGAAGAACAGTGGTGGGCTCTGGGTTGTTTACAGATCTGAATCCTTTCAGAAGAAGCTTTTCATTTTTCTTCAAAATCATTTTCTCCTTGTCGATACTATGCAAAGTTCACAAGCTTCTAGAAAAAAACGAGACTTCTACCTCCTCTGCTCCCGCAACAATCTCTGCAACATTGAGGGTGTTCTTTGAGCCCAACTTGATTTCTCTTCCCGTCCTCGGATGGATCACAACTACAGGTTTCTTCGTCGCCTTCGGCAAGAAAAACGAACCGATAACCTGCTTAGGTGCTCCCGCATTTTTCCCAGATGAAGGCGTGCGAGTGCCAGCACTCTTGGCATTGGCTGCATTACAACTACAACTAGGTGATGTAGAACTACTACTAGAAGCACCACCACCAGCATGTTGTCCATGTTGTTGATGTTTTCCGTTATCCTTGCGCACAGCAATACTTTTCGGCTTATTTGATGCTGTGCTGTTCGGATTGTGGTTCTCTTTAGAGCTCGCCAATAGTATTCATCTTCAAAAGCATCTTTGGCCTGTTTTTCTTCCTTTACTTCTAGAGAGAAGTAGGGCACGACCAAAGAAGTAGATTGATAGATACTCCTTAATAATCTCAACAAGGAAGATGAATTATGTATCTTATACTGTAACTTGTAAGTTGCCTTAATCTCTTGCTGTCCTCGTTGAACTCCTCGAACGACATGGTGTGCCTTGTTCTGATGCTGAGCAGGTCCCATCTTCGTCCAGTCCTTACCGAAGGGCATGATCCGCCTTGGCCTCGTTGGAGAATGATGAATGCCGCCTGCCGCGAAAGAAGAATACATCGTGTTCTTTTGTGGATGATGGAGAAAGAGGAGGATAGCAGATGATATGCAAGAAAGAAGGGCACAACTTCTTAGTTAAGTATTCTATTTGGTTGTTCTTACGAATATTACACCTTGTAGTTCAGTACTTTTTTTAGTACTAGATTTGTGATGTTACAGATTCTGAGTCGATGTTGAAGTTCGTAGATGTCGATGTAACTACTTAGATGAAATCGATTGTTCTCCCTCCGCTACACACGTGGCAAGTCTTCACAACTCGCTACTACTTGCTTGGATTCTTCACTTCTGACTCTTCAATTCCTCTACCGGAAATCGGTTTTGATGAAGTCTATAACTAATGTTGGACATCGGAAAAAACTTTGTTTCACTAAAATTCTATCTATATGTCTAACTCACCCAGTTGTAATCGATTTTCTAGGCAAGCCAATTTTCTGTCTGTGGGATGTAAGGGGGCTACCCGCGGGACTGTCCTCATCCGACTGTTACTCCCTGTTCTCTCTGCTCTCCAACTCCAACAACCACCTGTCACTCATAACGTAAATGAAAATACATGCTGATCTTGCAGCCCAGTGATACCTCTACAGCTACTGACGCGAGTACGAGCCGGACCGACACTCCCGCAACAAGTAAGTAGAAGTAGATGTCAACATCCTGTAACTGCGTGCTTCCACCACGACCGTGTTTGTGGTCTCAGATGTGTCCAAGTAACTGCGAACTTCCACCAAAAACTCCTTACAATCAATTGCTCTTCCATGTTCTTGGAAGTTAGAGATCCCGAGTAGTTCTCCTCGTCTTCGTAGAGGGCTGCACAGAAGATTCGTAGTAGTATTGAAGGACGCGAGCGAGTAGATACTTGAAAAATGTCGATAATTCATTGGTTGCACAGTATCTTTTTGCGAAATCTTAAACACAACATGAGATGCGAATATTCAAGCAATAAAGTGCTATTGTTTTTGGAAAGGCTACGACGTGGAAAACTCTTACGGACGATTATACAACAAACGGGCGCGCGCGCGCGCCTTGTGGTCCAATTACCTAGCTAACTAGCCCAATTATCAAACCCTGAACCCCCTACCTAGACTTTTTCACAACAAGAACAACAACAACAACTATAAAAACGCCCTACCCGTAAAAACCTAGTAAACGCGACATCACAAGACTCATATCGTTGAGGGTCGGAAGCCCGTTCGACGGCATACTCCGCTTAATCTCGGCTCCTAATCCCATGGATCCCTGTCCTTGAAGATGTCGCTGAATGTTTGGCCCTTCGACTAAATCTACATCAAGGGTCCTTGGCTGGGGTCGTAGGCTTGCGGTCTCACCAAACGACTCACTTGGTTGATATGGCGCATAGACTATGTCGGAAAAGTGCGGCATCACCGAGCTTGTTTTGCACTGCAAGTGGGTGCATATGAAAGAAGGAGGTGGAAAGCGGGGTGGAAAAGACAAATGATTTACTATTTGAGGGTGAGGGAATGACAACCTAAAAACCTTAACAAGTGTTCTAATTTGAAAGTACAACAACACTCAGCAAAAAGTATTTGTTTGTCGCATGCATTAGTCGCTGTCTACTACGGCTATCATCATTACTCAAGCTTCTCTATGTCATAAATTGCTGCGTTGCTCCTGTTCCCGCTTGGGTTGAGAATTTCGTACACTTTGCAGGCAAGCCAAAGTTCACGTACCAAGCACGGCCGTCCTTGAGGCCAGCGAGAGTCGGAGGGAACGCGGACGGCTTGTTTCCGAAAGCAGTGCGTACTAGACCACCGCAGTCCCGTTGCAAGGTCAGTATCGTTGCCACGTGAGGGGTGCCCATTATTAGACCCTCCGGGAATCCATCTTGAAAGTCGTCATGGTTCCGCTTCCCCTTTACACGGAGGTCCAAGATGCTTCTGAAGATGTATTTTCGGAGGTCATAACATTATACTTTGGGCTGCAACGTAGTGTGTCCGAAGCGGCACGCCGCGAAACGGAAATAAATTAGGCTGCTGCGATGCTGGAACTTTCACGATTAAAGGAAAGAAAAAATATGTGGCTGTTGTAATAGGAACAGTAACACATATCATAATATCAGGACATCTATGCTACCTACACCTGTATGCAGTTCAGAGAAGTGAGAAATCAAATGAAGTCAATATAAGCAAATCTACTGTGGTAACTAAGTACGCATGAAAAAGAAGAACTACGAGCCAACGACCTAATCATGATCAAACTACTATGTGTTCAGGTAGGAAGGTACAGCAAATTGGTTGTTGCTAGTCAAGCAAGTGAGGCCGTAAGAGACTTGGGTCGAAGCAGGTCCCTGGATCGCTTAGCACACATACCGGCATCCAAGGACGTCCCCCTAGTAGTTGGTGTATTTGTAATCTCAGCGCTTCGCACTGATGCACTAGGGAGCTTTCCTCTTGGTCTATGCGCAGCACTTGGGTTGTCTGCTGCCACGTGGCAGACGTTGTTGTCTGCTGCCACGTAGACGTTCGAGGCACCGACGCCAGTAATTTCCGTACTCGGTTCTCCTCATCCTGTGAGGTGGCGGCATACACGTATCGCAGAACTGTGAAAGAAGCCTGTGCTAGGTTCTCCTCCAACGCCAATCTCGATAGAAGAAAATCACCCGAAGAAAACAACACCACGGGCGCACTTGGCGTGCTCAACGAAGTTGATCCGCCTGCGGTCATTTGCGACGCCATCATTTGTGAAGGAGCCATCATGCCAGTGTGCGTCACGAATGGACTCGCATCGAATGACGGTATAAGCGGAAAGTTGGCCGGCCCTCCACCTGCTCCTGGTGTGCTAGCTGCTGTAGCCCCGGTTTGAGTTAGCAGCTGCGATCCAGCTACCTTAGGACCTTGCGAGGACGCCATGGCGCCGTATTGACCTGGCATCTGCTGCCCTAGACGGTGAAACTGATGTGCCATGCTAGTCTGCCCTGGACGGTGGAATTGTTGCCCCGCCCCAGCAGTCGACGGAGGAATATTGCGAGGCTGCGCACCAGTCTGAGGAGAAGGCTGCACACGAGGCGCATGATGCTGCATGTGAGCTTGTGGCTGCTGCTGCTGTGCCTGACCAGCTACGGTTTGTTGCTGTTGCATATTTCCCTGCAGAGGATGCTGTTGTTGTTGTTGCATGTTTCCCTGTAAGGGATGCTGTTGTTGCGCGCCTGGTTGTGGCGGTTGCGGGTTTCCGGGCATGTCCTGCTGCTGCTGCTGTTGCGCGCCACCCTGTAATCCAGTTTGTTGTTGCTGGGGTTGCGCTTGGTAACCTTGCTGTCCAGGTTGCTGCGCAGTACCTGCTGTTCTCACTGGTGTTCGTGGAGGCGCAACTTGTGGGCCAGCGCCTGGTGCTGGGGGATTGGAATTCATGCCAGTTATGCCACCTTGTTGACCTTGTCGAAAGTTGAAACTCGATTTCGGAGGGGCTGGACTCTGCATCACACTGGCGGGATGTTGTTGTGACGCAGGATGAGCATATCCTCCCATAAAGTTGTTATTTGGTCCTCCCGCCGTCATGTTGTGCTGAGAGTGCAAACCAGCTCCAGCTGCAGGACCATAACTGGTCAGCATCAAATTTTTATTGTTGGAACTAGATGAGGAGGAAGTAGAGAACTGGTTCACCTGTTGACCGTTGTAGTTTGATGTACTCGACGACGTAAATGTACCTCCAAACTGAGGCTGCTGTCCTCCAAATTGAGACGGAGCACCTCCATAGGGTCCTGGTCTATACTGACTCGTCGACGAAGCTAGAGCAGCCTGTCCTCCGACCATTCCTCCTGAAAGCGGTGATCCGAATGGCCCACTTTTTCCTCCGCTCCCTTTGAGCTGCATAGGTCCTGCTGGAGGCTGCACTGGAGATTGACCTGGTGTAACAAACTGCGGTTGCTGAGGAGATTGAAATGGCGCTCCCTGTTCTTGATGTTCTTGCGCATGATGTTGTGGCAATTGCCCTACTTGATGAAGATGTGCTGCCTGCCCTTGATGTGCTGCGTGCCCTTGATGTCCTTGTGGCACACTCATTCCTCCTCCAGACTGCATCTGAACGCCAGTTGACGTTATTTGATCTTTATTTGCAACTCCTACTCCACCTCCTGAAGCAACAGAAGCACTAGTCAAAAACATTCCTCCCGAGTGTGCTGCCAGGTTGCTGACCACTGGCGCTGCTTTTGGTTGCCCTTGCTGTCTAGTCTCAGAAAGGTTACCTGGAGCCGGAGAGGGAGCACCAGCACCGGGGAGGGAGGCTCTGGAGCTGCTCCTAGCAGGAGATACTACTGCGTCCAAAGCGTTCTGAATCATATCAACGCTCTTTCTACGGAAATTATCAACTGACGCAGAGACACTATTTGGATGAATGGCAGAAGAAGACGAAAACGCGTTTGCTGCTCGAGGTTGTGGCTGTTGCGCTAGAGGAATCCCGGTAAATGACGTATTTGCATGCTGATGTCCAGCACCAGCACCCATCATTCTTTGGCTCTGGCTGGCTACATTCTGGCTGGGAGCAGAAGACGACATCATACTAGCGTCGTTGCTATTAGTCATTCTCCCTATATTGCTCAAACCACCCCAGTCACTGGACGCATCGCCTCTAGCTAGGTTTCCCATACTGTCATCCCCACTGCTCATCGACGCAGCCGCTGCTTTACTATCCAACCTCTCTTGTGGCTCGTCATGTTGAGCGCTTTCTATGAAGCGGGAAGCAAGGAGTGGGTGGGCTAAAAAAGGTACGCCTAACACGCAGTGGAGGAAAAAACCAATGAAAAGTTTGAGACGTCAAAAATGCTAGGGCCATTAGCATCTCATCAGGTCTAAATCCATAACATAGCTTCGCGTCATATCTTTAATTTTGTTTGTCGATTTACTAGTGACAAGCATCTATCATGCACCCGCTACAAACAAAATCTTTCTGAACAATGTAGCATAACAGACCCTCTCTGTGCGTCGCGTTCCGCTTTCAGCTGCGTGTCTACTCGGTCCGCAGCAAATGCTCGGCCACACCCTTTTGCTCTTTGATAGGCTGAAATTCGTTCTTCTCGATTTTTGATTTAGATGACCTGACGCTTCTACGTAGAAATGTTATCCATGTGGAAATGCTATCCATGTAGAAATGCGATCTATGTACTTAGAAATGCTATGTGCTTTCAAGAGTAGTTTCAATGTCGCTTATATTATAATTCCTATCTAGGACGACAATCAAGAGTAGAAGTACGGTAGAATCGAAAGCCGCGCGCTTACAATACAACAACTCCAAAAGTAACCGCCTCAGCAAGTAGCCAAAAAGTCCACGAGCTGGCCATAAATTTTTTCTATATCTTCCGGCGCTCCTTTGCCCTTTGGTGCTCCTGCTGCCTGGTAGAGCGCCCTGTCCGGACCTTCGTAGTATATCTCAAAATCTGGGCCCATCAGCTCCTGTTCGGTCCAGTCCTTTTGCGAAAGGTCAGCAGGTGGGGGACGGTCGGGGATAGCTGGCTTTGGTTAGAAAGTGCAAGTAGCATTGGAACGTCAAAGAGGAGTAAATATGTTGGTGGAGTAAACCTAACTAGAAAAAACAAAAACCGAAAAAAGAAAAGTCAGTAAATATGAGTAAATATGAGTAAAAACGACGAATCGACCGCTGGATCACCTCAGAAATTCAAAAAAAATTCCCTACAGACGCCCTCGCAAAATTGCACAAGCCATAACTGTCACCCTGGGACATTGCTCCGGCCGATTCGATACTTTCGTAGGACATCTTTGCGGTTCGTATGCAGTCGCTCAAAACTTGACGTCTCTGCGAAGTGTGAAGATGTGCCTGGCTTACAACTCGTACGATGAAAAGCGATAGCCGCGTCTGCGACTTCTAGCGTTTGAGGGTAGCTCGCGTCTGTGACTGCTGTTGATCCTGCGTGACAGCGAGAGCAGGAAACAGTGGGAGTGGCGGACAAAAGAAACTGGCAAAAGACCACACGGGGACTGCGCGTTTACATCGTGTCATACAAAAAATCTTGTACGTGATCTTCGTGCTGATGCGTAGAAGTGTATGCGAGTCGTTGTTGTATGTTAAAGCGATATAGAAACAAGATGGTCATGATAGTTGTTGTTGATGCTCTTGTTGTAGAGAAAAACGAGTTGTCGTAGATAAAATATTCGACGTTATCAATACATTTTTTTGAATCTTACATTAGTAGCCAGGCCATGCAGATCTCTATTCGTATTTACTACAAATTTTTTTGTTGTATGGTTAGTCTTGATGAAGATAGATCAGTCTCATTCCGTTTTCGATGTGTTTACTATTCGCTTTTATTAACATACGCAATTCATTCACCAGAAACAAGATCATCAAAAATTATTCGTTCGGAACCCAGCAAAAGATATCAATATTTCCTTACTCAACCAGCACTGGAGCCAAAAACTCGTAAAAGTTTCCTCGCGAAAGAACACAACAACTTAGTACTCTGCGATATCGCATAGTACTCAGAAAAGTCTGATTGTTCTTGAAACGTGTAAAGGCATTCAAAATCATGATCGTCAAAATTTCAATGCATGATAAAGGCGTCCGAAACTTGTCTTTGTTTTTGATTCCAATAGCGAAGTGTCTGGGTTGTCTGTGCAGAAGCCCGTCTCGATGACATCCTGTGCAGAAGAAGTACTCATATTGTGTCTTTTCAAAGTTACATCGTCATCCACTTTATTACATCCTTTTTCTCGTCCCACTCCCAGGCCACTGCGTTCTTCAGTGTTATCCCGTAAACAAATTGTCTCCCAATCATCTTCAGTCACCTTACCATTCCAAACGAAAATGTCTCCTATCACGTCACTTCGCAGCTCGCCACATCGTAGCTCTGGCTTCATGAAGCATATAGTTGGAGTCGACAACTCACTCCATGCAATAGCGCCAGAGGTGCTCCAGTCAGCAATCTCACGGAGTAACCGCTTAGAGAATCGCTGGACGAATTCCGGAGCAACTACACTATTCAAATAGAAATCTCTGCCAGTTCGCCGATAAAACTCTCCCGTCGTCGTAAATTGCCACACCCATCCAGCCCATGGCCCTTCGTACCACTTTGAGAGCAGGTCACTGTGGTCATCAATATGCCCTGCGATTACAGTCTGCGCAATGTCAGACCCAGAAAAACCAACATCATCCTCCAAGACCCAAATGTAATCGTAGTGGTCGAGTGCAGTGGTTAAGGGAAGCTGCTCGGCTGTGGAGCCCATGCTGCTACTTTTTTCCATGTCTGCAGAAGTAGTAATCATACTCCCCATGATCTTTCTCCCAACCTTCCATTAGAGCAGCCCATCTTTTAGAACATTTTCATCTTTTAGCATTTTTCAGGTAGACGTAGAAGAAATTCACACTTTTCTACTTCAGAAGCTTGATAATGATAACAGATTTTTGTTTCATATGAGAGATCAGTTGACGGTGCCCTTAATTCCACCTCACAGCCTCCAATACGCACTCGTTGTGGAGTCCCCATGCCCAAGCCGTACATTTCGAAGGTCCCGGTATCGTGATTTGTTGTTGATTAACATGCTTCCTCAGCTCGGTCCAACCAGGATACAGCTTATGCTCCAAGTCGTGGCAGTTGTAGGTATTCTTAAAGGTTAAGGTTGATCATCATCATGGTCATGTTGGTGTCCCATTTAGTACTACTAGCCTAATGGCGGGACATCAAAAAATTTCATTTCTAAGTGCCAATATTCATGCTGCATGAAGGGATAGACCTACCCAATATGAAGTAGAAATGCGCGTTGCTCTTAGGCTCAGAGCATCAACTATAATGGCGCTAAGTCAACTAAGAACTGCACAAAAACGGTCTTTATTGTCGCCTCCTCGTCCTGGAAGTGCTCCGCTTAGCGACTTTCGTAACTTGTTTTCTCTTGGTTTTTCTGTCGTTTGGTTTCGTTTCATGTGAGTCCCCGCGCCCCTCCAGAGTCCACCGCACCAGCCTGCAAATGTATGCTGGGGGATTCTGGAGGGGGCGGGGATTTGGAGGGCGCCCGAGGTTCTTGGCTCGCAATTGGGTGAGGGTTTTCCAGAAGGGGGCGCAGTAGGCGGCGAGTGTTCTGCGAATTCGTATCATGCCCGAGAAGATTGAATTTTGTCCGGATTTTTGCAGTCCTTAGTTGAATTTTCTCCATTCTAACTCCACTTGTCTGTGGTCGAATTTTTCGCCATAATCGGAGAGGTTTGAGACACTCCGCCCGAGGTTCTTCGTTCTTGGGTCTTTTCATGTTGTTAAGTGTTGGACTTTTGACCACCCGGCGCCCCGAGGCTCTCGCGCCGGGTGGGATTAGTTACAAAGAAGAGAGACGCGCCGCCGCCCTTAAATGGTCAGACCACTCACGCGCGCCGCCGTGTGTGCGCAGATTGTCGGGGGCGTTTGCTGGCGTTGTCCGCACTCTTTTGAAGTATTTCAGCGGACAACTTTGCGGAGGTTTCGCCGGAATTGAATAAGCCTCTCTATTGTTTGCCGGGTTCCCGCTCGCTAGGCCATTTTTGATGAAAAAACTGAAAAGATGTCTTCAGATTTTTTTCCAAAAATGGCCTTGCGAGCGGGAACCCGGCAAACAGTAGAGAGGTTTATTCAATTTCGTGGCGTTTTTCAAGAAGGGCTGGACCGGTTGCCGCCTGAATTCCCAAGGGCTTGCGCCTCCTCTTTTTGTTAAGTTTCGATGGTGTGGCGTGCTCGCTGTGCCTCTGGTGCTTCCGCAGGTGGCTGATTAGAATGGCGCTAAGTCAACTAAGAACTGCACAAAAACGGTCTTTATTGTCGCCTCCTCGTCCTGGAAGTGCTCCGCTTAGCGACTTTTGTAACTTGTTTTCTCTTGGTTTTTCTGTCGTTTGGTTTCGTTTCATGTGAGTCCCCGCGCCCCTCCAGAGTCCACCGCACCAGCCTGCAAATGTATGCTGGGGGATTCTGGAGGGGCGCGGGGATTTGGAGGGCGCCCGAGGTTCTTGGCTCGCAATTGGGTGAGGGTTTTCCAGAAGGGAGCGCAGTAGGCGGCGAGTGTTCTGCGGATTCGTATCATGCCCGAGAAGATTGAATTTTGTCCGGATTTTTGCAGTCCTTAGTTGAATTTTCTCCATTCTAACTCCACTTGTCTGTGGTCGAATTTTTCGCCATAATCGGAAAGGTTTGAGACACTCCGCCCGAGGTTCTTCGTTCTTGGGTCTTTTCATGTTGTTAAGTGTTGGACTTTTGACCACCCGGCGCCCCGAAGCTCTCGCGCCGGGTGGGATTAGTTACAAAGAGAAGCGACGCGCTGCCGCCTTCAAATGGTCAGACCACTCACGCGCGCCGCCGTTTGTGCGCAGATTGTCGGGGGGGTTTGCTGGCGTTGTTCGCACTCTTTTGAAGTATTTCAGCGGGGAAGTTTGCGGGGGTTTCGCCAGAATTGAATAAACCTCTCTATTGTTTGCCGCTTTCCTGCTCGCTAGGCCATTTTTGATGAAAAAAGTGAAAAGATGTCTTCAGATTTTTTTCCAAAAATGGCCTTGCGAGCAGGAAAGCGGCAAACAATAGAGAGGTTTATTCAATTTCGTGGCATTTCTCAAGAAGGGCTGGACCGGTTGCCGCTTGAGTTCCAAAGGGCTCGCGCCTCCTCTTTTTGTTAAGTTTCGATGGTGTGGCGTGCTCGCTGTGCCTCTGGTGCTTCCGCAGATGGCTGATTAGAATGGCGCTAAGTCAACTAAGAACTGCACAAAAACGGTCACTATTGTCGCCTCCTCGTCCTGGAAGTGCTCCGCTTAGCGGCTTTTGCAACTTGCTTCCTCTTGGTTTTTCTGTCTTTTGGTTTCGTTTCATGTGATTCCCCGCGCCCCTCCAGAGTCCACCGCACCAGCCTGCAAATGTATGCTGGGGGATTCTGGAGGGGCGCGGGGATTTGGAGGGCGCCCGAGGTTCTTGGCTCGCAATTGGGTGAGGGTTTTCCAGAAGGGAGCGCAGTAGGCGGCGAGTGTTCTGCGGATTCGTATCATGCCCGAGAAGATTGAATTTTGTCCGGATTTTTGCAGTCCTTAGTTGAATTTTCTCCATTCTAACTCCACTTGTCTGTGGTCGAATTTTTCGCCATAATCGGAAAGGTTTGAGACACTCCGCCCGAGGTTCTTCGTTCTTGGGTCTTTTCATGTTGTTAAGTGTTGGACTTTTGACCACCCGGCGCCCCGAAGCTCTCGCGCCGGGTGGGATTAGTTACAAAGAGAAGCGACGCGCTGCCGCCTTCAAATGGTCAGACCACTCACGCGCGCCGCCGTTTGTGCGCAGATTGTCGGGGGGGTTTGCTGGCGTTGTTCGCACTCTTTTGAAGTATTTCAGCGGGGAAGTTTGCGGGGGTTTCGCCAGAATTGAATAAACCTCTCTATTGTTTGCCGCTTTCCTGCTCGCTAGGCCATTTTTGATGAAAAAAGTGAAAAGATGTCTTCAGATTTTTTTCCAAAAATGGCCTTGCGAGCAGGAAAGCGGCAAACAATAGAGAGGTTTATTCAATTTCGTGGCATTTCTCAAGAAGGGCTGGACCGGTTGCCGCTTGAGTTCCAAAGGGCTCGCGCCTCCTCTTTTTGTTAAGTTTCGATGGTGTGGCGTGCTCGCTGTGCCTCTGGTGCTTCCGCAGATGGCTGATTAGAATGGCGCTAAGTCAACTAAGAACTGCACAAAAACGGTCACTATTGTCGCCTCCTCGTCCTGGAAGTGCTCCGCTTAGCGGCTTTTGCAACTTGCTTCCTCTTGGTTTTTCTGTCTTTTGGTTTCGTTTCATGTGATTCCCCGCGCCCCTCCAGAGTCCACCGCACCAGCCTGCAAATGTATGCTGGGGGATTCTGGAGGGGCGCGGGGATTTGGAGGGCGCCCGAGGTTCTTGGCTCGCAATTGGGTGAGGGTTTTCCAGAAGGGAGCGCAGTAGGCGGCGAGTGTTCTGCGGATTCGTATCATGCCCGAGAAGATTGAATTTTGTCCGGATTTTTGCAGTCCTTAGTTGAATTTTCTCCATTCTAACTCCACTTGTCTGTGGTCGAATTTTTCGCCATAATCGGAAAGGTTTGAGACACTCCGCCCGAGGTTCTTCGTTCTTGGGTCTTTTCATGTTGTTAAGTGTTGGACTTTTGACCACCCGGCGCCCCGAAGCTCTCGCGCCGGGTGGGATTAGTTACAAAGAGAAGCGACGCGCTGCCGCCTTCAAATGGTCAGACCACTCACGCGCGCCGCCGTTTGTGCGCAGATTGTCGGGGGGGTTTGCTGGCGTTGTTCGCACTCTTTTGAAGTATTTCAGCGGGGAAGTTTGCGGGGGTTTCGCCAGAATTGAATAAACCTCTCTATTGTTTGCCGCTTTCCTGCTCGCTAGGCCATTTTTGATGAAAAAAGTGAAAAGATGTCTTCAGATTTTTTTCCAAAAATGGCCTTGCGAGCAGGAAAGCGGCAAACAATAGAGAGGTTTATTCAATTTCGTGGCATTTCTCAAGAAGGGCTGGACCGGTTGCCGCTTGAGTTCCAAAGGGCTCGCGCCTCCTCTTTTTGTTAAGTTTCGATGGTGTGGCGTGCTCGCTGTGCCTCTGGTGCTTCCGCAGATGGCTGATTAGAATGGCGCTAAGTCAACTAAGAACTGCACAAAAACGGTCACTATTGTCGCCTCCTCGTCCTGGAAGTGCTCCGCTTAGCGGCTTTTGCAACTTGCTTCCTCTTGGTTTTTCTGTCTTTTGGTTTCGTTTCATGTGATTCCCCGCGCCCCTCCAGAGTCCACCGCACCAGCCTGCAAATGTATGCTGGGGGATTCTGGAGGGGCGCGGGGATTTGGAGGGCGCCCGAGGTTCTTGGCTCGCAATTGGGTGAGGGTTTTCCAGAAGGGAGCGCAGTAGGCGGCGAGTGTTCTGCGGATTCGTATCATGCCCGAGAAGATTGAATTTTGTCCGGATTTTTGCAGTCCTTAGTTGAATTTTCTCCAATACAAATAACAAACGTCACAATCATACCGCGACGTGAAAATGAAATGCTTCAACCCTTAATATGAATCTCGTCTGGGTGAAAGCACTTCGCAATGTCTGTGCTAGACGGCAGAAAGAAATTCTCTGGGGTCTTGGATTCTTTGTAGGACTGCAGTCTGGATTCTAAAGCGGTCTGCTTGGAGAGTAGCGTATACAACTTGTCGTCGTGTCGAGGAGCAGAGTCAAAAACACCTTCACGACTATTGCTACTTTCAAGTAGACTTCTGCTTTCAACAATCTCCTGTCCAACATTCTTCAACTCCTCCCGCAAAGCAGCTTCACACCTGGTACGATACAACTGACGGCGTGCTGCAACATGAGTTACATCGAAGCTGATAAGGAAGTCTAGATCGATCGCTTCACAGTTCTTGTGACACGCGGATCGCCATTCTTGAATCCGTTCTAGCTGTGCCCAAGTGGGTGCTAGACTGCGCACCAAAAGAAGAACTTTCTGTCTACGTTTAGTATCTGGAGCGTTCGCATCCTGGACAGCATCCAAATCCAAGTCTTCGTGGTTATTCTTGGGAACAACTTGCACTTCTTTTACGTCAAGAATAACTGCTTTCGAATTCTCCGCCAAATTCCGGTCACGATCATGAGCAGGTCGTAAACGCTGGACTCTACTAGTGCCTGTGTTGTACTTGCGCCTGTAGGTACAACAATCTGTAGAATCTTCTGGAACCGCAATATTCTTGAGACCACGAGGACCATCAGAATCTGGAACCTCAGCCTTGTTGAGACCATTACCATTCCGCATCCTTACCTTCATCGCAGCAGCCGTCATCACCCCAGGATGATCCGTCGCAGTGGCCCTAGCCTTCTCCGCACCTTTATGTCGAGGTGGGAGCCACCAAGTATTTGGGATAGGACCGCACCATACTGGGTCACGCCTGCTAAAAGCACATGCGTTCCGTTTCTGTCCTCGACCATCCTCCCATCTGCGCCAAACGGGGCAAATGAATGAAGCGAAATGCTCCCGCAAAGACGACGAAAGCACGGGAGACATTCAATCAGGTTCAGGACTTAGACATAAACATTTGTTTGAAAAGTTCATGAAAATTTTCGAAAATCTTAATTTAGCGTAAGATGACTTCAGAAAAACAACTAAATAGAAAAACAACGAGTATCCATAATCTCCAGAGTGAGTGGAATATCATCTTCTATGTAGTAGGATTCTTAAGTAGGCAGTGACGAGAAGCTACATTTCCTCTTTGCAAAAATATCTTCAAAACAACTGTGTAGATGCGTCCTTCTTCCAACCAACAAAAAATTCCGAGAATCGAGGGTGCGACCATGCGCGAACTTCAACTTGTTCTTGTTGTATGGTGTCGATTGTGAGTTTGGTTGTCCTGAGTATCAACAGACATGTACCCAAGCCATACTGTTATTTGAGAGCGACGTCGTGGGAGAAATAGATGATGTCTAACCTCTTCAGATTCAGAAGTGTATTCTTACTTAAGTCTCGACATCCTGGGTTCAAAGCCATCGGCTCATGTAGCCAAAAAAGAGTCTTCTATCAGGATGTAGAAGCAACTACAAGAAGCTGTAGAACTCTGCATAAAATATTGAGGGAAAATCACAATTTCATGAAATTGCGAGTGTAGCTTATAAGAAGATTGTTGATGTCCTTTTACGGCCCTCCTCCTCTTCACACGCAAACCAAAAAATATTGAGTCTCAGACGTAGACTATGGTCCCAACTATAGACTAGGAGGCACGACCAACTTCTACTTCTAGTTCATCACTGAAGATAATCTTCACTGATATTACTTAATTATGATTATCATCAGGTCGTGTCCCTCAGTCCCAACAAGGCCAAGCTCTCTACTAGTCATCCGCATTTCACTCCTCCCATCCCAGACCATATTTCATGGCCACGAAGGTGGCAACTCTGGCATTGAGCTCAGGCGCCTTCCCACCCGTCGGCCACCGATGCTTGGCGAGATAGGCCTTCCTGGTAGTGATAAGCGTTTTTTCCAGCCACGCGGTAAAGGTTGTTAGAAATAAAACCTTTTAGCTTCTACTTAAAAAAACAGTGATTCAAACAAGTTTCTTCTGCAATAAGAAGTGTATATTCGTCCTGCTAGACTGATGCAAGTTCGCATAAAAAACGGTGACTCGATCTAGCAAGGATGAAGTAGATACTCGTCCCGCAAGACTGGTATTTCCACTAAGTCTAAGCTTCTAGTTCTACTACTAGTTCTACTACTAAATTTCTGATGTCATAACTTCAACTGTAGTTTCTACGACAACTATTAAGGCTAGAAGAAATCCATCCTCACAGGCATCTCGGTTCCGTTTCTCTAGGGAAAAAAGACGGAAGATGCCGCTGAAGATGGATTTCTTCTAGCTCTAAAACTAGTACTAAATTTCTGATGTCATAACTTCAACTGTAGTCTCTACGACAACTATTAAGGCTAGAAGAAATCCATCCTCACAGGCATCTCGGTCCCGTTTCTCAAGGGAAAAAAGACGGAAGATGCCGCTGAAGATGGATTTCTTCTAGCTCTAAAACTACTACTAAATTTCTGATATGATAACTTCAACTGTAGTCTCTACGACTACTACTAAATTTCTGATGTCATAACTTCACCTTATCCGCTCTGGGCAGCTTTATCTGGAGCTCCAAGTCCCTCTCGAAAGCTTGAAGTTTTTGTTCTTTCTTGGCTTGCGACGTCACGTCCGCGACAGTGGCGCCTTTTCCAAACTGTTCGAACAAGGAAGACCCAGAGTTTCCCGATCCGAATCCAAATGTTAAAGCTCAGCCTTCAATGGTCACTGACTCTGAACGGAAGGGACCGGCTTAAAAGCTCTCCCCTTTCCCTTCGTTTTCCCCTGTTCTCTCAAGGGGTCACCAGTGACCAACCCCAATGACCATTGAAAGCTGAGCCTTAAAAATGGATCGGGTCTACTCGAAGAAGATCCTCCTCCTGCTTGTTGTGGTCTATTAGAGCGAGGTAGGCTTTTGGGCTTTGATTACGAATTGGTGTTCCTTTCGTTTAGGTTTACCCCGTTCGTGGTTATGCCTTTCGCCCTTCAGGAAGGCAAAACAACGAACGCGGCTATAACAGGGGGAACACCTTTAACCTACCCTTAAGTCTAGAAGAAGCAGCACCAGCACTCGAAGAAGCCCCTTTGTTTTTGTTCTGCAGACTACTTGCAGTTCGGAAGCTAAAAGAAGACGTACCACTAGAGGAGCTTCCCATATTGACGCCAAACTTTGTTCCATTTCTTAGAGTTCCTACCGCATTGAGCAGAACTTCCTTGAGTAGAGTCCTGACATCCTTTGGGTCCTCGTGCTTCTTTTTCATCAAGTACAGAGAAAGAAGATCCAAAGACTTCTATGTATGATCATACTTTTTACATGTTATACTTGTTATAAGGACAACATGCTTCTTCAGCGGTAGCCTTAAATTTCCCAAATTCGGACCGGTTTGCATTCTGTTCATGTAATTCCCCGTTCCTCCGGAAGAAGAGGAAACTAGCATCCCATTGGTCTTACTCGTCTTCTGCTGATTCCGTTTCCAAGAGTACTGGGTGTAAGGGCCTTGTCCTGCCTTGTTTTAGAGCAGGTTACGGAATCACATTCCTCAGAACCTCCCTGACATTTATTACGGAATCACACTCCTCAGAATATGTATCCGCATCCCTGAAGACTTGATATTTCCAATTGGAAAAAGGGTCAGGCAGGGATATGTAATATCAAACAGTGAAGCAAGGATGTCTAAAAATGCGGGAACAACCTCCAGTCCTTAATTGTTCTCTGCACAAATCTGGACTTTTATCTCCTCCTGGTCAAAGATATGGGCTAGTTTCCCGATTGCGGCCTCTTCGAGTTTGAACGAATTGATCTCCTCGATCTTCAGGACCCTGTTTGAAGAAAGGACGAGAGAAAGACTGAATGATCTCGTCCACGAAGAATGCTGAGAAGTACAAAAATTTTTATCCCTCCAATGATCATAGAAAGTAGAAGGGTTTAAACTAACATTTAAATGGTTTTCACAGAAAGCAGTAGGGCTTAGGGCCTAGGGCTTACTATTATCCCTCCAACTGAAAGGAAAATGAAAGTACTAAGTACCTTTTGGCCTCCACATCGTAGTCGCCTTCTAAAACGCTGACGGTCAAGAATTTTCCAAATCTAGGGTCAAAGACTTGGATATGGTATTTTTCTATCTGCGGCGTTTCCTCGAGGTAGGAGGCGGATTCAGGATATTAGAGTGAGTTACAACTTGCATGACACGACTAGGGAGCAGAACTGATAGATAATTGTCAGAAACGTCAACACCTTTGGTCAAATTCAGAGCAAGTTGGAGAATTCTGCGTGACATCTTCTATATCATCGCACATATTACAATGGAGAGTGCAAATAACTTTTGGAGATCTACGAAGAAGTGTTCATCTATTCATAACCAGTAGTCGGTGGCTTCCATGTTATTCTATAGGCTCTCTGTCCAGCAATTTCGCAGAGAGGCACGGCTCTGATACCCCGAATCAATTCTGGAGTCCTATAGTGCATCCTTTTGATCTCATCCTCAGCAATTTTCTGCGCTCGCTTTATTTTGTCGAATGCATTTGAAATGACTTCGCGGTCGTTGGCATTCGTGATACCAACAGACTTGTCGGGATGGGAAATTAGACGCGGGCGAGGCAGGTCGTGGGAGAGCAATTGCAATCCTTTCTTGTCACGACTCAGGGAAAGAAGAATAAATATAACGAAACTCAAATGTTTTTCACTGCCGTTTCATCTGGAAGAGGAGGCTGCACGTTGAAAGTACCAGGGAAAACACCGCAAGCATCATACGACGTAAGCTCTACCAGAAGTAAAACTCAAATAGTTTGACCCATAAGTATTTCACCATCAACAACTTCCATTTTTTCTGGACGTCGCTAAGAGTTGCCGTTCTCCAACTAACGCCTAGGACGTCGTAGGCCCACTTCCCGTATTCCTTGTGACGTACTATCTCTCTAGCATCTTCTAAGATTTGCTTCTCACGGGGATTCAACTGGGCTGCGGTATTTTGTTCTGGAGGTTTGTTCACCCTTGATTGGTGTGGTGCGGGATTTGTCGGCGCAGCATTTGCTCTAGGTGCTGGTTGAAATCTCATCGGTGAGTTTCCACGACGACCTCGTCTTGCTCGTAGGTCCGCTAATCGCGCTTGCCTTGCTGCTTCAGACTCTCCTGGCACTTCATCACTGCCACCGTTGTTTGCCGCATTCGCGCCAAAAGATGGCTGTCCTCCTGCGGAAGGGGTAAACCCTGAGTTGGTGGACATCATCCCCGCGACACCGTTGTGCTCTATGCGCAATTGTTCAGCCGCTTTCGCGACGCTATTCCCATTGCTTACGAACAGATCGTCAAACTTCTTCTTCATGTCGAAAAATTCCTTTTTCTCGATCAAGTGCGCATGTGGTATGCCATATTGCTGGAAAAAAGCCTTAACTTCCGAGACTTTCTGCAAGTTCGCCCCGGGAATAGGAACCGAGGATGAAGATGTACTAGCTCCTGTTCCAGCAGTAGAAGATGAAGATGTTCCATTACCATTAGCAGTAGTAGCGTTGTTTGGAGCCTGGTTCTGTTTGTTGCTAGGGTTGGCGTAGGTAGAGCTGGACGAACTAGTACCTCCAGTTCTGGTATTACCTGGCGCAGTTCCAGAGTTGATGTCCGCAGATGTAGTGCCAAACAGGTTGACGCCAACTCCTCTACTATCGAAGCTGCCTGATGCGAATAGATTCCGCGGACTTCGTTTGCTCTGATTTGGACTCGCTGATGGTCCTGAGGGCAGACGCTTCAATGTCTTTTTGCTCTCCGACTTTAGCTTTTTCACCGCTGGTCCGGCTCCTTGCTCTGTCAAACTTTGCGGGCTGTTGCTTCTACCATCACTCGCGTTGGATTTTTGACGTTTTAACAAACGCTTAGTTGTGTTTGCAGGTTTGGTACTACTTTCTGCTGGTGGATATACAGCAGATGATGATGAAGATGTGCCAGTTGTTGTTCCACCACCTTGCTGTCCTGGTTCGGTCTTCAAAGTCGTCAGTCTCGGATTTGGTTGATAGTACGCTGCATCGCCACCTATTCTCCCTATTGAGGAAGAAGACGAAGTGCTGGCTGCTGCACTACCCGATATCAACTTGCTCGCTAAAGAGATCGATGAAAACGCTGCTCCACCAGTTGTGGTTGATGAAGAAGCCGCACCTCCAGCAGCGCCCCCTTCTAGCCTAGCTTTCTGTTCCTCTTTTTCTCTCTTGTTCTTCGCCAGCATCTGGAGGAAGCTTGACGCGCCGTCCGACGACTTGATATTCCCCAAAAGCTGCTGCGTTGGCAACGCCGTGGAACTACTACTACTCGTTGCGCTAGTGTTGTCTTTTTTCGCTGCGGAGGTCGTCGACGAGGCTCGCTTAGCCCTAGCGGATGCGAGCTCCTGCTTTTGCTTTCATTAGAGCCGGATTAAGGACAACTACTTCTATGTTCTTGCTTGTTGTAATTTAATATCAAGAATAAGTTATAATCTTATAATGTTTTGTTCTGTAAACAGAACCAAATAAACCACCAGCATCAACACAACATCGCATAAGCTAGTCTTGCTGCTTTTGCTTTCTCCCTGGCTTTTTCTGCCTTTTCTTTGACTTTATCGCTCAAAAAGGGGTTCGGCCTGCTGTCAAACAGATGCTGGACTTTATCGTATCTCCTTATGAACTCCTTCAACTGCGACGGCGTGAAAATCAAGTTCTGGTGAAAATATTAATATCGATGGTGGATTGAAAGTGTCAAGAGGTTCCATTAGGGAGAACATCAAACAGAATCCAGGATCAAAAGTGGGTTGTACAACCTTTTCAATAGCGGGTTGTACCTTTATCTTCACTTCGTTTTTTTTCTTGGATCCGGCATATATAATCGCCCACCAGCCAGCATCTTGACCTACCATTTTTTGCAGGTTCACGAAGCTTTGGCGCCAATAGTTTATTTGTCGATCACTGAGGCCACCAGGAGGAACAGGAGAGGTGCCGGATACTTGCGAGTCTCTTCTTAGAGGTCACGACGATGTTAGTCGGTTCGGAATTGTCCTACGACTTCCCTGAGTCTCTTCTGAGTTTTGCGGATTTCTCTTATGTTGAAACTGTTGTGTTGATGATGTTGATACTGTTGATAAGGATAAGGATGCTGGGCTTCATACCAAATCATTTCTTGAAGTTCCCTGGGGTGCAAATATTACCAAGTGATTTCTTTTTCTTATTTAAGCTCGGATGAAAGGAATTTAAGGAGAAATGACGCCTAGAAATGAATCGTATTGGGCCTTAATCTGCCTCCTCCTTTGGCTGTAGTTGTGCTAACGCGTTTGGGGTCCGGCTCGCCTGCTCCGTCAATTTGTTGCATTGATTCGTTAGAAGAGGCGGAACAACATGAAATCAAAATACCATTTTACAAGAACATGAAATTTATTAATTATACCATTTGTCTAATCTTCTTATGAGAAATAAGCTGAGACTCTTTATTCAACAACTACAAGAACATCATTTAGAGACGCTAATAAGCTGTTCTTTTAGAAGAGACTACAACATTTAGAGGATTATAGCAAACAATAACAAGATTTTGATCTACTTCCTCATAATACGGGTGATATTCTTAGCAAACAATAACAAGATTTTGATCCACTTCCTCATAATACTCGTGCTACTTGACGAAGCTCCTCCACTTCCGGTAGTGGGTTGTACTTTTCCTGGACTCAAGGGGCCCTCCTGGGTCCGATCGGACGACGACATGGCAGGCATTGTGATGGTAATCCTCCTAAACAGTTAAGTACTTAATATCTTGAAGAACTGCTATCATGTTAGTACTAAATGAGGATGAATTCACATCATGTTAGTACTAAATGAGGATGAATTCAGCACATGCGAGACGTTGGAATAGAATCGCGGTGGACCATGCTGATTTTTATGATCGGTAGGGTAAGTGGTTTTCATCAAACTATCAGATCTTCCCGTCAACTCATTCATTGTCATGATACTTATCAATTCAATCCATCGTCGTGTTTGTAAGTCCTCGTGCTCGTATGCATATTCATACTTACATAAGATTAACAGCGCGTCCTAATTTGAGATTTGGCTTTGGGAACATGAAAGAATGTTGAGGATGCAGCAGAGAATATGAGTTAATATAGTACAAAAGCTGGAACAAGTCGAAGATCAATGAGATGAATAAAGGCGTGGCCGATGTAAATCAATGTTGTCGACCAGAAACTAGACTCCTGCTGATTTTCCCATATTTTGCATTTGTGAAGTAAGAAAATTTCTTAGATAGAACAAATACTGATCGGAAAATAACCTCCCTGAGTGATCAACCAAAACCAAATCCAGTATACAACAGAGCCAATCAAAACTCTTATGTCAAAGTCGATCTCTGATGAACCACGCTTGATACTCGTTCCATTTTGCGTCGACGTGAAAAACCTTTAAAGACACCTTTGCGTTCTGGACTTTGGTTTTCGAGGACAGAAAAACTTCTTCTACCACGCTTGAAGACCCGATCACATTCTTCCCGAGCGAAAAGGACAGATGTCATTCTAGAGGTAGCGGTCACGACATAGAAGCTGCGAGGAAGCTTGCAGAGTCGTGAGAAGAACACAGTTTTCTAACCTTGCAAAGTCGTGGGAACACGGTTTTGTAACGAAACCACATACGAATGCGTTTGAATTCAGTTTCAGCAGCATATAGGTACTAGTCCTGCAGTTGTACTCTTGTCGTGTTGAATAGGAAAACCCGCTAGTCAAAACGAAAGTCGCCTCCCTGGGACATATATAGGATTCACTTTCACACAATGAACATGCAGAAGCTGTAATGGAAATCCAAATTCTCGTTGAGCATCCTGTGTTTTAGACATTCTAAAATCAATCTCCTGTTGTAGGAATTTTCAAAAAAATTAAAAGAATTCTTAGGTGGGTGACGAGGGTGGTCGTGTGTCGTGGGATAAATCGCGGTGCTCCAAACCCACACAGAGAATGAGAATCTCCAGGACTTCTGCACACGATGAATCAGGTGTAAGTAAGTAACTCATTGCCCACTTGGTGCTTCCAAAGAGGACAAGCAAGGAAGAGAAGAGGACGGGGAATGTGCCAGCATAAACACTTATCATACACTGAGAACGGGTATTTGGAAGTGGAAAAGGTAAAGGATAAGGAAACCATAACCATGACGAAGATATGGTCTTGGTCAACATCCGGTCAATAAAAAGTCCTCTGTCAATTAAAAAGTCTTTCAACGAGTACAAGTCGACTCAGTCTATTCTTGGTCTGCTTGTTTTACAACGGCGCTACCACAACTAGTAGTACTGCTTGGTCGTTCGTTGTACTTCCGAAAAAATCAAAACTGCTACGTCAACAGTAAACATCAAGGTAGTAAAAACAATGCCTCCTTCATGTTCATGCACTGTCCTCGCTGGTACTAGTACTATTGTTGCTACTACTACTAGTCGATCCAACGTACGGCATGCACCACCTTACGGCAAGCACCGTCTCCAGGAAGATCAAAGGTCAAAAAAATCTATGTTGCCTTCTATGGTGCTGCCTAAAAGAGGAGCTCTCTTCTACGTGCTGCATCTTCATCAGTCTTCTATACTGCTTAAAAAAGCTTGCACAGTTGTAGCTTCATTAGCTTCCTCTACCTTCATTACCTTCCCCCGAGACTGCTTAAAAAAACCGCTTTCTTCTAGTACGTGTAAGTACCTTCAGCTTGACCTCTTTCCCTGTTGTTTATTTCCTGTCCCCTGATGGTGGTGTGCTCTGTGATTGTTGATGCTTCGCTGTTTGTCGTGATGGTAAGGCGGAGGAGCCTGGTTTTGGTTTCCCTTCTTAATACCTTTTGCATTATGGTGTTCCTTCTGGTGCGCCCCTCTGTTCTGCTCTTCTCGGTTGTTCTGAACGCGTTCTTCCAGGTCATTGCCTACACCTCTACGATCTGCATGATACTCTTCCTCATAGTATTGACCACCCTCGTAGTCGGCATAATAACGATCGTTCGCGGCAGCTCTTTGCCTAGTCCTTGTCCTTGTCTCATTTTCACGCGGACTAGATCTGACACCTGACCGCCCGTTGCCTCCTCCGTCTTGGAGGTGATCATAATTGTAGTCGTCGCGGCCACCTGCTCTTTGTCCTCTATCCCTTACCCTTTGTCCTCTATCTCTTTGTGCCCTGCCACCTCTTCCGTTGTCGTAGAATTGTTCATCGCGTCCCTCCCTGGTGTGCTGACGTTCAGTATAGTAAGCATCATCGTAAATAGCATAGCCGTCACGATCATATTGCTGTTCACGATCAAGCCTCGTATGCTCGCGTGAGTACTGCCTATCATGATAGCCATGGCGTCCGCTGTACTCCTGCTCGTAGTGGTCGTCGTCTACTCTAGGAGTATTTATATTTGTTCCATCTCGACGTCGCGTCCTGCTTTCTCCTCCGTTCTGGTGCCGATCCCTATTTCGTCGTCCTTCATACTCGACGTAGTCGCCCTGTCCACCTTCTTCGTAGTAGTAGTCGCCAACATAGTAATCTTCGTAACCCCTCTGTTCTCTGCGTCGTTCTCGGTCGCCTCCTCGCCTTTCACGTCGATGACTACGATCATACCCTTCGTCATACTCCTGGTAGTAGTAGCCTTCATCGCGATTCCTCCTACCACGACCATCTTCTCCACGACCTTCGTCTTCTTGCTCTTGGAGGCTCTTATCTCGCAGCTGTCTTTGTTTATATTAGAGCTCATCCTATTCCATCGCGGGATAGGCATTCATCTTGTTGGACCTATGGCATTAGTTTTCCCCTTATCTATCTACTAGTCGATCTTGGCTATTTGGAAGTGGGAAAGGATAAGAAATGAACATGTATAATTTATGAGATGGCACATTCCCCATCTAAGATGCTTCAGAAGCAAGATGGATTATCTGACAGAGGTCGTCGTGAGCCTTAATTATACGCAGCACCAAGGTTGAACCCCACGCCTTCGAACTGCTTGCTGTCGTCCTCACTCACGGAGCAAAGGAATGGATCATCGTAGGGAATAAGCCTCTTGAAGCCACCACACTGCCCAACGAGGACGTATTGCCTGTGATGATGAATACGGATATGATTTCATTGGACGAGATATGATTTCATTGGACGATAAGAATAAAGTAAGGTCTTCATCAAGGTGTCAGGTTAATAAGCGACGGCGGAAACGACCTTTGATTGATCCTACTTCGAAGAAAATACAAAGGCAATCGACAAGCGGAGAAAGAAAGTTAGTAGTACTCTGCTCCCTGCCTCTCGTGCCTCGGAACTGTTCTCAAAATCTTCTCATGCAATTTCCGTCTGACCGGCAAATTATTCGGCAATTTTCCCAGATCGAACCAGCTTTTCATTTGCTTATTCGAAAAGGGTCCAAACTCCTTGTCCCCAATGCGATATTCCCATAGACCGCAGTCAAAATGCACACAATCGAGTAGTTGGGGAAAACGGGCAAGCTCGTACCTATGTATAAGTGATCCTCAAGGGAGTCGTATCATATTTCCAGTCGGCAAAGAAAAGAGTATACTCAGTTGTGCAGGAAAAAGCGTAATTATATTAGGTTTTCTCGAATGAACCTCATTTTGTACCAAGAACTGTGAATTTTTCTTCCTACTCCTAGACGAAAAATACATTTCAAATTGCAACAAGTACTTCTCCGGCGATCCGCCTCCTTCCTTCAGCTGCTGTTCATTCCTCAGCCTCCAGCTTCGGACGAAGTCTCTAGCCTGTTGAGAATCCCACAAGTTGTTGTTGGCGCCGATTACGATTTCAGAAGCCTTCTTATAAGCGCCTTGCCCATTCGGACCTCCAGTCGGATCCCAGTACATCTCCTCTTCGCCAGCATTAGCTCCTTCGCCATTTTGATCATCCGCCGGACCACCCATCTTCCTCTGCACATTTGCTCGACCGTGTCCCTTGTAGAAGCCAATCTCTACCGTCTCACCGTTTGTGCGTGTTCGGAATTTCTTGATCTCCTTGTGATGCGTGTCGTCCAACATTTCTACGCACATACAGACGCACTCGACGTCGAACAATTCCTCATATAGCACAGCTCGTCTCTGAAGACAAAGTAATCGGCGATTGTCGACAGAAAACCACTCTTCTCTTCCTAGAATGGTTTCGCCAGTCTCCTTATCGGTTAGCGGTTTTCCGGCTGAGTCGCGAAGCTTGGGTTTGTGTCGCATCACTCGGATCACTGGGAAAGGATGAGTGAGAAGGAAAACAGGCTTTTGTCGCCGTTCCGCTGCGTCTTCAGCTTCTTGAGCCGTTGGTGCTGGCATGGTGTGCGCCCCTTCGAACTGCAGGGGAGAACTGCCCATGTAGTTGGTGTGCATCTCCTCAACTGCGTCGCCAAAGGAAGCGACGCTGTTCCGAGTCGACGCACACAGACTGGCACACAATGGCTCAAAGCCTCCTGCAGCTTGTCCATGAAGAAGACGCCTGCTAGAAGAAGTACGAGGATTATCATCAAGATCAAACCCAGCATCAGCACTACTAGTTGTACTACTAGACCTTCTCAGAGAACTCAACCTCACAAGCCGAGTACCTTCATATGCTGAACCAGTTGTATCTCCGGAAAGTCTACCAGTAAGTCTTCTTGGATCATCGGGTGCCGGTGATCCTGCTGCTCCTGCACACGAAGCAGAAACGGAAATTGAAGAAGACGCCACACGCACACCAGGTGTTGCTTGATACAAGGCCTCTTGTTCATCTATATCAAGCTCATAATCCACCTCGTAGTCCTCGACAAAGCTCAATCGATGCGAGCCCTCTTGACTCTTTCCACCACCTCCACCTGGTGAAGAGAGATTATTAGAGGTTCTTGCGCAATTATAAGTACATTCTTCAGATCATCCTTGACGTGGTCTTTCCTCCTATGTATTGGCAAGTATAAATCAAGAATGGTCGTGTTGAAGGATGCAAGAATTTGGTGAAAACGACCCTTAAAATTAGGCGGGAAAGGAGGCGGCTGTAGTGGAGGAGGTAATAAGGAGATGGGTGGAGGCTGTAGTTGATCTAGTTGTCGTGGACCACGACCATGTGGGGTAAGCTCCACAAGTCCACCTTGACCTTGTTGTGATTGTGAGTTGACCCGTTCTGCTGGTGAAAATTGATCGCTTTGCTGTGAGATGGGTGAGACCACTTCAGAGGGGATAAAAGAAGACGCTGGTCGTGGTCCAAGACCTTTTATTTTACCGTTCTTTAACAGCTGCATTTTGCCCTTCCCCTTCATCAACATCAAGTTGTTGAGCATTTCCGCTTTTCCAGCTTGTGCTTGCTCCTCTGGTCGTGTCCCAGCAGGTGCAGCTAGTACAGGTTCATACGAAGCAGGAGGAGCAGCTGCTCCCATACTGGAGGAGGGTGGGGGCATCGGCAATCCGCTTTTGCCCATGGCTAGCAGCATCCCTTTTTTCTGTGCCATCAAACGTTGGGGGTCGACGCTAGGTCCTGTGCTACCTGGTGTAGATCCCGGCTCTGCTCCAACTGCACTAATTCCAGGTGCACCGCTCGAAGAAGAACTTGGTGTTCCGCCATCTAATATCATACCCTTCTTACTGCCTGGAGCAGCACTAGACATAGGTGTACGAGTCGGGTTTGGGACCAGACTAGGTATAATTGGCGGTGGCCCTTTCATCAGAGCTCTCTGCACTTCTGGGTCTCTAGACGGACTCGTGGCGTCGAAGTCCAAAGCAATCGCCGATCCGCCAGCGATGTTCATATAATCACTAGAAGCATTAGCACTAAATGGCGGTGGTGGCCCTACACTACTAGAAAGCGGCGGTCGTGGTTCTTGTTCTTGTTCCTGTCCAGCATTATTTTTGATGTTTGTGAAGGAACTATAGTTCGGATATGGTGCACTAGACGGACTGCTGCCTCCACTAGTGAGATTTGGTGGAAGATTCGTTGGTGGTCTTGAGGATGATGAGGGCAATTCACTCAAAGCTGGAGAGGCATAGTGCGACTGCTGTCCTGGTGCTGGTGGCCCGTTGTTTGGACCTGTCCTGCTAGCGTTAGAAGTCGGAGGACTTGCAAGTTGAGCTCCACTACTTCCAGCATTTCGTGTTTCCGGCTCAACCCGCTCCCTCTCCATCTGATGCAGTCGGAAACATTCGTTTTTGATCTTCATGAACTCCCCTGAAATATATCCAGCATATTCGCTTGGGATCGCTAATGGAGGTAAGTTTTGCCCAAAATGCTCCACTATTTCATGTCCCAGGACTTCATGGAGAGACAAAAAGCTTCCACCCACTGTGTTGTAGAGCTGTCGTCGGTCGATTTGGCGCCGTAGGGATTAGAAGAATCGACCGAGCTCGTCACTGAAATCAGTGATGTACGACTACTGTTGGCTCCCACATCAACATTCTAGATCTACATCTAGTAGAGGTAGTATCTAATTTCTAATAGTCATCTGAACTACAGCACGAAAAAATCGAGTACCCATCACCACATTACTTCTGGTCATAATCAAAAGCCAACTGCTGTTGCCGTTTCTTCTGAGCAAACTCTGAACGCGGACCGTAGTGCTCCGTTAAGGACCCTAGGTATTCGCTGAAAACTTGAAAGGTCCTCGCAGACCATAGGAAAGGCTCCTCTAGCTCTTCAGCAACTTTAGGACTGGCGGCTGAGGGGGGACGGCGAGTTTAGGAGAAGTGTAGATGAAGTTTTAAGTAAGTAGTACCATCAGCTCCGAACGGTGGCTCCAACGGCGTTCAATATCCACCTACTTAATTCTGACTAATCACTTAAATGTGATGAAAAGTAGTACCATCAGCTCCGAACGGTGGCTCCAACGGTGTTGAATAACCACTCGAATATGGCTGCTCACTCGTCTCTGTCGCTGATTGAGGTTCCAATGGTGGTATTTGTCCATCAGGAGCAGTCTCTTCAGCATCCTTGATGTTCCTAGTAGAGCTGGAGGGGGGGTCTCTAGAGGCGTCTCTTGGTGATATAACTGAAGATGCATCTTTCAATGCCACCACGCGACCGGTGCCAGCTGCAGTGCCAGTTCCAACACCTCCTGAGCCTCCACCTCCCCTATGGGCTCTACTGTCTTCGCATACTACCAGTTTGGCATTTCGTAGTTCTGTCTCTTGACGCCGTATGCTTTCCTGCATCTCGGTTTTGGCCTTATCCTGGTAGCTCTCATTCTCCAAAGTGAACCCAGCAAAGTCCACCAGGCCAATCGCATTCTCTGCATCCCGCAGTGGTGCACCACCATGCTCTTTCTGGTTCACGGCTGACTTCTTCCCTGATCCAAACACTGGATAAACCACAAGTTGGGAGAATTTGATCTTCAAAGGATTGAGAAACAGCAGTCTCCTTGTTTCGATATGCTCCTGGTCTGAGACCAAATTAGACCTCACGACCACAAGAATCCATCTTTCCGCTCATCTTCTGTGTCCCTTTTTGTAATTCTTGAAAGCGATCATCTTAGTTAGATGAACGAAAAGATGCGGCCGATTAAGTGAAAGAACCTTAACCAAAGCATGCTTATGTAAATGTAGTTGTTGAGGACCACCTCCATTTGCATCCTTCTGCACAACAACATCCTCTTCGTGGATCTCTCCCCTCCCTCCATCGGCACCTCCACCTCTGATCTCCCTGCCTTACATTAGAGGTAGGTTTTTGGTGTTCGTGGGTTCTCCCGCTTGTTATGGCTGTCCCCACCTAAGGGAGAGAGCCATAACAAACGGTAACAAAAGCACCTTTAACCTACCCTTAATTCCACTCTAGGTGACACGCTTTTCAACCGTGTCGCTTTACCAGTGAGCAGAGATGCAGATTGGACTTTGGGATCCAGGAAGACGCGGACCGCTTCCTGCGATTCGAACCAAGGGGGATCGGTCGTGGAGGCATTGCCTTTCTTCCAAGGCTCTTTGTTGTTGAAACGGTGAAAAATCGCATCTTGATACAATTTTTCATAATTCACCTGCATTTTTTGTCCTATTAATTTTTTTCAGCTTGATCTTGATGTTGTCCTATCAATTTAGCTATTTAGCTAGTACTTTCTTGTTATGTAAGGATCATGGATTCCGTACGCTTTCGTCATTCAGAAATCCAAAAATAATCTTCCAGGTGGTCGACGCTTCGAAACTACTAATATAACTTCTAATCTTTAGTCCCTACAAGTACTTAGTAGTATCAGTATGGAGCTAGTCGCGTCTTGTACTGTTTTTTGTTCTTCACATCAAGCAGTAGATTCTTGCTAGTACGATCATCCATGAGTCCTAGTGTTTCGCGCTGGTGATGTATTGAGAAGTATATTTTATTCCACGCACTCGTCACCGACCGAAAAATACGAAAGAGGTCTCAAAAATTTTCACTGCGTTTTCAGACAACGAGAAAAGGGAAGATCATCATGATAGTAGTCAATGGCGTCGTCGTCGACGTGAATCAAGTAGACCAATAGAAAACTTCTGCTCCTTATTTCATAATAAGAGTTGCAACAAGCTTTTGTCTCGTAGACATCCTTCGATTATGAACAACCCATGTTGATCATCATTTTTGTTGATCATGGAGTAAGGATTTTCTAACTCCGACAAAAATCTTCTTCTGTGGAATACTTTTCATTGGAGTTCTTGCATTTTCTGGGGACATGCTGTTTTCTTTTTTTCACCATAGGGATAGGGTTTGGATGCAATTTATCGGCAATCATCCGGTTCGGAAAAAGGAAATATCACATTGTTCGTTCAAGCAAATGTTGGAGGGAATGAGCATCTGGGACACAGAAGCAATCTTGATGTCACGCGTGTTGCTCTATGATTTCTTCCACGTTTTGCTTTTCATAAGACCTTGAGCATTCGTTGGAGACTACTTGTTTTACGATCAATCCGTTCTCTTATGGAGGCAGCTTTGTCAACAATTCGTAAGTCTAATGATCATGAACTACAAAAAAACGATCAAAAACAGTACTATGGATTATTTGTGAAACAAGAAAAAAGTTCATTTTTAATTGGGGAACTATTTATATTCAATTCAGTACATGTAAGAATGAACTTGGTGATCAAATAATCAAAACATATTGAAACCTTTGGCGAGCTGCAGACAGCTATATTTCGTATTCGGTAAGTAGTATCCTGAATTCAGCAGATGAAGACTGATGATTGTTGTTTAAGCACGATTTTCAATGATTACGAGAATATCTACAAGAATATTCTTACCGACCCTGTACCTCGCATTATCAGCAATTTGGCCGTGGCATCGGAGCACTATGTAGTTCCTAATTCTTTTATCATTATCTCTATTTTCTAAGCCGTAGCCAGAGCTGATTTGTCACATAAAAGAAAAAGATTTTTACTGTCCAAGCCGTATTCGGAAAAGTTCTGTCCCAAGACTCGATGTACAAAGAGAACTACTACCGTCCAGAGACTTGCTTGATCAGGTCCTTATCTGTCTTGTTGTCACGGTTTCTCTACTAATTCGAATGCTTTTTTGTTTGTTCTGTGGTTGATCGTCCAACACCTAAATCATTTCATTCCTATTTCATAAGCCCTAAACGACCCTAGGCCAAACGACCCTACAGTTGTAAACTACTAGCCCATCCCGTCACTACTCATGAGCCAAAATATCCCCCATACGAGTAGTCCTACACTCATCATAGGACTCAGCATTGTGCCACGGAATGCGCTGCCTGCCTCATCTGGCGCCTTCTCCATGTCCTGAAGGAGAAAGCCTTGAATTGTTCGGTTGGCATCCACGATCGAGTTGGGGTTAGAGGTTCTTGAAATTGAAATTTTAGTACTGTAGCTGTTGTTGTGAACGGTTCAGCTTCAGGAGTAAGTAACCTCAGCGAATGTAAGTAGTTTCTCGCGAATGAAAGGAAATGACAGGACTGTTCCCGAAGCCAAAAAGTGAGTAAGTAAGTAACCTTTCAAGTGGATTAAATGTAATCACAAGGAAGCGAAAATGGTAGATACTTTCTTACCACAGAGAGACTAATTCTAATATGAAAACAATTATAAACATCAACAAGTTCTACGTACTTATGTACTTATACACAAGAAAGCTCGTCCCGTCCACATGAATCATCATAAACTTCGGATCCGTGGATGATGCTTTTTTGCGTGTTTCGAAGATCCAGATGTTGCTGATCGGATCCTCTGCTGCGTTTTCGACCTCCAATTCCAGTGTATAGTTGAACACCAACAAGCCCTTACCACGTGGAAAGGTGATCGTCACGTTCTCTGCGTCTGAACCTTCACAGCGAATATTTTCCGGAGGAAACTTGGTCGCGATTGTTAAAGCTCAGCCTTCAATGGTCATCATGACTCTGAACGGAAGAGGCTGACCCTCTTCAGGAAAGCTCTCCCCTTTCCCTTCGTTTTTTATTTCCCCTGTTGGTTCTCTCAAGAAGGGGTCGCCAGTGACCAACCCCAGTGTTGACCATTGAACAAAGCTGATGAGCCTTAACATTGCTTGCGCGCCCATCGAGCTTGTCTGGAGTTCTGAGGGGTTGCTGTATTTCAAGTGGAACAAGTCCGAGCAGACGACTGGAAACTTGTATCCAATCGGTGCTTCCAAGTAAAACACGTTCTCGAAGTCCGCTTGGTTCATGATGGTGGTTGGCACGAATACGACAGAAATCTTGTTCATACGCGACTTGGTGGCGAAACCAGGTCGAACTTCGGTAAACATGGCGCCGGTGATGTCGTAGCTGTGTTCAAGGGGTGTTCAGTGTTGCATGTTGGGTGTTGCATGTTGGGTGTTCAGTGTTGGGTGTTCAGTGTTGGGTGTTCAGTGTTGGGTGTTGCATGTTGGGTGTTGCATGTTGGGTGTTCAGTGTTGGGTGTTCAGTGTTGGGTGTTCAGTGTTGGGTGTTGCATGTTGGGTGTTGCATGTTGGGTGTTGCATGTTGGGTGTTGCATGTTGGGTGTTGCATGTTGGGTGTTGGGTGTTGCATGTTGCATGTTGGGTGTTACATGTTGGGTGTTACATGTTGGGTGTTGCATGTTGGGTGTTGCATGTTGGGTGTTGGGTGCTGTCTCTTTTTGCTTTTTTCTGTTTGGTGATATTTCTAAAAAGTAGGATGTTCAATGTGAATTCGTTTGTACCCTTCCCAGCTCTGTTTGACGTCCAGGAAGTTCTTTTGCGCATCTCGAATCTCGAACCTCCACACGTTGTCTGCTGGCGTAAATTCAGGATTGGTAATCCAAATCTCGATACCGAATTCCAAATTGGGCTCAATTTAGAGGGAGCTCACATCTTGAGTAATCCATCTCAAGGTCGTGCTGTATTATCCTAGACAGGCCTAAAAAAAAAAGGTCCCCAGGAGCAGGAGGCCTCTAAAGATGGATCAGGGTAAGCCTTACTCAATCCTGTCCTGCCCGTCCAGAGTAAATGTCACCACATTATCGTTCCTCGTGGCAGTGGTGGTAGAGGCAAGCGTGTGGCCACCGGGAATGGACAAGATCGTGAAAAGCGTGTTGAGGGGGCGGAAACGAGGATTAGAACGTTGACGTGTGTAGTGTTCCGAGTTGTATCTTACACTTAGTCGAGTACTTTCATCAAGCAAAAGATTGCAAAAGAACCTTCTTGAGGACCTTCCAAGACCTATTCTTTTCGATTCTTTCGACTACATTACTCCAATCGGATCATACTACATACTTAGATCGACTATTCGATAAACTGAAATAAGCGAGTAACTACTGACAATAAGCGAGATACCGATGAGAAGGAAGAGCACTACCCTTGATGTTAAAAAGCTGCCTCCGATATTTCAGTCAGTAACTCGGTTATTTTCAGTTTTCGACTACATTACTTCTATCTATCAAGATCAACTAGATTATATTATACTTTTATCTATAATCAACTACAGATTACAACTGTTACAACTCTTATCGGATCACATCATAACAACAGGTGCAGTGATGATGATGTCACTCGACCCAGGAATCCTCTTCGTCGATCGCATTTTGATCTGCATCCTTCCCATCACCGAACGTGTCGTGTCCATAGGCTGTACAGTGATATCTTGCAATTCCTGCAAAGATTAGACCTTCACCTTGTTCTTGTTGTTGTTTTTACCTATTATGCTTGTGGTGGAGCCGACCTAACTAGGAAACAAAAATACAAAAGAGGCAAGTAATCCTATTATATTTAAAAAAGAACTATAGTGGCCACGTTTATATTCGGATCCGTTTATAGAATCCCCTGGGAGAAATGGGGACGACCAAAGTAAAAGATGCTTCTTCAGATGAGGACGAACAATATATTTTTAGGTAAGCCTTAAAGCGAGAAACCAAACACGTTTCGATCCAAATGCAGAACGACATTGTTCAGCATGGTTTGGAAGCGCCAGTTGTTTGCGTCTGGGACATAATCGGCATTGATAATCTCGAACATGAACGCGTAGTCGAGGCCGAACCTGTTGGGTTGGGGTGGTGGTGGTGGTGGTGGTGCTGGTGGTTGTGGGTTGTTTGAGGGTTCTACCAAGCACGAACGAGAAGAAGATGATCTTATCTTCAGTAAAAGCAAATCGAAAACGGCCAACGAGCAGCTCAGCGGAAGCTAATTAGTGGTCTTAGTACTGAATGACAGCTCCCGGTCTCAACTCGATTGCTGGCTCGTCCGCATCCACGATGGCCCTGCACGACGTACCTCGTGGAATCTCCGTGTACACCAATGCACTGTCCAAACTGGACGTAGACTCCGCAAATTTCATAGGGTCATAGGATCGTGACCATCGACCACACAATTCCACAGGCTGGAACCCCTTGGGCATGTAGACTTGAAGACGCGCAGATTCGTCGAAGGCGAGATCCGACTCCAGCACAAAGGAGACAGCTACGGTGTTCACGACTGTGGGGGAATCGATAGCGGAGGCGACACGAGTCGAACGGAAAGCCCCGTAGATTCCTGTTAATTTTTTAATATAGAGGCTTATATATAATACGGTTTTGTTGTAGCTTCTAGTGTGGAAGGGTCGTGATGTCATCTATGTATAATATCGGCGAGTACTAAGAGGAACAGCGTTCTTGTTCTTGTTTTTTTCATGCGATACAGTTAGAGCACATCTTCACCAGGCCAGGTGAGACGAGTGATAGTACGGAATCCCTGCACATCTCTGTTCAAGTCGATCATGGTCAATGCCGAGGCTGGCGGCGTCGTCCCTGTCGGGGCTTGTGGAGACACATGGAACGTTTCGTAGATCCAAATGTTCTCTGACGGTGGTGGCGAGATCTGAGGATTCGACAGTGTGATCGTGATCTGCATGTCCAAGCCCCCTGGGAAATCTTCGTCCTCACTGTCCAGCTCGATGATGTTGCCGCGTTGGCTCTTCTTCGCCTTACGCGGTACCGTTTCGGATATGTCGATGGTGTTAGTGCCCGCGCCGCCCGCCGACTGGACCGGCTCGAAGACTTGCGGGTACTGGATACGGATCAACCCCCGCTGTTTCACCACGTTGGTCAGGCGAAAAGTGATCGTCACTCGATTGTACGTGTTCGACACCTTCGTTTCTTGCGCAAAGATTCGCGTCACGTAGACTACACCGAACAATTTGAAGCCAGGCACTCCCTTGCGCTCGTCTAGTGTGGTTTTCTTAGCGAAGAGAAAAGCCCAACCTTACGCCAGCAACCCAGTATGGATTCCCCTTGTGTAAAAGGGGAATGAGAAGAATGGGCTTAGGGTTTAGGGTTGGGTTTTTCTCTGCCTTAATTTTACCACTGTCCGCATTACGCGTGGCAAAGATGATTAGAGCTGTCCGTAATTCATCTTCCAAGTGCATCCTTGAAAAGTATGGGGGAGTATTCCCTTAGGATACTCCTCCATACGTTTCAAGGATGCGGCCAAAGATGTATTAGGTACAGCCTTAAGATGAACTCGTTCTGCCACTGCGTGTGGTTGCGGAACAAAGTGTTGTAACCCGTGATGTGGAAGATCAACAATTGGTCTTGCTTCATGGTGATCGTATCGGACAGCGTGATCTCCAGCTGTGCCTCATACGGTTCCCAACTTAGTTGCTTCGTGTTCACCTTGTTCCAGTCCGTTACCAGAGCTTTGTTCGTCTCTAGCTCAGTGGCAGACATGAATTCCTCCTTCAACACGGTGCGGTATTTGCAGTTAAACAGCTTGTCGTATCTCCGGTTGGCGCAGTCGGCACGTCCCTGGCTGCAGGGGAACTCTAGCGCTTGGATCTCTTGGGCGTAGGAGATTAGAGTTTGTAGGAGAGTGGTGTAAAGTGGGAAGAAAGGGATACTCAATCAGTGTAAAAGAATTATCAAACGAGAAGGATCAAATTACTTTAACGTGTAAACCTTCTTCTAGTATGAATTATGTGCTTGTGCTAGTTCTACTCCCGTGGTGTAAGTATAGGGACTACGAATAGGGACTACTAACGATAGGATAGGATAGGACAGGATAGGATGCCGCCGCCGAGCTGCCACACCTGGTGGGACCGCGAGCTTTAGCATATGATCATACTGTAACTGTAGTTGTAGAAACTTGCCTCTAGTGTGATCACAGCACTTGTCCAAAAGCAAAATCATAACAACATGTCTTTCGGTGCTCTGCCTGCGTCCAAGGACTCGTACCGCTCCTTCTCGTCACACGGCGTGATAGAAATCGGACACAAAAATTGCAAATTTCCTTGCGGCTCTGGCGCAGTGATGGTACAGGATTCTTCTGATCCTAGCGTCGGACGAGGTGGCGATCCTCCGCTTGCTCGTGGGATAGAGTTCAACAGGTCTGGAGGCGGTCCGTCAAAGGCGAGGCGATCACCGAAATAGAAATCTTGTCTCGGTGCTCGCAGCAAGATACTACCCTGACCAGGCACTTGAGTCAACACCGCCACGCGCACAGTGAAAGTCGTGAACAAGCCATTCGCCGGATTGGAGGACATCAGTTCCGTAGTGACTAGCTCTGGAAAAATAGTCCACCCTTCAGTGGCCCAAACCTCCTGGCCGAGCGGGGTTGTGGTATTCGCGACGATACGCCACAAGTTGGAAGCAGTAAATGGCGTGCGAGGAGGGTTTTGGATTTCATCCACTAGGAACTCGTAAACTGGTCCAGCCATCAACGTACGGCCACCACGAAGCTTCTCCGTGTTGACAATCCGAATTTGATTGTGCTGTTGATGTTTGGCGAGAAATTTGGGTTATAAGAATGGAGGATAGATCTTCATGCGTATTTACTAGTACAAAATCAATAAAAACCTCCAACTTCGATCGGTTCAAAAATCTACTTAAACTCCAAGCAGCATTAACATCTAGTAGTACCGAAATGACATGACAGCTGACGTATTCTGGCAACCTTGTGATATCCTTGATCGCACTCCTCGGAAAGAGTTGGTCCATCACCTGATACTGCGCAGCCGTCAAAGCTGGTGAAATGCACGGTCGAGGAGCTGTCCCGTCTGGGTTGAGACCGATATAGAGGCCCGTAACCGGATCCATAGTCGGGTTCCACGGCATTTGGAGAGAGTCAGCGCCAGTCCACATGCGAAACTGGAACTCATCTGGCGCCGTGATTCTTTAGAGCTACCGCGTTCGCATCCCTCACTGCACCCTCGGCAACTTTCCCCTTTGGAAAAGAGCCAAGGAAGATGATGTTGAGGATGCGTTGTCGGTTGCCTTAAATTGTAATATCCTGTCCGGGAGATAGCTCAGACGTGATGTCGAAACTGATCTTGATGTCGGTTTCGCTCTGGCCGATGTAGTTGAGAGTCTGTAGTTGGAACAGGCTGATGCGCGGATAGACTGCGAAAGAGTACACCTCATAGTTCAAGTCAAGACGATCGCGGATTTGAGAGCGCTTGTTGGTAGTAGGTGAAGGCATCTTCCTTGTTTCGACGGTCCACCATCGGGAGAGATCTTGGACCTGAGGGGGTAGTGACATAGACGAAATGGAAACGGAGGTAGAAACGTTTGTTGTCTTGCTGCAATAGAAAACTACAAGGATGGAAGAGTTCTTCAGTCTTCACGAAGTAGAAGTAGTCAGCATGCTCGTTGCTTCTATTAAGGCGCGGCTTTCAGTGGTCATTGGAGTTGGTCACTGAGATCGAAGAGGCGACCCTTCTTGAGAGAACCAACAGGGGAAATAAATGAAGGGAAAGGGCGGGAGAGCTTTGAAGGAGGTCTCTTCCGTTCAGAGTCAGTGACCAATGACTGCTGAGCTTTAATTCTAAAAATCACAGAAGTACGTTGTCAAACGTTTCCATCGGGTTTTCCACCATCACCCTAAACGCATACAATTGCTCCGGTTTCAAGTGCGTATTCTCGCCCAGCTGTAAAATTAAGGCTGGACCAGATAGGTACATCTCCACTGGCACGATCGGTTCGTCAAATTGTAGTTTGAGAACATTCGAGATACAGTCTGAAATCACGTTAAGACCGACCTCGGGGTCAGCGAAATTGGCCAGGAACGCATCGACGTCCGCTTGGCTGGTCCCTAGAGCGACTTGGCCTTCGATAGTATCGCAAGAAGCACGGACTAGGGCGACGAGGGTTAGAAGCGTGACATATTTATTGTACTTATTCAGTAATGTTGTACTCTTTAGTAATTTTACTTTAACGACCAACCATCAAAATCACAATTTAATACTTTGAATCGATTTCCATCACAACAACAACAACAGTAATCCATAACAAGTTCCTTCCCTCCGTCAAGCAGTTCGTCTGTATCGGTGTTGGCTCTACCCCTTCCGGATAGCAAACCATCGCTTCCAATTCGTACCCCGGTCGCACCAACCTATGATATCCCGGTCCATCAAACGGCACTGAGCGTACACGAAACATCAACTGCGTATCCCGATAAAACACTGACCACCGAATGTCGTCTGAAATAGTGGTCTCCGAAGCGCCAAATTCCGCTTGGAAGTTCGGATGCCCCAAACGGTAGTAGAGTTTCACGAGTTCCGGTTTCAGCAAGTCGGAAGGGTTGCAAATTGTGGTAGAGGGTAGCTCCATGTAGGGTGAAACGCCAGGAGCAGTCATAAAATTTCGGCAAACAGAAGGGAAATGAAAACCTGAGATGTTGTAAATTTAATGTTGTTTTGTGATGTGGAGGTAGGAGGTGAGGTGGGGTGAGGTGGTGGAGGCAGGAGGAGTAGAGGGAATAGGAAAGCAAGGAGTCACTTATGGCCGCGACGATTTTTTAGATTATGAAGATGAACTCTGTAGCTTTTTCCGACGGAGCAGTAGTTGCACGAGCAGAAACTCTTCATCACATTATATGTAGATACATATTTAGCCGTAGCAGTTTGTTACCCACTGGCGGCACCACCAGAATCAGTGCTCCCTTGCTCTCTTCCGTCAGCGATGGCAATCGCGTCGTCAACTTGAAGCGGACATCTAGCGGATTGGGCGCAGCCTCTCCTGGAATACCATTCCCTGGGTTGTATGGGTAGACTTCCACTTCCTTGACCACTTGGATATCGAATCCTATGACCCAAGCTTCCGCCATAGTGGCAACGTTGGAACCAGGCTCAAACAGCTGCAAAGTCCAGTAGTTCTTTTCCGGAGGGATGGCGAAGTTAGGGTTTTGGACCTGCCAAGTGAAGTCAAAATTGAATTAAATTAGTAATTTGTTTCCGTTTTGCTCATATTAGATAGTACTTCAAATATTAGATTTAGATTATGCGTCCGTCGCAAAATTGATGCCCCCAGCAAATATTAGACGGAAAAGTATCATTATAGTACCTTCAAAAAGAATGGATAGCTTCCCACTAGAAGTGGATCCTTCAGTGTGATGCGCACTTTGTTTCCTTCTCCTGTCGTTGCCGCCAGAGATGAGCAGTCCATCACTTCCGGAAACACCAGAGTTTCCGCGCTTGCGAACTTCTGAGCCCATCCAACATCGCCTAGGCATTTCGGCGAGAACAGGAAGCCAGCTGGTCCGCCAACCTGTAAGACGCTAGAGGCGCCCATCGGTTGTGTAACCCCCATAATGAAAGCAATGTGGTTGGAGTAGCTGTCTACTGTGCGGTCCTCACCAGTTTCTAGGAAGCCTGCGGGAGCGTGGCGAGTGTTAGACATCGGTTTGGCTAAGTCGTAGCCGTCGATTGTGACGCCTGAGGGTGGGTGTTTGTAGGAGAGTCCTCGATGGGGTGAACAAAACGAAGGATGTTGCGAAACATGGATGAAATGCGCGAGAACTAAGGTGTTGCTCGAGAAGTAAGGTGTTGCTCGAGAACTGAGGTGTTGCTCGAGAATTATATATAAGGTGTTACTGGCATCACAAGCATTAGCATAGTCAATCTCGATACAGCAATAAAGGTCCTCGCTTAATACCTTCAATCTTCTGTCCATCCAATCTTGTTTCCAAGATAAACTTGTTCGTTGTTGGATTCACGCTTCCTGCGTTCACGATCTCCACTTCGAAGATGTAGCGCGTGTTCATCTCCAACCCCTGCGTCCTGAAGTGCATGTGCACAATACGACGCTCCTCAGCTACCTGATGGTTGATAAAGCACTCCGCATCAGATGGAATCCTGCTGTAGCCGTCTGGAATCACTTGCGTTGGTGGGTTCCAACCCTCAGTGGGACAAATAAACGTAAACCCTGGAGGCGCTTCCACGAACAGCTCGGATTGAACCATCACGGTGCCTTGGTCGGACAGCACAGAGGAAACGGCAGTAGTAGTCTCGAATTCGATGGACGTAGGGTTGTTCCAAGCGAGTTCGACATTGTTGTAGGGTGTTACCTCAAAGCGGTTTTTGCAAATTTTGAAGATCATAAGATTATATTAAGAGAGACAATATTTGTGCTGTTCGTGATAGATAGGTCTCCAAAATAAGTCGTGGATTAGAGTACGATAGAGATGACTATAACAACACGTACACAATTGCAACAACAAGTACGCAGTAGGTCCCAACAATCTATCAACCAGTAGGTACCTTCGCATTGAACAGTGCTCTGGTCCTGAACCCCGGCGCTCCCAAGGACGCAATGTATTCGAAGTCGCCTGCTGTCGGATCACCCGTCTCCACATACGTGTCAATCCAATACCGATTCGGAATTGGCGTCAATTCTGGCACCAAGATATTGTGCGCAATGCCGTACTCAAATTCCGCAAACAGGTTCTGCGTCAATCGTAGGAGCAACATGTTGTCCAACGTCGTGTCTAACGCGCTACTAGATCCGATCACCGCTCCTTCGGTCGTCATGGAGTTGGTTCCCGTGATAGCGGATTCTGTGCTGAACCCGCTGTTCACCCGGCGCCACTTGATCCCGATCGGAGCCATGATTCGGATGTAACTGCTCGTTGAAATAGGCACCTTCGATACGAATCGCACGTCCAATTGCGTCGATCCAGCCAGTCGAGACTTCGGCAGCACCGTGAACGACGCAAATTCACTCGGATACAAGAAAAATCCAGGATAGTTGGTCGTATCGGAAACAATGCCATCTGGTCGAACCGTGTCGAAGCGCCAGACGTTGGGACTGTTGCTTGGAGCGTAAAAGAACAACCCATTCAAATAAGAGACTCGAGAAGCAAGTCGAAATGAGACTCGATTCCCGAGAAGGAAACAGAGGAAACAGAGGAACGAACATGACAGACCTTTGGAAATGAGAATGAAACGAAAGCCATAAGTTGACCAAGTTCGTCTCTGGATTGATCACGTCCAACATGAACTCGTAGAGGACATTGGCTTTGATCGCACTCTGACCTGGGAAACGGAGCTCCGCGTACACGTCGTCAGTGCCCTTGCAAACTGCATCTGCAGGAAGCGTGCCACGTTGAAAACCGGAACAACGCTTGCTGATCTTGAAGCCCTCAGGAGCAGTGATAGCGAAAGTAGCGTTCCCAGCAATAGTCACGTCGCGGCTGGGTCGGAATTTAAACGTAATACTATTCACGTTGCCGAGGACCTGAGTGCTTAATAAAAAAGTGCACGTTGATAGTACTTATGATAGTGTGCACGTTCTTGCAAAAACCTCAAATTGAAGATCTTGAAAGAGTTGTTCTTCCATGTCATTCTCTTTCTCATCGAACGTCTACTGATAAACTAAAAGAACTTGTCGTTGTACTTTTGATAGATAGTAGTACTTGAAGACTGTAAATAAACGGTTCGAAGCTTGCGACCATGGAGGTTGTAGTAAAAGTACCTGATTAAACGGTTCGAAGCTTGCGACCATGGTTCCTGAGATCGAGATCCCCTTGATTTCCCGCGTCGTCGCCAGTGGCTTGGATCTATCTAGCTGCCACACCTCTACCCTCCAAGCGGTGTTCACCATTGGCTCAGCAGGGTTGATCACGCCCAATTGTACTGCGTATTGCGCGTCCCGGAACATCCCCAGGTCACGCACGTTGCACAACCAGCGGTTCTGCTGCTGATCCGCGTCGGGCCATTCGGAGCAAGGCAACGCGTTAAAACCAGCTACACTAGAGGGCGCAGCAGTTCGGTCGACTTGGTAACCGGCAGCATTAGAGCTACCGCGTCGCATCCTCCTTGAGAGCATCCTTGAGCCCATCCTTGAGCCCTTGAAAAGGACGGCGCCAAGGATGATATTAAGATTAAGGATATACTGCTTCTGAAAGTGAAAAGGAGGCCAAGGATGATACTTAATGTTAATATTAAGGATATAGTGCTTCTGAAAAGGAGGCCAAGGATGATATTAAGATTAAGGGTAAATAATGCTTCAGGAGTAGCCTTAACAGGGGGCATGATCACGAGGTAACCACTGAGCAATGTCGCAGACATGGGGATAACGGTGTTACCAGGTTTGAATACGAGGACAACCTTGTTTTTCTCATTCACCGCAAGAGACGTGGTGGAAATGATCTCGCCACTGCCTTGGCCGTTGGTAGCAATAGGCTTGTCCAACTCCATCGTGAAGGGGGCTGGTGTGTGAGCATAGATGGAGGTGGAGGTCGTGGGGGTTGCTTTTACTTAGTCGTGTTAATATCTTTGAGTGAGTTCGTCTTCGTGTCGTTGGAAGTCAAAGTAAATACGTTGAGAATTAAAACATAAAACATCGACGTTGTTTCCTCTAGAGGAAGCATTAGGTTCAAATCAGTTTCAAGAATCCAACAATCCACCTCCCAAAAAAAAATCAATATTACCCCTCATGATCCCATTCATGTATTGGTAGCTGTAGCACAGCCAGAACATGTTCACTGCCTGTGTTGGATTATCCAATCGGAGAGAAATCTTGGTGTCAATCGCCACTGTACCCGCTGAGTCGTAGAAGAAGAAAATGCCGTTCGCCATCTTGTTGCCCTGATATCCTGGGTACTTAAACACTTTGCTTAGAGCTCAGAGCCTAATCCATCCTGAGATTAGAAGATGCATCCTGATAGATAGTGTACTCCTCTCTCCCACGTTAATATGGGACACACAGCTCCGAGATGCTTCTTCTCCACATGGATTATGAAAGCCTTAAGTTGCACTTGAGACCGACACCAGGGTTGTACTGGACACCGACGCACTCGGTTGCGCCGCCATTGTTGGAGAGAGCAGCGAGTTCCCAGATGTGAGACGGCTGGGACAGGAAGACGGCACGGCCTTGCGGAGCACGGAGAGTACCGTAGAAACGGAACCCGAAGGTGAAGAGAATACCTTGAGTTCCCTGTCTAGAATCGTACTCAGCACTGGGACGCCAGGAAAAACCGTTGACATACCCACGAATGTTTTGGTTAGGCCTGTTGCCTGCTGGTACACCGTCGGAACCCAGATTGACGAGGACCTGGATTATTTGGGAGAGCAGAGGGAGGAGGTAGCTGAAGCTGGTCTATGCCGAGTATGAAAGAGCCTGCTCTTCTAGGCAGCCGAGTCCTTTCCAGAACAAAAACAATCTCCAGAATAAAAAGAAGTCATTATTTGTTGTAATCACATACTACAACTAGTACATCATGTTGTGTCTTACTACTCTCTTACAACACATACACGTTGTAATTATAACAGCCATTCTTGATCATGTAGTACATCAGTCCATTCTAACCAAACGAATCTAGTGAATAGCACATCGGTCCACTCCCAAACTATGTTCAGGTTCATCTGTGCATTCTCTGTGTCCGCTGCGGGATGCTTGGCGTTGTGCTTGATAAACTGCAACGACTGCGGCTGCGTCGGCTGTTCGATCGTCGCTCCCTGGTGGAATTTCAACACCAAGTTGAAAGTGTTCTCCACTGCCAGGTATTGATGCGAAAAATGCAGAGAAGCAGGGACGACGAGGCCTCGGACAGCTGTGGCGATATCGGGGTTGGTGATGTTGACGCCAGCCATGGACCCTCTGCGTACGTCGATGCGTTCGTACTGACGGACATTGATTGCAGCTGGGTCGTTGGGCTCACCGATTCGCAGGATCTCGCTCTGTGTACCTGTGTTGATCACAAATCCACGACTATCAAGGGTATTCGCCACTGAATCCAAACCTGGGGCGTTCGCCACGTTGGCCCTCACGATCGTCTCCGGATTGAAGTGTCGTACGCTCAAGGTATAGGCCGTGTTCCGCTTCAGGCCCTGGGAGAGGAAAAACTTGGCTTCATTGGCCTGGAAACGGCAACTCGCAATAGCCAAGCCACCGGCAGCGTCGGAGGTTAGAATAGGTATAGGGCTATTGATTCGTGGCATGCTTTCAGGAAGAAATGATGCACGTAAAAAATAGAGCTATTGATTCTTTGTCTTTAGGAACAAATGATACAGATATACTAGAAGATTGTGATACTGTATTCACTGTGATTAGACTGAAGACAACTTGAACTGATCGTGCTTACTGAACCGAAGTCCTCAACATAACAGCAAGTTCTCGCACGTCTCGGAAATCTCAAATGTCGCCCACTGCAGCGAAATCACCACCACCTGTTGCAGAGTCGGATGCGCTGAGTAGTCGTCTAAGTCGCTGGTCGTGAAGAAGTAATTGATGATGCCTACTCCACAAGCTTTGTTCTGCTGTTCCATGATCCCAGTGCCGTCGCGCGGAAACTGCGCGTTGGCACGGGATATGATCGGTGGAGACTCAGTCCATTTCTTGCAGTATTCGTCACGAGAGTCATAGAAAGCCGCAATCGCTGCTGGCTGGACAACGAAGAAAGACCCTGTCACTGCGGTAGTGAGGTCCCGTTTGGAAGCAGAATCTGATTCTTGAAGCAGTCTTCTGCGTCGTTCGTCGCGCTCCGATTGAAGCCGTCGTTGATTTTCAGACGCTTCTCCTCGCGCAGAGTCTTCTAGGAGATTCGTTGCTTCGATGACATTCTCGCTTCCTTCTAGGAGACTACGCAGATGATTATCAGTTGTGTCAGACGATGGTGCACCACACTTCTTACTCGCTCTTTCAGCAGAGTTGTTCTCCAGTTCGCCATCAGCCTTCACCTCCACCAGTCGTCTACGCTGCCGTCGCTCCTTATGACTGTGTCTCAACCTGTTCACCACGTCCACTACCTTCTGTCCTGCCCGCTGATCGCGGTAAGCGCGTCTCAAATCCCGTAAGACCTCGAACTTGTGTTCTTCCCGCGCAGCCTCCGCATTGGCCAGTTCGTCCGCGGTGGCAGCGGTGAGCGGCATATCCCCAGCTAGGAGGGATTGAGCCTGCGACATCTGCAACTGTTGGTACCCTGGTGCTCCGGAGATCCTATGAAGGTGGAGAAGAGTTGTAGATCTTCATGCGATGAGGAACAAGGTTCTTGACGAGGGAGAACAAGCTATACAAGAAGTACATATTTGTCTCTACTCATCTTCAGGTGATATTATGATGTCATACAAATGTTACGAAAAACTGCATCATTGATTCAGAGTGTGTTAGTTAATGTAGGTAAAGGTACTCCACTGTTCAGGTGTGTTAATGTAGGTACTCCATTGTTCAGGTGTGTTAATGTAGGTACTCCACTGTTCAGATGGTCTAAGCGGACTCCATTTATCAGGAGGTCATCAAGAAGACATAATTCGCCAATTCCCCTGCATTCTCCGTCCACGTGAGCTTATTCTGTCCCTGCGCTCCCACAAGGTCATAGGGACCCAAAGGGTTCAGCAGCCCACGAACCACATCTTCCTCCTCCAGCTCCTGAGCGATGTCTTCGAGTTCTACTAGCATATTCTCCATATTTTCTTTCTCTCGACCATGCAAAAATTCCAAGTCCTCCTCCACCGCATGCAACCCGCCTGCACGCAATGCTGTGGCTGCTCTCAAGCGGCGAGCACGACTGCGACCAGGGAGGTGGCGAGGATCGCCCAGGATGGAGGAAGTGCCAGCACTAGAATTAAAGCGCAGAAGAAGGGGTCGCCTCTTCGATCTCAGTGACTCCAATCTAAATGGTGACCATTGAAAGTTGAGCCATAATAGAAGATGTGGCAGCTGCAGAGTCGCAATCAGAAGACGAGGATGTTGACATTAAGGTCCGTGCTCCTGTCTTAATTTGTGCTGAAGGAGCTGGAGCATTCGGCGATAAAAAAGGAGTGTAATGCATGGCTTCGTATTCGTCCTTCAGCGACGGATCGGTCTCTTTGACGTACCTGGATGAAGCTGATTTGAGAGTCAACAGTGCATCTTCAACTACAACGAAAAGAGATTACTACGTACTTAGACATTGTTCATTCGAACTACGTCTACGCTGCATAAAACCTTATCAAAAGACCACATGAGTGAAGGAGACAAGATACTTTGGAGAGATAGAATCAACGAAGGATACTGGTACTCGTGTTTTAATTCAATAGCCCACGAGAGAGGATGCCAATTCCAAAAACAAAAATCAGCAGCGTGAGTCTTAAGCCAAACGAAAATGAGTGAAAGAGACAAAAATCTCAAAGGACAGGTACTTCTCAATCGCCTTTGCCTTCTTCGCCACGTTCTTCTTCGCTTCAGCTCGTTCCTGGACTAGATGCCGTTTCATCAATACCGGATGTAACGGATCGATATCTTCGTGCGCATCAGAAGGCACGACTACAGTTGCCTTGCCAAGTACAGCAGGTTGTTTAGTCCCCTTCGCGAAAGCCAAGGTCCTGGCTAGCTCCTCATAGTCAGTTGATGGTTGGATTATTTCCCTTGTTTTTGGGGTCAGCGCTTTTGGATAAAAAGGGTTGCCCGCATGCATCAGATTGCGCTTCTGCGCTGCTATTGCCCTCCGATGCAGAGACCCCGGTTGCCACTGTGAACTACCTTCATAAAACTCCAATGGCTTGGAGACTGCTTCCTCTCCCCAGGAGAGTTTGGTTTTATCATCATCAACACTAGAAGAAGATGAAGTTACTACTTGAAGTTGTTCTTTATCTACTTTTGTATTACTAGAAGTAGAAGTAGTCCTTTTTTCCCGTTTCTCACTGAGCTTTTCTACAAAGCGCAGTCTTCTTAGTCGTTTTTCCTCTACTTCTCGAAACCTAGCTGCATCCGCCAGTAAGTCCTCTGGCTGTCTCGGTGCTCTTCCTTGTGGTACTAGTTGACTAATGAAAACCTTGTCCTTCGCCCCCAACTGCCTTCCACTTATACTCCTTCCAGACTCCTCACTTCCCCCAATAGATTCCTCCTCCTTCTCATCTTCCACACTACTATCCTCGTCTCCTCTAATCATTCTCCTTCCACTTCCACTATTTCCTTCCGCTGCAGCAGCTGCTTTTCTAGCGTCATCCTCCTCAAATGAGATGATCTCACTGGCACGGTCGCCTTTTAATTCTTTCTCCCTATCTTTCATATCCTCTAACCATCTAGCCATTTTCTCATCCACGCCAAAAGCCGGAAGAGCTGACAGCGTCGTCCATCCTAGGAGGCCGAAGAGAGACATGCGAAGGCGAGCGGTAGTTGTAGTTGATTTTCCCTTCCTCCGACTACTATGCTGAATAAATGAGGTAGAGCTGCTACTTGGTGTCGGATGGCCAAGAAGCCCAGAGTCGTCCCGTATCTTCGATTTATCCACACTTCTAGCGCTAGCAGTGCGACTACGTGAGGACTCTCTACAACTACTAGTCGACACAGAGTGCGTTGAAGAAGGTAGTATTCTTGATTCGCCGTAGTTTGTATCTTGTTCATGTACTTCTTCTGTTCTTCTATTCGCAGTTGCGGTACCACTACATTTTTCTTCTATTTGATGATTTGAAGAGGTGGAACGCATCACCTTGCTTCTGTAGCGCGCTCTCCGCCCACTCGACGAGAGCCCGCGCCTTCTCCTGCGTTTGAAGTCTACTGCTCTTATGCATCTCCTCGAAGACAGCGTACTACTTCCTCTTAGCTTAATATTTCGCCTTTTAGTACTAGAAGACGACTGCTCTGCTGTCATGAACATGAAGCTTCCGTGTCTTGCCGCTGTGCTGTCATTCCTGCAACCACTCGCACTCCTAACTCGAATACGTATATGTCTGTCCCTACCGCTCCGCTGACTACTACATGACGGAGTGGGACCGCGATCCAACTGGACGCCGGAGGCCTCTTCGGCCCGGCGCTTTATCATCTTTATTCAGTTTCCTTCATGGATAGAAAAAAAGATTTTGGTTTACAAGAACTGAAGAACTTATCTGTATATTTGTTTTTGTGGTACTACTGTGAACATGCATATCAAGGGTGATGATAGATTGAATTCAGATCGATGAATGCAAAATTTTTGGTATGAATTCTACAAATTCAGTTTTGCGCTTTTTCTACTTATTTGAGTGTGCTGTTGCCTCTGGTTTAGTTTGATTCCTTTTTTGCATAATATATAAATATTTATAAGATGCGTTTTTGTGCGATACCAAGTCTACATGTCAACACCCTCATTACGACCTCTCAGCCCTTTTTTGTCTCTCTCCATCTGTTCCATGCCAACTTTTAGTTCCCTTCTCTCAGGAAAAGAGTCTCTCTGAGGCTAGGCCTCTCGTCTCAGCAATGCAGTGCATGGACGCCAGTTCTCTCACAGGACTCTCAGTGTCGCGCTAATGGAAAGACAACGATAAAAAACGTTCACTTTTTTTTCACAAGGTCGAACACCTTCCTGCTGAAGCAACGAGTTATTAGTCGCCAACGGCTTTTTTTTATAAATATGCAGTCACGTAGTATTCCCATATTCATTTTCAGTTCAAGACTTTATGCAAACCTCTACTAACTCAGTGTGTTGTAGCTGTATTATCCCTTTGTTGCACAAACTAAGCACTTCATTTTTTAATACTAGGCACCCTTCTATCCTGTCCAAAATATTCGTGATGATATCCATTATCGTGCTCATGATTTTACAGAAGAAATTAATATATAGGAATATCTGTTCTTCGAAGAATGATTGATTGATCCATCTTTTATCTTCAAGTAAAATAAGTAAGTATTCATTTCGGTTTCCCATGATAAAAATACGTGGTTCATTTTTTCCTCTATCCCACTTGCACTATGTTTTATCCTATTAATTCGCGATATTCGAGTTTTCTGATAATTCTACCAACCTGTTCAAAAAACTAAATTTAAAGAAATTCTTCTAGTCATTAATTATCACACGAAGACCACTACTCTCCATGAACTACTGTGGTCCGTATCTATTGCTGTGCCGCTCCCTTCACAGCAGTCTTAGTACCCAGCATATAGCAGTTACAACTAGTACCCAGTTGTATGCAGAACTTAATATCCCGTATTCTCCAATCTTTCAATCTCCTTGAACCAATGAAGCTCTAACTTCGACAGTCGGTGCAGACACCTGCTCCGTTCACTGTCAGTCGCGTCCCTGAAGAGCCGATCTCTACGCTGCATCAAGCCCATTTGCTGTGCCTCTAGTTTGAGTAGGCGCGTGTCCATGCTCTTGGCTCTTGGTTCGAGGATAGAGATTTTCTTGGCCAACTCATGGAGACCGCAAACGCCTCCATCCATTTCGGTGTAACCTGAGTAGTGGACGAAAGATTGATCTTGATGTACAGGAGAGATTTTCCTATAAGATTGCTTCAATTAGGAGTGACAGTTGAAAGAAAAATCGCTCATACTACATGTTGTTGTGTGAAAAGATACGTATCATGCTATAACAACAAATTACGACTAGCAAAAAAAAAATACGTAGTAAAAAAATGTAGGAAAGGACGAAAAGTAGATTGCAGTACGTGTAGAAAGAAACGCCGAAACACTTCGCTTTTTTAGCTCCCGCATCTCGTCAATTCTCACTTGTCTGGCGTCGACCCACTCCCCCAAAGGCGAGAGCCTCACTTGTCCGAACAAGAAAGCCGACATTGGCGGCTCATTCAAAGGGCTTTTAGCGCCGTAGGACCTGGAGAACGACCTGGCTCGTGCTGATCTGGAGGATGTGTTGCTTGGGGAAAACGTTGCTGCAGCAGAAGGAAAAAGACTACGTCCTCGAGCATTGACTCTGCCCTTTTTCGTACCATTCTTCCTTTTTCCAGTGGATTTTCTACCAGTCGACTTTCTATTTGGACTCTGGCTCTTACTATTTGTATCTTTCTCTCCATCTACATCTTCCTGTTCATCTTGTTCAACCTCATCAAGACCTGCATCTGGAGCATCTTGAGAAGTCGTTGATCTACGATTTCTTGGATCTTCTTCTTCCGTATCCTCATTTTTTGCTTCACTCATCTTCTTCACAGTCGCCGCAGCACCATCCATGATACCTCCCATAGAAGCCATGCTGGCACTTTCGGGTACGAAGAAAAAACTCGAGGAGCCGTTTGACCCATTGTCTGGCTCCACGAAACGGATCGTGCGAGGAACGGAAGAAGATCGAGTAGCGTCGACTGTGCAAAGGGTGGACACGACACGACGTGGCGGCGCAAAGCGATAGGATGAGATGTTGAAATCTACTTTAGAAGTACTAGTAGTACTTGTACCCAAGTTTGAAGATGACTCTTCATCTTCGAATTCAGTAGCACTAGCGTCAGAATCAAAAGCGCGTGCCGATTGTTCTGGATAATGTAACTGAGCAGCGTTTGCTGCACTAGCACTACTAGAACTCGTTTTGTTCTTCAGAGCACTAGTTGTAGTAGATTTACGGCTTTTACGACCCTTTACCTTGCTTTTCAACTGAGCTGGTGCAGGCGATCCATGCTCTCCTTCTAGGATCGGTTGCAACTCCTTGCTGAGGCCCAAAGCGGAAGTTCTATCCTTGGTTTTAGAAGATCGTACTTTTGTTCCAGTACCAGATGAAAGACGTTTCTTCATTTTTGTGCCTCCGGAGACTCCTTTTGCACCAGCCTGTTTACCAGCACCAGCCAACCCATGGTTGCTCCCGCGACCTACAGTAACAGTGTAGATGCTTTTTTTGTTCAACTTCTTTTTAGGTGTGTCTGTTACTGTTTTAGAAGAAGCGGCCGGAGAGGAGGCTCCTCCTCCTGCCGTTGATGCCTGTTGCAGTTGTTCTCGTCCAGTTTTTTCTTCATCCATCAAAAAGAGTTTTCCCTGCTCCAACAAAGGAGTGCTTCCCACGCCAGCACTATCCATCCCAGTTGGCGCTGTGTGGCCTCCTCCTGCACTCAACAGGGGATCGTGTTTCACAATGTACTGCTCCACATCCTGTTCATGAGCCAAGAAAGCGTTGTGCTCGTCTTTTCCCAGCGTCAGTTCGATCGCTTCCTCACGCGTGTTTTCTGCGTGGTCCAGCAACTCTTTCTCCAACATGGCACGTTCGTGTTCTTGCACTTTTTCTTGGTCCTGCTTGTATTTCATCATCTTGGCAACCTGCGCTGGGTCGGTGCTTTCAAATTTGAGCTGCTCGAGCTTGTGGTGGATCTTCAATTTTCGTCTCAGCAATCGTTCTCGTTGAGAGAGATAGCCGTTGGCACTTTTGAGCACCGTGTCTTTCAACGCAGCTCGTTCTTTGCGAACCACTGCGGCTAAGGCAGCAGGCAAGTGATGCAACAATGCGCTGTTTTCGGAACGTAGCTTGTCCTCGTGTTGACGCTGATGTTGGAAAAGCAAGTCCATCTCAGTGATTGCATGGACCATCTGCGCACGTTTAGCCAAAGCCGGTTTAGCATGAAGATGTCGTAAATGCTGCGACACACGAGTAAAAGTAGCGGGTGTAGAAGCACGAACCGTTGCTGCAATGCCAGCCTTTCGCGGCTTATCCTGGTCTCCATCAGCGGCGCCAGCATCATTTACATTCTTTAGAGTTGCACCATCTGTTTCGTTATCGCCATTTTCATTCTTTTCAGTCTCCCTGTCGTCCTTGTGTCTCGCCGATGCAGGAGAGTCACCGCATCGACTATCCTGGTCAAAACACACTGCGTCGATCGCTCTGCGTTGGAACGAATTCCGATACGTTGCCGCGTTGAAGGCGTTTTTGAAGGACACCTTAGAAGTGAGGCCAGGAGAGACAATTTCCGAAGCGCGTCTTCCAGGTTTGAAGTCTAGACCACGAGAGAGGGAATTTTTCAACTGTAGTTCCGATGCGGTGGACATTTTCCTCGATGCATGGTCACCATTAGCAATAGCATCTGGAGAAGCACCTGCAGAGCCAGCTCTCTTGCTTGGTCCGCGAGAGGATAGAGAATTTTTGGGATCGACATTGCTAGGATCGCCCTCACCCTCAGCACCATTGCCATCAACATCATTGCCATCAACATCTTCTTGGTTAATCTCCGCTTCGATGAACTCATCCCAGTTCGGACCACTTTCTTTAGAACCTCCAGCACTGATTCCGCTCTCTTCTCCAGCGTTGTCAGAATCGTTGGATCGACCCGAGCCTTCGCCACTTGCTAGTGTATTGTTCTCAGCAATGTTGGCTTTCGCTTCTTCTTCACCTTTTTCTTGTTCTTCAGCTTTTTCTTTAGGAGGTACTGCAGGCAAGCCGCCAGACAACCGGTCCATTGCTTTTTTCTGGTCTGCGGCTGAAATAGCAGGCTTAACATTTGCTCCATCTGTATCGCCAGGTTCTCCAGGTCCTCCAGTTCTCCCAGGAGGCGATCGTTTCCTCGCAGGTGGAACAAACAATCTGTCAGTGACCTCTTGAATCTTCGCCTCCCGTTCTTCTGGGGATAAGCCAGCATACTTGGCTCCAACAGGACCACTATTTTCAAGGGCATTTTGAAACTCAGCCTCATGGCCACGGGGAGAAAAAGGTGCATAGTCTTGAGACCCAGGCGGCATCACTTCAGATTCCGGACGAGGCGTCTTAGGATCCACAGTTGTACCTTGAGGAACAGGCGAAATTGCAAGCTTTCCAACCTTTGAGACTGGAACCTTGACGCTGGTATTCCACGGAGGCAAAAGTAAAGTAGGAGGAGACGCGCTTCTCTTTCGTGCAGACGACTGTCGTCCTCGACCAGAAGATAGTGACTGTCCACCCTCAAGCACGGCAGCCGAATTGTCTGGAGTAGCTGCTGTTACACCGCCATCCGGAGTAGCAGCAGATTCGAAGATCCTAGGAGACTGTGCATTAGCTGCAGACTCAAGGATCTTAAGAGACTGCTGTTCCACGTCCTTGGATGCCGTGTCTGTAGGGGTCGTCAGTGTAGAAGGAGCGACCGCACGGACCGCACCATTTGCGTTTGCAAGACTAGTTCTAGAACTTGATGCACGACCCCTTGCTTGCGCTTCAGACGCCCTTGATGTAGGAGTTGGTTGTGTTGTATTCGTAGTCGTATTTGTACTCGTACGCCCTTTCTTTGGTACAACAGAAGGCGCATCCTCTGACGCTCTCCTGGCAGCAAGAGACTGCTCCGCCGTGCTCGTCCTGGCAGCAGGAGACTGCTCCGCCGTGCTCGTCCTGGCAGCAGGAGACTGCTCAGTCATGGTCGTACTACTTACACGAACTTTAGGAATTGCTCCTCCTGATGAACCTGTAGAAGAACGCACTCCTGAATCTGTAGCTAGACTTGGAGTTGGACTCGCCGCCGGCTCGAAAATAGGCGGCTGCAATGGAGCACGACCTCCAGGAGAGGCAGTTGCAGCAGATGGAGCACGACCTCCAGGAGAGGCCGTTGCAGCACCAGTAGGCGAACGAGGGCCACCAGTGGCACTCGGGGAGCGACCCCCACTGGTAAGCGCAGACAGGTCACTACGAGGAGTTGCAGATAGATCACTACGCGGCGTCGCACCAAGGATCCTACTGCTGAATTGCTGGCTGTAATGGCTGTGACTCATTTTTCGAGAATTATCTAAAGAACCATAGCAGTTAGCAACAAGTTGATTATCTAATTCTGATTATCACGCTTAAAATTTCGATTGATCACTTCATTTACTTCATACCTAAATACTTTTGCGTGTAGGTACATAACGAATAATGATAGAAAATGTTGGAGGGGATGAAGCAAGGTGATTGTGATATCTATGTTACATAAATAAAACGAGAGAGGGAGAAAAAGAAAAAAAAGTCTTTCAAACTGGGTCGAGAATGCGATAGTGACGAGGACTAATGGTTGGTAAAAAACCTTGACCTTCTTTATTCCTATTCCAACTATCGCGTAATATGATTTGAGGCAGACAAGCAACAGACATTTTTTATTTACAACGGTCACTCATCTCCACAGATCATGCTCAATTCACACCGTTTTTCAGCCTCGGTCACCTCTCACACTCACGTATCAGTGTTCATCTCAGACAGATTTCTCCTGAGGCACCAGTCTCAGACAGATTTTTAGCTTTGGGTTGTCATGCGATTGCTTCGTGTCGTAGTCCCACCTTGACTACCTAAGCTTTGGTATACTAACTAGAAATATGCTCACCGGCGCCTAGCAGGAACGCTCATGTCAGACCGCTCTTTCAATATAAGCGGATAATAACAGAAAATCTGACTCAGACCGTATGGACTCAGGACTTTGTTTTGTTGCGGCCAGGAGAGCGCCAAGCTTAGAATAGCCTTCAGGTAGCCCAATGGCTACGGTTCTGGACGACGTCCTTCGCCGTCTTCCGCGATGTCGCGCCTGTCCTGTGACTAGTGCTAATTATCTGCACAAGCACAGCGTAAAAATGAGAAAGCGAAATACTTAGTTGGCTTTTGTTGTTGTTGTTCTTCTATGAAGATCCCTCGGGCTTGGCGCCCTTCATCCGACTACGACTAGGCTCACAACTCAGTCACGGCCCTCTTATAATATAGGCTATAATATACTTTCATCATCTGAGTAGCCATTTACTGCACACGCTAAACAAAGAGCTGAAGACTTTGACCTTGATGATCTTCATGCTGATGAAGATGATGCTCATGGTGATGATCTTGGCGCTGCTGTCGTGGTGGTCTTCTTGCTCCTGTTGTTTCCTTGATCATGATGTTCCTGAGCCTTTCCGTTGTTTTTTTTTTGCGTTAGTTGAGTTAGGACTATATGCCACCGCCCAATCACACAATTAAATACCTCGCTCAACTAATGTCATACAAGTTACATACTGGGGGCGCATAAGACCGCACATTCGGCCACAAGTCTACAACTATCGGAAGAGCCGTACACTCGACCCTTGTAGAAATGGCGTAGTGAGTCTTCTATCATAAAAGATGCCAAGGGACTAGATTTTTGACTGATTAAGGACAAAGCATGGTCTTGCCAATAGGATGATACATAGCCAAGACCAAAGGCACGAACGATTTTATTATATTGTAGCTCAATGGCTTGTAGTTAGCGGCTCGTAGTATTGCGTGATGAGTGTGTTATGTGCATGTGCAGTTTGCGTATTCAACAAGAAAAGTTTGCTTTTATCTTCCTCTGTTCTTCTTGTGTGGTCGCACGCCTTCGCACACCATATTTTCTCTGTAGAAGATAGTTCATAAAGTAGATCTGTACAGTTTTATAGTCGTTTGTAGGTTACAGCTTTCTCATTCATCTGGGGCGTCCCGAGGTGATGACGATGATGATGATGATGATGATGATGATGACGATGATGAAGATGATGATGTGTAACAAGACATGGACAACTTGTCCAGAAAATCTTCCTCAAATATATTTTTTCCAGCTTTGCGAAATTCTTCCACTGCCTCCGGCTGCTCCTTCATGCACTCGATTAGGCGTTCCACAACGGCGCGTGACTGATGTTTTTGCGCAAGTTTGAGGTAGTCAACCGCGCTGAAGAGACTCAGCTCTCCCGGTCGTTCACACCACGTCAGTCTTTCCAAACAGAAGAATTCCTTCGGCTCTCCAAGAAATTGCCACAGTTTAAGTAGGTGCCCCCGACGCTTTGGTTCGAGAAGTTCCATGCAGACTTCTTCTGACCGAAAGCGGAGAGCGCCGCTGACGACACTGTTATCTCTGAAACACGGCAAAGAAATATTCCACTGCGCCTCAGAGAAGGGGAGGTCCGCTTTTAGAATTTCGAGCATCACAGCGTCTGGCACCTTATCACAGAAGTCGAAAAAGAGCCAATCGGCAAAGAAACTGTTATTAGAAATTGCTGGGGAAGATGGATCCATTAGGGGAAGAGGCCTTAAGCCGGGTCCCAGGATATGCTGGGGCAAATGGATCCATTAGGGAAATTAGACGCCTTAATGTTACTAAAGTCAAAAAGCGGATGCCGGAGGAGGCATCGTACTACCACAACGTGTTCGTCTTGTTCCCGGAGCTTCAGATTCTGATTGCAATGAAGCAAGATTTGGACGCAAGGGCGTGCATTAACAGCCTCTTCGGGAAGCGGAGGCGGCAAGGTTGCGACAAAACGGCTTCCATGAAGAGCTTCTTCTTGTGGAACGTCCTCAGAAGCCACTTGCAAGAGCTCGATGATAATGCTTCCCGGAGCGTAGATCGTTAGAAGGAGAACTCATTAAAAAAAAGATATTGGAACTTCAGCTACTTTGTTTGTATTGATGCGCCCCGGGCAATGCGTACGATCTCGCCGGACTTCTTTACGCTTCGTGTGTTGTGTGCTATTGTCGCCGCTGCGACTATGGTGTGTCTAGCCCTGCTGGTCGCGCGTTGCCTCTTCGTCGCCGCCCGCTAGGGCGTGTCGGGCTGTGCGGGTGGCGGCGTATGTGGGTAGCGGCTGACGCGGGTAGCGGTGTAGCGCGGTCGGGGTGCCTGGTGGCCGTTGCTTTCTCGGTCACTTTCATTCAGCCCGAGACTTTCGGGCTGGGTTTGCTTGTCGTTCATAGTTACGTGCTTCGTTCGTCGTCGTTCGTGCTTCCTAACTGTCTCCGTTCTCTTTGTCGTCGCGTGTTTACTTGTCTCCTCCGTGTTCTGTCTTCGCCTCCGCCTGGCTCGGCCCCGCACCATTGTAGCAGGCAGCGAGGGATTTGCCACAGCGGCCGCTGCTCCTCTACCCCTGTTTCATCACTCGAGGCGCGGCGGCTGCGCTCGCAAGAACGCACCGCCGACGCGGGTCGAATTTGAAGTGCTTCTTCTTGTACGTATGAATACTCTAAGAAAAAAATGTTTGAATTACATCACAAGTCAAGAAAATGTTGTTTAACTTAGCCCATTTACCTACGTCTGAGATGAACCCTACACCGTAACGCAAATATAAATTCGCACAGCTTGTTGGTGCGATTTTCGTCCTTTCTGAGAGACGGAGAGGACGCTCCGACAGCGCCGTCAGGATCACCGAAACCTCCATCAGTGGTGTCCCGAGGAGGGTCAGCAGTGTCCTTCGTTTTCCGCGTCCACGCAAAATCAGGTCGGTTGAACAAGAGTGCACGCCAGACATCAGTGGAGAAGAATTCAAAGTGCCTCATCCACACTCTTGAATCCGTCCATTCTGAAGGATTCTCTAGCTGTGGGATTCGTTCGTTCCGTTCCCACCCATGCACCGATCGTTTTTGAGTCGCTTCAGCGGACCGGGACGATGCCTCCCCGTTTTTGAACAGAAAGCTAACACTCGAGAGACGTTTCTTACTCGGGAGACCTGTCTTCAAGACCTGCGCGACCTCTTCTACTGTAAGCACAGAAGCAACGTCGCGCGCAAACTCTCGACATTCTGCTTCCTCTTCCGGTGTCACCGTCTTCCACTGAGCTACAGCCTGAAGCCACGATTAGTGGTCTACTACTAGTGCTAGTCTTTCCTTGCCCTAAGTGAGGAGGAGGCCGCTGTTGTAAGCGTAAAAATAATCGAAAGGATAGAATCACATCAAATACTCTTCCTTCATGATCTTCACCCTGAGTGAGTCCGCGTGTGAGGACAACATTGTAAAAATCGAGTGAGAAGTAACTAAATGGTTACCGTTACGGTGATCCATCTTCTGAAAAATAGTCGTGTTCTCTCAGGTGATTTCAGCTTGATGAAGTTCTTCTCTAGTCAAAAAAGTGTGTCAGGAGCACTTCTTCCGATGATGCAATGAACTAGATGATGTTGGCCTTAAATACGCTCTTCCCCGTTCGAATCAAAAAGCTCATCAAGCGTTTTCAATCCCATTGCTTTCGTGAAGTATCCGGGATGTCGCTCTTCGCACCCGGGATGTATCTCTCGAGCAGCGTTTATAAATCCATAAACTCGAAAAGCCAGCGACCAAAGGATTAGCGCTCCTCTACGTATAGTTCATTTCTCTGCGTGCTGCATCCTTGAAAAATATGCGGGACGAGCATTTACCTGTACTTTCATACTTTTCATTTTCAAGGATGCCGCCAAAAACGAAATAGTGAGAGCCCTAAGAGAAACCAGACCATGGGACCCACGTCTCTGTCGTCAGGTTCATAATCGTCCCTAGGCGAAGGCGGTGTCGCACTTATCAGTCCCCACGCACTGTCCTTGCTTGCTTCGAGCTCAAGGCGTTTCCGATCGAGTCGATCGCGAATAAAGAATGTCAGAACTTTATGTGTATGGTCACCCATCTCTTCATCTACATCATTGCTGTTCATGCTTATGGCACTGTATTCAAGTCGAAGCGATGAAGCCCTGTCTCTTTGCACGGAGAAGAAAATTAGAGCTCAAAACATTTTTTCATTTCTTTGCAAAACATTTCACTTCGGTATTCCAAGAGGGAAACCGAAGAAAAATGACGGTCGGAAATGAACTGGAAGCATCAAGCCTTAACAGAAGCCGCTGTGTTTCATTTTCATCAATCTCGACATCTTCATCTACAGACTTCCGTGCATGCTCAACATCGCGCATTTCTTCATCTGCGCTGTTGGCATCGTCTTCTTCTACAGCATAGAGAGCGATGTGACGCCATGAAGGCCGCGGGCTTCCGTTCTGGTGATGTAGACCTGTGCTTTCACCAGCAGTTGATGTTTCTTGTGTCGTCCTGGTCCTATGAGCTCGTATGAGAGCACGTTTTAAAGTTTCAACCGGAATCACTACCGTTCTTACGGTCTGAGAAGTTTTGCTCTTTCTCTGCGCATCAAGAACCTCATGTGCTGGAAGTTGGACCCTATATATGTCGCCACTAAGCATGTTGGGTATCTCAATCTCAAGAAAGGAGGTTCGTCCCTGATCCTCTTCCCCGTCGGTACCAACCATACAACTGCTATTAACGAATGAAATAGTAGAACCTGGACTCCGTGTTGTACTCCCTGGAAGCAACATATCGCCAATCCTGTTTGCTGAGGTCAATTCATGTCCGTCAACCGTGCTGCAAGACATGGCACTAGCCTCGCCCTCAGCTGCGCGTACCCTCTTGGAACAAAAATTAGAGGTAGGCTTTTGGTGTTCGCGTGCCCCGTTTGTTCTGCCTCTCTCCCTTAAGAGCGGCAAAACAAGCGGTAACTACGTCAACGCCTCTAACCTACCCTTAATAAAAGGATCTCTCGCACCAGCAGCCTGATCGTCTACGTCCCTGCTGCCTCCGCAACAGGCAGACCTACCTGCTTCTTTCGAACTTGCAGATTGACTTACGCCCATGATTTGGATAAATGAAGCAGAAAGGGAGGTATACCAAGTCGGACTTTTCAAAGTCTAAATTTCTAGAAGGAGTGGAACGGTAAAGAAGACCACTAACACCAGAGTCTATTGCCGCTACAGCTTACGCATCCACTTTAGATACTGCAGACCACGTTGATGATTGCATATATGTTCCAGGGCGCGGGGAAAACAAAGTCACATAAACAATCACCAGCAATGGAACCATAAAATTGAGGGAGGGTTTATGGTAGTACTTGACATCATTCGCTATGCTGCAAAGTTTATTGAATGTATTTCACCATGATCCAGTGACCACCGTGATAATTCCTCGCTACACCCATCATTCTCAGACAGAATGTTAATCATCTCGTATACCCTCACACAGATTCAGCGCGGAAAACCAAGGATGTGCTTGTGCACTTCTCCGACTTTTTTTTTATGACAGACAACTTTGACTGTGCATGATACGAAACATCATCAATTGTCATGAAGAATTGCAGACAGAGACGCTCGGCTTCGGAGAAAAGGTGCGTACACCAGGACCAGCGGACCTTCCGTATCTTCATATTAGATGATAGTAGTGATCATCCATATTCTATGTTACATGAAGCAAAGTTGACGCAAATCTAGTCTGGTACAAAGCTCATTTTGCTCATACTCTACTTCCTCTATTGGAATGCGGTCGTCGATATTCAGTCGCCTTTCTCTTCAAATGCACACATGCTCTTGTCCAGAAAATCTTCCTCAAATATATTTTTTCCAGCTTTGCGAAATTCTTCCACTGCTTGTGGCTGCTCCTTCATGCACTCGAGTAGCCGCTCCACGACGGCTCGTGACTGATGTTTTTGCGCAAGGTCGAGGTAGGTAGGTGCCGCGACAGCGAGGGGACTCAGCTCTCCCATGTCATGACGAAACTTCCACAATTTAAGCAGGCTCCTTCTTCCAAGAAGTTCCATGCAGACTGTCTCCGATCGTTTGCGAAGGGCGTAGGTCACGACATTCTCATTTTTCTCGACGTCCGACCTCTTCATTAGCGGTCGTCTTTTTTTCAAAAATTTCGATCTGTTTTTATCTAAGAGACGGCTTGTTAGATGTCTAATCAAATGTAGTACTCGGCAGGTACGTTGATCTCGCCGAGTAAAAGGGAAGGATACAATGCAAAACTTTTGTCACTGAGTGACAGGGTAACAATGAGAAATGTACTGAAGTGAAACCCTACTATCAAAAGTGAATATACAAACAAAGTTTTTTCATCGCGCTCGGCTCCATTCTTCAGGCTAAGCGATTCTTCTTCGTGTTGATGCTCTCACTATCACAGTAGGACGAGGCAGTTCTTCCTGATGCGTTGTTACAATTGATCATTAGAAGATCAAATAGTTCTCTTCATCTTCATCATGCATAATGCTGACTGCGATCATTAAGTACTTATCTTATAGTCTGGGTGGCAGCATAAAAACACGCTGCGGTTGAGGTGCGACGAAGATAGAGGGGCACCCCGGAGAATTTCGAGCAGGACAGCGTCTGATAGTTCTCGAATCCAAGTCGCGAAAAGCTGTGGCAGAGAGGAAAAGAGATTACCATTGAAGTTCGGGTGTCGAAGAAGACATCTCATTACAACATTAGAGGTCGGAACTTACTCCTCAGGAGTAACTCATCTGATAATGGAAAAGGCGACTCCCGTGATGATCCGAGCGCAACCCTCCCCTTCCTTTCCCTTGTTATTCCCCTGTTCCCTCACGGGGGGGTCCTCTTTGATGTCAGTGATCCCCATGATTTAAGTGACGACCAGTGAAGTCTGAACCTTAACAACAGCGCCATCGCCGCCTCGAGAGTTACGATTTCTCGAAAACAAATAATGGAAAGACCGCTTTGCATTTATTGCCACTTCTGGGATCACGGGCGGCAGGATCATGTCCCCAGCAGGACCGTCTGCGGCGCTCTGCTCGCTTTCTACATCCTCCGGTGAGCCCACTCGCAGAAGCTGGATGATAATGCTGGCAGGAGCATGGACCATTAGAAAGTGAAAGAACTTATTTGAACTTCTATCTTGTTCGGAGAAAAAAGTATCAAGTACATGCATCAGGCCAAATAAAAAAATGTCAGAAAGGAAAGTGAGCACACAGTCAGCTGTAAATATAACTCAACCTCATCTATGAATTCTTTATGAGGCTTTCTTTTTTTTGAAATTCCCCAAGGATCCATTGTATCTGCTTACATCTGAGTAAAAAAATGTTGTTGCGACGTTTGAGTTCAAGATGTCATGTTAATGCTCCTGTTGCAATCTTACATGGTTGCCCAAGGAGCGATATCACACAATTACATAGACGTTCTTATATAACAATTGAGATGAAGAGCCCTAACTCAAATATGAAATTGCACAAGACATTCCCGCGATATAGGTCCTTTGTTTCTCGTCCGGGCCACAACTCGCGATTATTCAAAAAGCCTCCAAAAATTCCTCCGCCGTCTCCTATGAACGCAGGCGGCTTCGTGGACTCCGCTGTCCACGAAAAATCGGGCCGGTTGCAGGGGAGCGCACGCCAGACATCAGTCGAGAAGAATTTACGACAGTACCGCAACGGTGCAAGCTTCGGAAAGTCGCAACATCCGGGTCCGATCCGTCCCCATACATGTTCAGCTTGTGCACCCTCCACCGGGGATTCTTCCTCTAATATTTCGACCGTAAAACTAAGCTCTGAAGAGCCATTACTTGCCTTGAACAGCTGCGCGACCTCTTCCATCGTGAGGCAGGAAGCCACGTCGCGCGCAGTCTCTCGACAGTCAGCTTCTTCCTGCGGTGTCATCGTCTTTAATTCACAGATAGCCCGCACCCACTTAGCTCGACCGTGCGAATCAAAAAGCTCATCCAGCGCCTCTAACCTCATCCCTTTTTGGAAGTATCCCGGAAGTACCTCAACCTTGTGCGACCGGTTAACAAATAAGGAGTTTTTAAAGCCATAAACCCTAAAAGCTAGTGAGTAGAGAAACCAGACCATCGAATTCACGCCTTCATCCGGCTCTTGATATATGTCGAGGCGGTTCTTGGGATCTCCCTTGCTTATGAACTCCGCACTATCCTTGCTTGCTTCGAACTCAATGAATTTCCGAACAACATGGTCGCGAAGAAAAAATGTCAGTATTTTTCTTGCTCTAGTGCTACTTCGAGCAAGCCCAGCCACGGATGATCTAGAATCTTCTAGACAAAACAAAAGCGGTCGCGTCTTTGTTTCATCAATTTCCACGTCTTCTTCACCATTCGAATTCGTAGTTAATGTACTCGATAACGTTGACGCCGGTTCTTGCAAATCTAAACCCCCTTCTTCTTCAGCAAATAGTGCTACATGACGCCATGAAGGGGCACTTCCCTTCTGCTGGCTTGATGTGGCACCCGCTTCCGCTGTCCTCGTCCTGTGGGCTAGTATAATAGCACGCTTTAAACTTTCAACCGGAATCACTATCCTTTGCGTTTCGTTCTTTCTCTGTGCTGTATGAACTTCGGTCGCTGGAACATGCACCCGATATATCTCGGCGCTGAGTCTGTTGGATATCTCGACCTCAAAGGCGGGTAGGCCCTCATCCTCGGAAGCAAACGCAATCATATTACTAAAAACAGGATCCCCTGTCTCGCCAAGTCCGTTTTTTTTTACGGTGGTACACAAGGCAGTAGCCTCAGCTGCGCTTACCCCCTTGGAACTTGAAGGATCTTGTCTTGTACCAGCAGCCTGATCGTCCACAGTCTCTAACCTACCCTTAATAAAAGGATCTTGCCTTGTACCAGGAGCTTGATCGTCCATTTCCATAGTCTCTAACCTACCCTTAATAAAAGGATCTTGCCTTGTACCAGCAGCCTGATCGTCCACAGTCTCTAACCTGCCCTTAATAAAAGGATCTTGCCTTGTACCAGGAGCCTGATCGTCCATAGTACCCCCTCCACCGCAGCAGGCAGACCTAGCTGCTTCTTTCGAACTTGCCGATTGACTTACGCCCATCTTTTAGAAGATGGTGACAGAATTACAATTAGTCATAACGGCGTTTAATACTGCTCAGAAAACAACGACTCGATCCACAGAGTGCAGTAAGCTGATCATTTTCTGTCCTTTTTACGAGTCAGAAAGCGAAGAAAGGGAGTATGTTCCTGTGGTCTATAATCTGTTCCATGCCATGAAGTCTGTAACGCTGTCAGCCTTGTTAGATAGTCAGGAAATGCTATGAGTTGTAAAAAATGTTTTTCTAAGTCTATAAAGCACGAAGGATTACATATTATTGCGAAAACTAGTATACATAGTACTATGACTAAAACGAGGGGACGAGGAGAAACAAGGGGAAAAAAACAATGACCAGTGGAACAAGGCAATAGTTGCGGAAGGGTGATTGGTCAAACCTTACTAGACATCACTCGCTATGCAAAGTTTCATCATCAAGACGCCTCCATAGCAGTTCCTCGCTGAGGATTGATTCTTTACTCATACTCTCAGACAGATCCACATGACTCAACTACTTCTCATACAGGATTCTGCTCAAACAGATTTTCCCACCTCAGATTCATCTCACTCCACCAATCACGTTGAGAGGTGTCATAGTCTAAGGATACTGAGAAGCAATCTATGATACTGGAATGCATTTAGGGTAATTCCCTCCGATGTTACTTTCTTCATGTTCATACGTAAGTTAAAATGACACTATAACTGACATGTGCTGTGTGTTTTCGCAGACGTTTTCTTAGACACTTCAGACAGATTGACTCATGATGAATGATCAACATAGAATGCTTCAAGAATGAGAGATGGAGAAGCAAGTCCCTCGAACATCGTCGTGGTCAATATTTTTCTGTATCAATGCTTTCGTTCCATGAAACTACAACCATGATCTGCACTTTCATCTTTGAAAACATAGTCCTGCTTTTTTACTCAAACGGTGAAGGTTTTTGGCGACCGATGCTCAATGCATACGGCATTGGGTCACTAGTTTACACAATGAAGTAATCAAGTTGTTCTTGTGAAGAAAACAATAACAAGATCACGAACAAAAGCGCTACGATCATGCTCTGTGCAAATCATTGAAGTGTTGTGGGCTGCGACTGTGTCCGAAAGAAGGAAGTCATTGTAAAATGATCACCACATAAAAAAACTTTACCTTTATTATAGTTATAGGTAGAAGTTGTTAATCTAAAAGATATGAACTATTGTACCTGCTTGTAGTAGAAGTCGAAGTTAATCCAAAAGATACAAGCTATCGAATCCTTGCCCATATACAGCATGCCAATCAAACTCCTTCAAACTTTGCCGATTTTCTAATGAAAAGGCATGTACCATACGCGTTTCATCTGCAACTACACTTTCTGCAACATTCTCAAGGTCTGCTACTTTTTCCGCAATACCCTCATGAAACAGTGTGCCGTATCGGTCTCCTACTCGATCGTGGTCGCATAGACGGAGATTGCGGAAAGTCCGAGGAGCCCCCTGGCCAACTAGAAGAGGCTTAGAAGCACCGTTGACCGTATTAACAGGTCTCCTGAGAAAGGTTTTTACCAGTCGAAACGTGAGACTGATTCTTTCTCCACCGAAGGCCAACTCGTCTTCGCGCTTGTCCCTGTCTAAGCGCTTGTCTCTTCGAATGCTATGCGTATAGTCTGCATTTGCGTCTAGACCTAGAACAAACAAACTATTGTTTCTCAAATCAAAACGAAGTTTTTCTGTAGCTGGAGAACTACTGGTTGCTCTTGTTGTGACCAGAGGTGCTGGAACTGCAAGTGATTGGTCTTTCTCTTCGGTGCATTCTTCCTCTCCTTTCGATATCTTCGGTATCTCTTCGTTAATATCCCTACTTGTAGTTTTTGAAGAGGTTGCTAGTACTTGTTTCGCAATCTCCTTGTTATCCGGCGCTACAGTTGGTCTATTTGAAGGTTCCTTATGTTGTTCAGAAATGTTAGTACATGCTGAGGGGGCCGTCTTCTTCTTACTGAGTATCATTGTTCTAGTCGCGCCGACACTGAAATTGACTATATTTAGAGCTGCTCACCCTAATCCATCTCAAGGTGCATCCTAGACGCCTGTTTCTCTTGAAAATCGTCCCCGGGAGGCCTCTAAAGATGGATTAGAGTAAGCCTTAATATTTTACTGTCTCTATCCACGTCTAGGGTCTTGTCGCTGTGCTCTGAAATATAATCAGACCCGTTCCGGTACATCTGAATCAATCCGTGATTCAGTTTATGGCCGATCAGACGCTCACACTTTTTCCGCAGAGCGTCGACAACTGGCGTGAAAGGAACCATCTCTGGCGGCTCAGTCGCTGGATGTCGGTATACGGGCTCCCATAGTTCGTGTTCTTCTGGAGCTACTGCTCCAGTAGCTGTAGAGACAGCATGATCTTGTTCTCCTTGTAGGCGTAACGGTTCTTCTCGACGATCCTCCATCTGATAGAAGTCAGAGACATCTTGATCTTCTCTATATTAGAACGAATGGAAATCCATCTTTAGCAGCATCTTGGGTCTCCTTTTCCCTTTAAAAACGGGACCAAGATGACGGTGAAAATGGGAGATTTCTTGTACCCTTAACTGTAGAGAATGCCTTGATTCGCTACTAGTCTCGGGACTAGCCCACCCTTATGCAACATGGTGCTCCATTCTATCTCACTCTTCAGAGCACCAAAGAGATCTTCCGGGTACAGCTCTTGTTCTTCTGTTTGTAAGCCTTCTCTTGGACTAACGACATTGACGTACAGTCCGGTTCCATCTGACAGAGAGGAACTAGCACTCTGGAAAAGCAAATCTTCGCAGCAAAGGCTTGTACCCCTATAATCATCGCAGGAATCATGGGTACCCTCCCTATCATGATCTCTTCCTTCAGGATGAACAGGTTGTAACATCTTGGCAGCAGTAGAATCCTGGATCCTACCATTTTTTGCCGAAGACAACGTAGATGATGACGAAGAAATTTTCGTCGATTGTGAACAGGAGGACACTTGCTCCGGCGCCAGAACGTCGTCAAATTTTTTTGCGATTTCATCTTGACGCTTTTTTTGTTCCTCGTTTTGCTTCTCGCTGTTCTTTAGGAATGCTTCATCTTCTACTCCTCCTGCTACTTCTGCAAGCACAAGCCTTTGCCTGATCTCCTTCGCTTGCTGCCAAAGATTTGCGCCAGGCTGAACATACTCAAAATCCCAGATACGCCAGTTGAAGGGAGTAGCTCGTCGTACCGCATTATATCGCGACATATGCTGGAAGTAGGCACGAAGTTTCGGAAAGTTGACGTGGTGAGCGTCAAGTAGATCTTGGTCTGCAGCAGAGTCGCTAATATTTCCCTTCTCTTTCTTCATCTCAACAATCTGAGTCTCAGTCTCCTCTTTCGTCGACGTAGTTCCAAAACGTTGTACTAGCGGGAACCCCCTCTGTACCAAAAAGGCCAATATTGGAAAGAAAGCGCAGTCCGCGAGAGTCAGGTTTGAAAAACCGCCCAAGAATCTAAGTGGTGCTTCAGTCGTCTCTGCATGGTCGTCTTCGTCACGGTCACCACATCCACTTGTACTCGTCGCCCCAACCAGATGGTTATCTTCCCAAAACTTTAACTCTTCTAAGATCTTGTCCATGGCACCAATCAACTCCATGCTCGCTGCGCTCCGTACTTCTTCTGGCTCTCTATTTAGATTGCAGATCTTCTTCCGAAATTCGGGTTTATAGAGTTGAGAAAGTGGTTTGATCAGAAACCTGAGTCTTTCGCTCTCCTGCATCATCTGGCGGATGTAAGCTTTGTCGAAAGCAGTCTCGCCAAGGACGTCCACCACAGGAGACGGCTGCTCAACATCGTGGTCCACGAACAACAAGTCGGTTATGAATTCTAGCAAAGCCAAACTTTCTCGGACCTGATATTTCTTCGTTGTACTTGTAGTCTGCACTTCCAAAACAGGCCCTTCGCCTCTGGCATTCACGTTCTCCAAGAATTCCTTCGTTTTCGTAGGTCTGGGGTGGCTCATCACGCACAAGCGGTTTGTTGTGTGTGCGATGTCTAGATAGTTGAGTAGGATCTGAACTCGATAACTCGGGATGCTGCCGTTGACGTAGTGGAGGTGTACTAGCTTCGTCAGAGAAGCACAAGTTCTTCTAGAAGAATCCGACGTAGAACAACCACCACGATCTACATTTTCATTTCCGTTTTGAGTTCTGAAGATTATGTTTGCCTTTAGTGGTGTACTGAGAAGTGGTCCTCGTTGTCCAGCAGTGATTGCTTCCGCATCAGTTGCTTCAACGCCTCGTCCTCTGGGCAAACAAAGTAAATCCGTCCACCTCTCCAACACCGTAATGCCACACTTTACTGCCATTTCGTCAAAAGCCGTCTGCGCTGAAAAGGCAGCAACATTTCCACCACGTCCAGCTACAGCGTCTTTCGCAACAAAAACTTTCTGACACCTAGGTGACAAAACCGCAGCGCAAGTCTTGATACAGTGCTGGGTGGTCACGCCAGCTAGTAGGATGCGTTTATGGTGGATAAGCTGAAGGAGCTTGTCGACTTTGGAAATCCTTCTTGGGCGATCTGTGGAGGACTCTAGTAAAGGCAAAGGCTCATCTTGTTCTTGTATTTTTTGTGCTATATCCAACAAACTATTAGTCGTCTTCGTCAAAAGGTATAAGTTTTTCATCTCCTTCTGGGCTTTTTCATCATCATTTTGTCCATGTCCTCGTCCAACGCGCTGAATCTCCAAAGCACATTTCCTTCCCCATTCGCTAACGCAAAGACTCTCTAATCCTGCTGCTTTAAACTGCCCTTGCTCGTAGTGGGAATCGACGATAAGGACAGGCTTGTCTTGGCTCAGAAACATGTCAATCAGAGTCTCTAGAGTCGGTTTGAGATTCATAAGCGGTTTCCCTGAGGATTTTTTCTCTTCGTCATCCTCATCGCCACGACACTGAGTTTTCTGATACACTCCGTCTGGATGTAGAAAGTCGTTCACTGCGTCAACGATGATCAACATGTCGACTGTGGTGAGAGAAGGAACCATGTCTGAAGAGCCCAGGTCTACCCCATGGAGTGGGGAACATAAAACTTCTTGAACAACTATCTTCAGCAGTTCAGGTTATTTACAATGACGTATGCGTTTCGAAAAATAGGTAGTGGATTAGAAAAAAAACTGAAAGACAAAGTCATGCGGCAACATTTTGCTTCGGAAGCTGTTGGGAACAAGTCGATGGATGCTTACTAGAAGCTGAGTCTCATCTACTTGTATCGGTACAAGCGAGATCCATCCCTCAACGCACGCTTGCGATCTAATGCACTCCGGACGGCCACAACCAGAATATTGTTCCTCACAAGATTTAGGTTTCTATTCCACCTTCTAGAAGTGAAGCAGAACACGCCACTGCCTAAAAGATAGAATTCGAATCGTGGCGAGAAGCACTTTATTGTTTTCTGGCAACAAATAAAAAGGGAAACGAATGGAAGAAGGGAGACTGGAACGGGGGCGAGGAACCAGATTATACCTGAATGAGGGCCAATCTCTGTCCTTGTCCTGGACTTTAGAGGCCGAACGATCTGACGCGATGATGGATAGTGTCAACATTACGATTTCTTGAAATGAGGCGCTCCTGGCGCAATCTGATCGTACATTGGCCGCGCATGGCTCTTCTTTCTTTCTGTGATGATCAGGGCGAGTATACATAATTTGGAATCTCATAATTTTCTGAAAAAGGAAAAACTGCCTTTGAAAAACTTTGTAGGATTCTTTTTCTCACCGAAGCAAAGTATGCTGCGTGCAATGTTTATTGTTTCTTTCCCCCACCAAATCACATGCACGTCTTCTCTTCACAGAATTTTTTCAATACCAGATTCTTTCATGACCAGTAGTTGTCAAAGTCAATGTCCGGATTCCTGTTCTCCTCTTGCAGACGATTCGTCTGTTTCGTCACACCTTCGAGGATTTCTTCTCTAAATATAATGGCTTCATCAGCTAAGTTTCTAATTCTAAGACTCACTGCTTCCCAAATCGCTCCCAGATGTATCCTCCAGCGAGGTGGACATCTGGCAAGAAGAGGCCTGCTATCGAACAAACGAGTCCTCCTTTCCAATCTCGCACGAAGTTAACGCTGTGCAGGTTGTAACGCTTTTTCAGCGAGTCGGCTTCTGTTCGCAGTTCCTTTTTTGCGGCTTCACTTCGTAATCTAATGCATCGTTGCGTGAAAAATGCGCCAGGGGGAGCGCGCGTGTTCTGCTGTCCCCCAACACGCTTTCTCTCCTCACGCGGAATGACCACCACGCTTTCCCCATCGTTAACTGTGGAATAATGCGCAAGAAACGCCCACACACCGTAGGCATCAGCCGTCTTGTACAATTTGACGGGAAGGGTCGTTTCTCCAGGGAAAACGTCTTTTACCACTTTTGTGCGTCGGTTAGAGACCGCATAGTACTTATGACCTACCGCCACGACTTCGATTAAAGTCCCATCGCAGGAAGAGTCAGGAGTAGAAGTACCACCTTGGTGGCCTTCACACTCGCTGCTCATGTTCCTGCCCCATCCGAATAGTTCCTCTGGGGTTTCAATATGTTCGTTTCTTGCTTTCGCAATCAGCTCAGCCAAGGTGCCAAGCCGTTCGAAATCCTTCCACTCGGCGCTGACATCACACTGCGAAAACCGCAAGTCCTGAACACGCAGGCGAGCGATTTCTTAGACCAGGACTTTTCTCGTTGCAGCACGTATGTTTTTTTTTGAAAAATGCAGCCAAGTGCACGGACTGGCGTACAGCCAGACACCCCGGCCACCCCATGGCTGTAGGCCTTCGGTCTCGTCGACATTCGCAGAGAGGCAGCCGCCAAGGATACCTGGCTCGCCGTCCATGGGGCCAACCTCCGACGCAGAGGAGGTCTGAGCCAGGCAAGGCGTGCCCGAAAGCAGCACTTTTTGGCCAAAAATGTGCCGGGTCATTTTGGGTGCATTTTGCGCCCCTTTTCTTGAAAAAAAGCTGCCGGGCCGTTTTGCGAGGGCCGCCACCTAGTGGGGGCTCGGGGGTGCCTTTAGGCGGCCCTTTTTGGCCCAAAATGGTCGCCAAATGACCCGGGCCGTTTGGGATGTCAAACGGGGGCCTTTTTGATGGCTCCCTTTTTGACGCCCCTCCAGAGCACGCCCGATCCAAGCCTCCCAAGGGTTCGGACTCCACTGGGAACGCCTGTAGAGTCCGCATTCCGCAATTGGGAGGGGAGTCCGGCTCCGAGGGTTCACTGCCAAGCTATCGGGATGGCCCCAGCGATCCCGAAGTGGTTGGGCCCTTGTTAAGCTAGCAAAATAAAAAAAAACTGACGTGGTGCAGCGAGAAAAGGCCTGGTCTAAATCTCGAAGCTACCGCTATTTTGATGAGCACCTCCAACATCATAGGTGCCCTCAAGACTAGCTGCGTAAGTGTTGTAGAGGTTCAAACAATGCATTCGGAAATGCTTCGCGCGCTCGGACGGACTACTAGCTGGGACGCAGAAGAAATCTGGCGTCACGTCGCAATCCTGTCCAGGTCTAGCATCTTCTCCTCCTTCATGATCTTCAGCATCGTTTTGCTGCTGATCCGTCTCGGGTTGCTCATTGGACTCTCCTTCTGCTTCCGTGGATTTTCCCTTACCTTTGCCTTTTTTGGATTTCGATTTCGGCTTAGCGCGGCCTGTTCCCTCCCTTTCCACACCGTTTTGTTCCTCTGACGTCCAGCCAAGCCACTTTAACTCGAAGGTAGAGGCCTTCGCCTGTCCTCTATTACATGCGGCCGTAGCAGAGAAAGAACGGATCTGCCCTATAATGGCACGCCGCGCGCCCCAGTAAGAACGACCTCGAAATGTATTCGGTGGCTTCGAAACCGCAGACGGTGCCGCCACTGTTTTCGTGCGAGAATCTTCATCCTCTTTAACATCATCTTGCTTCACTTCTGCTGTCAGTGCTGAATCGCGCGAAGACGTCTGTATCGTGCGCCCCTCTTTTTGCGTTGTTGAAACAGCTGCAGCCTTCGCTGACGGTTCTTTAGATTTCCTGTCATTTTGGGTCGAGGTGGTATGGCTACTCTCTGCGGTGGCGTAACTACGCGGTGAATCGAGGCCAGAGGATCCGGCTTCCCAAGCTGCAGTCGGCTCAGCAGACAATGAATGCTGGAAATTCTCTTCCAGTAATGCAAGCCCTGATGGTCCTCGCACCTTCTTGTTCGTGTTCGAGCATTCCTTTTCTTCACCTGTGGTGTTGGAGGTGTCGCAACCCGTGGCTTTGGAGGTGATGTCCTCGCTGTCCCAGTCCGATCGGGGGCATGTTGAGTGCTTCTTTGAAGTCGTTGTCTTTCCGTCGGGTCCTTGAGGGCCTCGTGTTAAGCCTGAATCCACCACACCAGACCACGAGCTACGACGCTTCGGTTTCCAGAAGGTATTCTTTCGCCACGCTTGCCACGACTCCCAGTCGTTGCTGTAGTACGACGACCAAGGCCCGCTGCCACTCTTGCGGGAAGAACTATAGTACGAGTTGTTGGAGTTATCTTGTTCTGCGCCAATCGGGTTTCCTGTCCCTCGTGCAGACGGGTAGAAATTGTTGTAAAAAGATGAAGATCCTGTTCCATCATATTTTCGCCACTGAGCAGGACCCGAGGCTTCAAAATCTTCATGGTTCGTTGCTCGCGACGTCAACTGCACACCCATCGTTCGAGGACCGTGCTGATCTTCTGTAGTTTGAGCATCGTTTTGTTGTGCGCCTGTTCTTGGAGGTGAAGACCCGTCTGAACTCGTCTGGGTTGTACCACTACCATGCTCGTGCACACCGATTTTCATGTCCAACTCTGCTACCGTCGACGCGGCAATGACTGGACGTTGTTGTTCTCCTCCTGAGGCGGACCCAAGGGCGTACGCCGGCGTGAAGAAGACGGATGGAGGAACCACAGCAGTTGGCGCATTCGGATTTCGCTTTCTTCGTGCGTTCGCGATCTCCGCGGTCGATTGAAGCTGCTCTCCGATCGCTTCCAGATCTAGCGTGTCCTCGGAGGCCGAGGTCTCCTTACTAGAAGCAGTAGAACTACGAGCTTTCTCGAGTTCTTTTTCTTCTTGCGCCAGGATTTTCGCTCGTTCCGCTTCTTTGAGCTGCTCAAGCAGAGACACGTACCATGGAGTTCGAGTCGTTGCTGAATCTGAAGTGGAAACGCTGCTATCACCGGTGGGAACCCTGCTATCACCTTCACCATCGGGCGAATGCTTCTTTGTAGCGTCCGATGAGCCAGAACTGGAACTACCGGCTCCTTGTTCGACAAGCAAGATGTTCCCTGAAATTTTTTCACCCAACGGCATCAGACCAAAGACATCAAGTTGATCGATATGGCCCTGCTCATCGTTTTCTTCGCTGTCCGCACAAGCTGATGAACCTGCATCGCCGACATCAGCTTGAGTCACGTCATGTACCAGTCTCCAGATGCTTTGCACAAATTCGACCAACTGCATCCTTGTCATCTTTGACGGAGGACCCGTTTGCGACAGATTGCTCTCACTGAATACCATCTGCCCAAGCACGCCATCCTCAATGAGCGTGCGCAAATACTGAAGGAAATCCTCACACTCTGGGCGCCGTTGTTCCTCCTCTTGTTTATGAGGACTCTCCTCCGCCATTCTTGTCCTACTCCTTGTGGTACAACAATTTCTGAACAAATGTTCGACAATGTTCGCAGCTGCATTGCTTTTCAACACGTTTTGCCAGCGCGAGAAAAGAACGCCTACACTGAAGGCTGCAGCTGGTGAACGACAGGGCTTCCGGCTTTCTGTTCTAGGACCACGTTCCTCTACTGCTGTGCATCCCTGTGTAGTAACTACATGTTCTTGTACTTGTTCATCAACAGGAGGCACACTGAATACAGGCCCTACAAGGACACGACCTCCTTGCGGCACGAGCCCAGTCCCAGACGTCACAACTGCATGCATCCTCACCACCACTGGAATGAGCTCCTTCGACGCCCGTTCTTTGTACAGGCGGGAAGCGAGCTCCTGCTCATGATCGCGCCAGCCTTCGACATCGTTGCAGAAGATTTTTGTTGATCTTGATGTAGCAACATCAAATACACTAGCTGATCTTGTTCCTGGCGTTATCTTATTTCTTCTCGAAGATGATATCGTATCCGCGTTACAAGTCCATGCTGGAGACGCATAGTTTTTCTGGAGATCTGCGACTTCCTCAGCTGCAAGCTTTTGCCTTTCCAACAACGCGTATTCTTCGTCAAATATCTGCACGTCTTCCGTGGCATGGATAAAATGCGCTTCGCGCGCAGCGGTCCATACTTCGCGCATTCGCACAGGCCAGTCCTCTGGAAGATGCTCTGATGCGCCTCGGTTACCACGCTCCGGATCATGCCCTCCTTGTTTCCCACATGATCTACGATCTTTCTCTTCGTAGCGCTCGGTAAACTTCAGCAAGGCTGCGTGAAACACTGCCAGAAAGCATAACTTCGCACAAAAAGCCTCTGGATATTGCTCGAAAAGGTCACTCACATCATCTCCTCCTTCGAGAAGCAGCCTTTTCCGATGGTAAGTCTCCAATCTCGGAACGCCAAGCACATAGACTGCATTCGGTACAATTTGCGGTGAAATGTTGCCAACCAACTCTTGCGATAAGCTCACATCTACGATGAAGCGTGTAATCGGCGAACTGTCAAGATCCACAGCCCCTTGGCGGATTTCGGCGTCTCCGTCGAGTTTTAGGTGCTGCTCGGCAAGGGCACACGCCCTGTCGAGTGATTCCCACGTACCAGAAACCGTGGGAAGGAACTTTGTGTTGCGCAGCTTTTCCACAAAGCTCACGAGCGACGACGCAAAACAGTGAGGATCTTTCGTCAAAAAAGCGTGGACATCGGACGAAGTTGTGATCGGGAGAGTGCCCTTCCGAGCCTCTTGTTGCAGTGATGACTCTAAGCTTGGAACGCTTCCAGCACGATCGGGCGCAAGGGCGTCAGCTACGAGCCGAAAAAGCAGTCGTTTCGAGTCATGATCCCGTACCGCTTCCATCTTAGGTACATTCGACGCGGCTTGCGAGTCTTCGTCCTCCAACTGAACAACATCACCTTCACCTTCTTCCAAATCGCAAAATTCAAGTCTGTGTTTTTCAAGATCACGCAGTTCCTCGCCGATTGTCACCGTCAGGAGCTGCAGAACGCGTTTTACACACTTCCTGGCTAACACGTTTGTCTTGGTCCATGGATTGGGAGGTGAAGTAGACACGCCCACGAGTTCTTCTTCTTGAGAAACCATATTATAATCGTGGCAGGAGTCGTGGCTCGTGGTGGTTGTATTGAGAGTAGGCAAAAAATCCCAACGAAGATCCTGCTGCTCGGGTACGGTAATGGAAGACGATGGTGATGATGATGATGATGATGTGTCATCAGGACCAGAGGAAATTGTCGAGGGAGCAACAAGATTTAGTTTTAGTAGATTTACCAAGTTCATCAAGAAGTTTTGAACGGCATCCCACGACATCCTCTGCGCGGCTCCGCACGACTCAAAAAACGCTTGTGCCTGACCCTGCCTTTTCAGGAATGGTGCGTGCGTCTTCTGCAACGCCGGCGGCAGTTGCGTATGCGGACCCCAGTAGTAGTTTGATACTAGCCTCAGTCTCGCCGCAGATTGAATGAGGTCGCTCATGTCGTCCGAGATCGACCAGGAATAGGAATAAACCAACTCAAGACATCGAGCCATTTTCAATTCGAATTTGAACCTTTTCGCATAGTCCTCGAGCACGAGCTCTTTCGGTGAGTAAAAGCGGCCCGCCAGAGCTTCGGAATGGCCGTCGCTTGGACCGAATCCACGCCGCTTCGCCTTCCCGTCTACTTCCACTAGAGGCGGATGGTCAGGCACGAATATCCAGGCTGCGTTCTTCATAAAGCTGATTGTAGATCTTTCTGCCTCCGTCAGAGTCATCTCTACTCCACACGACCCTGCGGCTTTCTCATGCTCTAGTTGTTGCTCGTCGTCGATCTCCTCCTCTTCTTGCAAAGAGATTCGCTCTTTCTTCAGCAGTTTCTGCAACAGCCAATACAGGCCTTGCATGTCCTTGACTGACAACAAAGTCCTTCGCACACTCAGACACCTCTTTTCCGCGTTTACCTGCAACGAAACGGTCTTCAGCATATCAAGCAGGTGAGAAACACACGGCTCGTTCGAAAGCGTTCTGAAGTCCACTGCGTTTTGTCGCAGAAGCGAAGGAATGTTGTGCGCCAGCAGATGTTGGGACACCTCTGGGTGAAAGATGTGTGTCAAGCAGATGTTCGGAAAAGGTATGAAGTGGCGCACTTCGTCAGACCCCAGCGGATTTCCAGCACCATTGCGGACATGATACGGAGGCTCGGAAAAATAGGCCTTCCGAGGATTATCCTCGCTGCGCCGCGTCTCAATCCATGCGTCTGTGGCACAAACAAGTTCCCCTGTGCAAGTCGCTAACCAACGTTCCGTCTTGAGCTGGTACAAAAGAGAAGAACTCTGACTTTGGCCTTCTCTTGCTGATGCTGCGCTGGTGTCTAATATCTCTACCTTGATATCATTGGTGCTACTAGTTGTAGCAGTGGCTCCTCCCAGCAGGCGTGGGACATAAAAGTCGCCGAAAGCAGAATCACTGGCGAAAGTCCTCACCAAAGCAATACTTCCCGCAACTTTTGCCTCTGTAGTTGGAGCAGTCTGCACGGCCTTCACTAAGCGCTCGAACTCTGTAGACTTCCTTTGAACACATCCAGCGTCAAGACTCACTCCTGGCCACACGCCCATGCAATCCACCCAAAATCTACTCCAGGATTTCTCAACAACGGAAATTGATATACTAGACTTACTAGCACAGGCAGATCCATGACTACCAGTAGGTGAATTAGTCTTCACGCTTGTTCCATCCACCAAACTATCAACCTTTGCTGCTGGACTCCCGGAGGTCATCTTCCGCATTGCTGCTTCACGTCTCTGGTAAGCATCCGATTGAACGTAATACCAGGATTGAAAATACGTCCGTTGCAATTCTGGTGGAAGTGGTCGCAAATGCACTGGAACGCTGTGCGCAGCGTCGTGACGGGGATGAGCGCCGTCACAGAAGTGCGGCTTGATTTGCACGCAAGAATACGAGTTGTAGGACCACGGAGAACATTCCTCGTGATCAATTTTCGGATCGAGACTGGACGTCGAGGAGTCATCTCCTTCATTTCGTTCGGGTTCTCTTCCACTACCAATCCCTGCGATCACCCAGATGGGATTAGCTTTCTCCCGCAGCCGCGACAGAATCTTAGTTCGCTCCCTTTCCGACTCTTCTCTTTCAAGGTGCCTTTTCAGAAACACAGTGCAGTCTAATAGCTTATCCAGTTCTTCTTTTGTAGTTCTTGTGCTCGTATCACGATCACCTCCTCCTCCCGCTCTACTTCCTGGTGTCCTCTTTCCTGGTGGCTCTTTGGACGTCAGTACTGGGAAAACGTGCGTCTCAAGAAAGCGCCGTGAGTCTACGCCGACGACCCCGATACGGTCGAGCAGAGAAATGACTCGACGATCAGCCATAGCACGAAATTCGCTGTCTAGCGTTAGGACGTCCCCCGCCACCGACGCCGGAACATCTTAGAGCTCACCCTAATCCATCTTGGGACTCATCTCGGATCTGCTTTCTCCTCATGGTACAGCTTCGAGATGCTTCTGGAGATGGATGAGGGAAAGCCTTAAACATAGTCTCCATCGCAAATCACGTTTTCAGCTACGCTGGCAAGTTGAAGATGTGACCTACTTGGACCAGAAGCCGATCTCCCACGCCCACCTCCAGATACAGGGATGATTCGGAGCTTTCGCAGCTTTTCGAGGTTCAAACTCAGCGTGTCCTGGTCAAACAAAAGCCGTAGAAACAGCAAATGCAAACGGTCTAGTAGCTGCGTCCCCGCTCGGTCGGCTTCGGATGATGCCTGTTGTTCTATTGTCGATTGTTGTGTGGAAGAGGACGACGATGACTCACCACGGTAACTATAAAATTTCTCCGAATCTTCATGTTGAAATCGCTCTGCAATTCGTTCTAGACACCTAATGACCAAGTCCCCGCTGACTTCTTGAATTTCCAAGGAGTCACACAATGCTGGAGGAATGTAGTTGTCGTTGGTAACGAAATAGAGGCCAACGTCATTCAAAAGTGGCTCGAAGCGAGTCCTCAAAGCTTCTGCCTCCACTGCTGGGAAAGTGCACGAAGAAGATCCCTCCACTTTATTTGTGATCTCGCGTCCACTGCCTGTAGCTTCAGTCGCAAAGGAGGTCTCTGCGAGGTGGCGCACCATTGCCGTACAGCCGAAAGATCGCCGGACTGCTTTCCGTGGTTCAACAAACCGCACTCTCATTCCTGTCCTGTTCCCCTCCTCTGCGTCATCTGAGACCAAGATTATCCGTTCCTGCCGCAGCAGACACAGTACCCGAACTGGCACGGAGTCGAAAAAGTCCTGTCCCTCATGGCGTAGCGGAAGCACAAAATAGAGACGCTGCATATCCCGGATTATCCCAGCATACTTCTGGTGCTGAGCATCTTCATGATCTAAAGAACATGTTGTACAAGAACTATCTCTATCTGTTGAGGTTGTATCATTATCAAGCAGATCTTCAAGCCGCTTGACGTATGATCGCACGGCGTTTACAAAGGCGCTCGGCATTTGATCACGCACAAGTTGGTTGAATGGATTGTCTTTCAGAATTGATTCGCGAGAGGTCGATACTGCGAAATCTGCGTGAATAATGAAACGAAACCCAAAGCACCTGACTGGCAACCAAGCGAAGACGTGCTGCTCGCGAGGTGGGATCGCATTTTTCTTTTCGTCCCCTACATGATCGTCAAACAGTGGTAACGCGATTTTGAGTTCAGCTTCAGAGGAACCACGAAGAGGCATAAAGA